AGTTCGTAGCCATCTTGCTCGGCAGCATCGAAGCTGTCTGTCGGCCTGGACATCTGAGTCGAGACATCGCCCTTTTTTGTCTACCGGTGATCTTGGTCATGGGCGGCATCGGCTGCGGCGAGGACAGTGAATAGTGCGGCGTCTTCGTCGGCGGCTGCTGCGTCGAGGGCGTCTGCCACGGTAGAGAGAACGTCTGCAGCGGTAGAGAGGGCGGTGGCGGGCTCGGAGGCGGCGGCGACGGCGGCGGCGGCGACGACGGCGATGGCGACGGCGGCGGTGGTGACGGTGGCGGCGGGAGGGGGTGCGGTGGCGACGGCGGCGAGGGAGGCGGGGGAGGCGGGGAAGGCGGGGTAGGCAGAGGCGGCGGCGGCGAGGGAGGCGGCGAGGGGTGGCGGCGGCGGCGGCGGCGGAAGAGGCGGACGAGAGGAGAGCGAGTGCGGTGTGTGGGCGGTTGTGAGGGCGGGGCGGCGCACCGCCATATCCGCCGTACATGCCGCGGCCTGCGACGGCGGTGGCGGCGAGGCGTCACGGGCGGCGAGGGCGAGAGCGAAAGCGGCGGCTTGAGAGCGGCGGCGGCGAGGGCGAGGGCGGCGGCGAGGGCGGCGGCGCGAGGTAAGGCGCGGCGCGAGCGGCGGCGAGAGCGAAGGAGAGCAAGGGGGCGGCGAGGGCGGCGGGGAGGGAGGCATCCGCACCGTACCCATACATGCCTCCGTACATGCCGCCTGACGCCGAACAGCAGCGGCAGGCTGATGAGAGGACGCGCAAGAGACGAGAGAGCAGGCCAGGCGAGAGGAGGCAAAGCGAGAGGAGGCGAGCCGAGAGAAGAGGAAGCCGAGACGAGAGAGGAGGGGAGCCGAGAGAAGAGGAAGCCGAGACGAGAGAGGAGGGGAGCCGAGAGAAGAGGAAGCCGAGACGATGGAGAGCATCACACCGTAGCCGCCGCCGTAGCCGCCGCCGTAGCCGCCGCCGTAGTAGCCTCCCGAGTAGGGGTAGTATCCGTTGTAGTAGCTGCGAGGGGAAATGCGGCGGCGAGTGCTCAGGGCGGCGGCAGCAGCAACAAGGGGCACTGCATCCGGACGGCAGCGCAGACCACGCAGCGGAGGGGGAAACCGCACCCGTTGACGCCGAGGCCGAGCTCAGCGGTGAGGTCCGTGCGCGGGCCGCCGTACATCGACATCGAGCCGTACCCGTACCCTCCAGAGTAAGGGCCTACATGAGGGCGCGCATCTGTAAAACAAGTGGCCGCGCCACAACTTTGCGAGCATAGAGCAGCAGTTGCACCGTACATCGAGCGGGAGAGTCCGTACCCGCCTGCGAAGAACGGACGGTGCCGTTGTGAAAAGGGATTACGCGAAATCGCGGCAGAATTTGGGAGGTGGCTGTTGTGGACTGATGGAGGCAGCGGAACGAAAAAGGGCGGTGGCCGTTCACCGCGCATCATCGTCATTTGCATGACCGGTGCCGCCTGGCGCGCGGCGAGGGCCGTCGTCGCCGCGGCCTTTGGCGTGACCGCCGCGGGCGTGAACCGCAGGGCGGGCGTCGCGAAGAGCAAGGCCAGCATTGTTTCCGAAGCCGATTTGGGAATCTTTGGGACAAGATCCTCCAGATGAAGAGACGGCAGGCGACCGCCGCGTAAACGTGCATCGTCAAAACAGCCGCGCCGCGAGGGGGCCCAAGCAAGGCTGTCACAGAGTGTGATGGCGATCTCCGGTCCGGTCCCGTGCCGGTATGTCCACGACCACGTGCGGAGGTGAGGTGACGTGGCGGTAGTTCATTCACGGCATATTCTGCCCAAATACGTAGAGATTTTTATTAACTTCTTTCTTCAAATACGTGGTTGCAACCCGGTGTGCACTGTGCAGTTAGGGTAGGAGAGCTACGGTAGGTACACGTAGGGGGTTCTTCTCTCGACGACGAGATTTTGGAGATATGATTGATATCTTGGCAGCACACTGGGTATCAAGGATTCCACTCTTGAGCACTTGAGCACTGACTGGATAGGCACCATGTGCTGCGCCTGGTAGCGGCCAGAGGGCAGCTTGCCCACGTTCTTGTAGCTGGGCTCTCCCCCCCTTTTCTCGCCAACCTACTAAATCCTGAGAGTTCTCTGCCCCGTCGAAGTGCAGAATAGGCGGCACACCTGCTTCCCCCATATGGCGCTTGCGCCGCGATCTGCGAGCCAGTTTCAAGCGGTGCGGATGACCACCACATTCAGCTTGGATGGCAATCGGGCGAGATCAGCGACATCAGTTGCTTGGGCCTTGACAGGAAGGCCATCTCCATGCAAGTGCTACACCTTGCTCGACAACTTGCGCTGGACGACCTACATACCCTGACAGAACCACACTCGGCAGCGCAGGCAGAGGTCGTCACCACCTGCACAGCGGCGTAGAGTGTAGCATACTTTGCAGTGAGGTAGCACCTAGCGTACGAGAGAGCAGCAAGGTTATCATAGCTGTCTTAGAGCTATCGATCACCAAAACGTGTGAGCTGTTCTCAACAAGATTGGAGAGTTTCTGTCGCAATGGCCGAAACAGCCCCTTTGGATTTCGAGCGTCATCCCTGGCGTCGCTGTTCGTGCGTCCTGCAAAGACGCATGCCCTCTGCGCCGCCGTGTTTGACGCCCCTCTGGCCGATCGTCTCGCGTTTGCCATCTTCGCGAGGATAGATGCGCTATTGCTAAAGTTTCCGTGCATGCCCGGCTCTTTCCAGTCCGCGAAGATATACGAGGGGATCAGGCGAGCAACACAAGGTTCGTCTCTTCCCTCTCGCCAGAATGTCGCATACGCCAGTTGCACCTCGCTGCAGTGCGCGTCACCAACCCCAATTCGCACAGGGTACGGAAAGTCTTCCACATTCACACCACCCCTTGAGACTTCCGTGAAACCCGCAATGAGCATCGACGCTGTCCGGCCAGCTCTGCCCAGATAATCTCGCCCAGTCAAGACGTAGGTCACCCCATCTTTGTGTGTCACCCACATGAGACGTTGGACTCCGCGGATTGCATCTGGGGGCCAAGATGCTGGATTGTGGGAACAGAATCCGGTCTGGTTGCATCCCCGTGCTGCACATGGGTGGTGCAGTGAGAGTTGAGACACATCTGCGAAGATTTGTCTATCCATATGCGCCAAGGCGCGTCTGCGTGGCTGAACTGAACTTTCTTCAGGTGTCTCAAAAAAGAAAAGTTGCGAACGTGAAGGCTGTCTCGCCGCAGTGCACTTGGAGCACTTGGAGTGCAGTCCTTATCCGCACATCCAGCGGAGCTGGGAACGCTTTTCTTCTTTCTGGCAGCATGAGCGGCGCCATCCGCCCCTCCCTCGTGCTCTCCGACCTGGCTCAGGGCAACCTGGCCTCACTACTCGCCCTCCTCTCTGAGCTGACGCGCAGCACGTCACGCATTGCCCAGCTCGACGCGCGGCACGACACCGAGAGGCAGGACACGCTGCTCACCTGGGCCGCTTGTTACGGGCAGGCCGAGGCGGTGCGGCTGCTGCTCGAGGGCGGCGCGAGCGTCGGGGCGACGACTGGCGGCGGCGCTTCCGCGCTGCATATCGCGTGCCAACAGGGCCACGTCCAGTGCGCGCGGCTGCTTCTCGAAGCGAGCGCGGCGGTCAACCAAGCGGCGGGTGGAGGCTTCTCGCCGCTGCGCATCGCGAGCCAGCTGGGCCACCTCGAGATCGCCCAGCTGCTGCGCGACGCTGGCGCTGACATCAACCAAGCCACGCAGGATGGTGGCACGCCGCTGATCATCGCGTGTCAGAACGAGCGCCTCGAGATAGCGCGGCTGCTTCTCAAGGCTGGCGCGTCGGTCAACCAAGCCACGAATATTGGCGTCACGCCGCTCTTCATGGCGTGCCAGCACGGCCACCTCAAGATCGCCAGGCTGCTCCTCGAGGCTGGCGCGTCGGTCAACCAAGCCAGGGACGACGGTACCACGCCGCTGTTCATGGCGTGCCAGAAGGGCCACCTCGAGATCGTCCGGCTGCTCCTCGAGGCTGGCGCGGCGCCCGACCAAGCTGCTGATGACGGCGTCACGCCGCTGGTCGTTGCGTGCTACCAGGGCCACCTCGACGTCGCCAAGCTCCTCTCCTCCTACGGCGCCTCCCGCGCCGCTACGCCCTTCGGCACGACCGTGGAGGCCGCAAACAGCCGCGGCCACGCCGACCTCGCCGCCTGGCTGGTCGCCAGCCGCGGCTGGACGCCGCTCCAGCACCTCGAGGCGTTTCCAAGACTAGCGGCCGAAGGCGTGAGTGCATTGCCCTCACGCCCATTGCCCCTCTTCCGCAGGCGCTCACCTTCGACCGAGCGCGGGCGCTGCTGCGCGGCGGCGCGGACTCTTCGGCCGGCGAGCCTTCTGCCCTCGAGCGGGCGCGCGTCCTCTGCTCGTGGGGCGAGTCGGATCCGACCGCTGCGGCCGTCGGTTCCAGAGTCGAGATCCGCTCTCTGGTCTCGCGGCCGTCGATGAACGGCAAGGTCGGCGTCATCGTCTCCGCAAACGCTTCGACGGCCCGCTTCGGCGTGCGCGTGGCGGGCGAGGCCAAGGCGCTCGCACTGAGGCGCGCAATGCAATGGTCTCTCCCCGACTCGCCGGAGCCTCTCTTGAATACCCCATGCCTCTGCCCTCCCTCAGGCCGGCCAACTTGCAGCCAGCGGCCGAGGCGGTGGAGGTGGGCAGGCTCATCCTCAAGGCGGCGGAGTGGTCGCCGCAGTCGCACGAGCTCTTCCCGGAGCCGGCTCGCAAGCGGGCGGTCGAGGTGATGCGGCTGGGCTACCTGATCGCCTGGGACGAGGCGCGCTTCGACAGCCGCGAGGGAGCGGCTCCAGAGCTGGCTGACGTCTGGCGCGGCTTTGTGCTGCCAAGGGTGGTGGTGCGATGACTGCACAAGCCACAACGGTCCTGTGTTTTCGTGATCGTGGCAGGCCAAACGCAACGTGTTAGATACTTTTTTTGTAGAGGGATACGCAATAAGCTATACAGGGCGGCAGTCGACTCTCCTACCAGTGCTGTCCGTGGCCTCTGCCGCCTGCGCGGCCCCTCCATCGCCCCGCCCGCCCCCCTCGCCCACGCCTCACGTAGTACTCTGTTGCCCCCGTGCCCCGTGCGACCGTCGAGGAGCGCGGCGCGGCGCTCGTCGCCCCTCACTGCGCGCCGTTGCTCGGCGAACCGCGAGCGAAAGCTGCGACGCGCTGGCTGCTGTGGAGCTTGCTGCTCTCACCGTTGGAGCGGGCGGAGACGGGGCAGCTCGCGCGGGCGGCGGGGCGGCCCGGCACCTGCGGGGGGATGTGGCGCAGCATGCCTCCGAGGGAGAGGCGGGCGGTGGACGAGGGAGCAGCGGGGAGAGAGCTTGGGAGAGGGGGGAGGCGGAGGGGAGAGGGGGGTGAGGAGAGCGGGGAGGGGAGGAGGGGAGGGAGAAGGGGGGCATAGGAGAGCGGGGAAGGTGAGGGGAGGGAGGGGGAGGGGAGGGGAGGGTGAAGGGCAGGGGAGGGAGGGGAGGGGGGGGGGGTAAGGCTGCCCGGCCCACCTCGAGGCGGAAATCCTCACCCTCTGGGCCGGCGCGGGGGCCCCAGAGGGTGTCCATGCGGGGGGGCGATGGGGTCCCATGGCCCGCCGCAGGCGCCGATTTCGCTTTTTTTTTTGCGCGATTTTTCAGTTGTTTTCACGGGAATTCGGCGTACTTGCGGCCATGCTATCACGCCTTGCGACATCCTTTCGGCGCTGCTGACCGTGCCGTGCTGCACAATTGATCACCTGCATAGCTCGCGGCCTTAGTATCAAGCATTCAGTGACGACCTGATCGTACGGCCAGTAGGAAGGTCAAGGTGTCCTTCCATCGTGTGCACGCTTGGTGCAATGCGCGTCGCCTCGGATTGGCTGCTGGCACTCTCGAGGCTATGCCTACACAGCCTCGCGCGCATGGGCAGTCATGAAGGACCACGCACCTTCTCAGGACAGCGCCGGTGCCTCTCTCTTGGACCGGCAAACTTTGTGGTCTAGTGTCACCAATATGGGACCGAGGGCGCAGTCGTCGACGTTGGCGTGTCTGACTCAGAGGAGGAGTTGGAGGTGCTCCAGCAACCTAACCTGATCCAGAAGCTCGCCGACGTTGTCAGGTTACGTGCGTCATGCGTGATCGAGCTTTCCCCTGACCATGCCCGTGATAGCACCATCACTGTCGCCGTCCTGGTTTTGAACGTGGCAGCTAGGCTCTAGGGACTCGGTAGTCGTGACCGCCCCCTGAGTGTGAGGAGCAGGAGAGAGAGAGCTTTGTGGTGTTGGTGTACGCAATAACGGGACAGGGTGGTTGTTCTCTCCATCTCCCCTTCTAGCTCTTAGCATGAGCTGCGCCCTGTGTCCGACCCCTTTTGCGCAGCAACACCTTAAACTTTCAGGCCCTCCAAATTCGGGTCGGAGCAGGTGTGTATTCTTTTTCAATGTATGTGGCTCTTACGTACATTCCCGGAGGAGGACTTGCTGACAGGGTTTGCGATGAGGAGTGACCCGAAGGGTTTCTCGGGGTTAGTGCACCACTAACCGCCTCTGCAAGAGCACTGCGACGGATCGGGCTCATACTAGCACCCACCTCGCGAGCCGACGTTCTGGCTCAACGAGGCTGCTGCTGGCACTCGGGGCCGACTTTCTGGCCCAGCGAGGCCGCTGCGGGGCACACGGCGGCACGGGTCACTCCTCAACACAAACCCCGTCGAAGCAGGAAGTGAGGTCAGGTGTGTGTGTAAAGGCGGCGCGGCACTGCAAGGGGCAGCGGTAAGGCGGCGCGGCGGCAACAGACGGCAGGCAGGGCATCGGACGGCGGGACAAACGGCACGGGGCGTGGCACTGTAGGAGCGGCGGTACGGCGGCACGGCGGTAACGGACGGCAGGGGGGGCGGCGGGCTAAACGGCAAGGGCGGCGCGGCACGGAGGAAGGAGCGGCACGGCAGGGAGGAGCAAGGACGGCGCGGTAACGGCAGGATCACGGATAGGCGTGGCACGGATAGGAGCGAGCGAGCGGCTAGGTGGCGGGAGGGCGAGGCGAGGGTGGCGGCGGGTGGATCACGAGGAGGTAGAAGGTCTGGCGCGAGCGGGTGAGCGAACGGCGAGCGAGCGGCTAGGCGGCGGGGGTTAGGGTGGCGGCGGGTTGATCACGAGGAAGTAGAAGGTCGAGCGCGAACGTGCGAGCGAGCGGCAGACGAGCGGCTAGTTTTTGCTTGGGGCGGACAGCATGATGAAATTCTGGAAAAACCTGACCGGCCCCTGCGGTGCCCCTACCTACCTACCTACCTACCTACCCTACTTATGGGAAACTAAAAAAGAAATCACGGTATGGGTGAAGGTGGGGTACTATACCAACTAAAGTGATGGCTGGTGGTACTCTCCTGCAATCACAGTCCTTCCTGTGACATGGCAGGCCACTATCAAGCCCTACAAGCACCAGATCACCGACTTGGGGAGGGTTGACGTCGTGATTTTCGCCGAAAATTTCTTTTTTTGCTGTGAAAATTCCGGCGTGAAGAGAGGGAAAAACCCGACGGGAGCGCCCAGACCTACCCTACCTACCCCGTCATGCTGTCCGCCCCAAGCAAAAGTATACACACCTGGTCGGAGCGCGTATAGCGGAGTGGGCCCCGAGTTTGAAAAAGGGCGACGGACGCTTGCGTCCTAGCCTCCAACAACGCCTCCCCGGCGCAGAGGGGCCCCCGGAGGGATGCACAACCGCTCCACGCCACGCCGCTTGCGGCGGTCCTCTTCCTTCCCAGCTCCGCTGAGGGAGGGCCACGTTATTTTTGGCGCCCCCGACTGTCAGAGTTATGTCCGCGGGCGAGCCACCTGTGTGCCCTGTGGTAAAGGACTTTCTCGCTCGGCAGGGCATCATCGCCTTCGCTGGTCTCGTCTTCCTCGGCTGGACGTGGGTCCGTGTGCGTCGTGGTCTCGAGACCCGCGACGTGCGGACGTTTGCGGCAGACACGTCCAAGCAGGCGGGGCAACAGGCCATGGGCGGCGCCATGATGGTGGTGCTGGGGCACAAGCTCGCCGAGGACGGCTTCTCGCCCCTCGCCTGGTACGGTGCGCTTTATCCCTTCGAGATTGTGCTCACCACCGGCTTCACCGGCGTGTTTCGGCGGCTGAACGAGGTGCGCCACGCACACGAGGGCCCGCGCCGCCAAGGGAGCCGCCGCTACACGTCTGCGCCGCGCCGCGCCTTCTCAGGCACTCGCGCTGCACATTTCCACCGAGAAGCCGTGGCTAAGCTGGGCGCAGCCGCTGGCCAATGTCGGCCAGTACGGGCCCGGAGGCCGGTCCGACTTTCGGTGCTCGTGGTACGCGGCGCAGCTGCTGCAGGCCGCCTGCTCGCCCCCGGCCGTGTGGCGCAGGCTGCCCTCCCGCCGCCTCCGAGTGCCAGCCCCCGCCGTCAGTGCCTCCGCAGGCGACGCTGCTGATCGGGCTACCTGCGAGGCTCTGCGCACTCGGGTTAGTCTCCGCGTCGCTGCTGCTGCTCCCCTCGCCGCTGAGCCCGTGCCACCAGCTCGCGCGCGCATACTTCCTCTCGGGCTGGCCGTGCGGCGTGCAGGCCTCACCCCAACCCCAACCCCAACCCCTCGGTGGCTGTGTGGCGCGCAAGCCGCCGCCATCCTACACGCCTGCCCCAACCCCAACCCCCAACCCCAACCCCTGCAGGCCGCCGCCATCCTATACGCCTGCCCCCTCCTCGGGGACGCCGTGCAGTTCATCGTCATCGACCGGCTGCAGGCGGCGCAGCCCCCCTGCTCGGGCCCAGGGCCCGCGGAGCCCAGGCCGGAGCCCGACCCACTGGCCCTCCACGCCCGAGACGGAAGCCCGAGACCAGACCCTCCAAGCCCGTCGCTCAACCTGCTGCAGGCGGCGCGAGGCCCGGCGCCCGGCCGCCGCTCCCTCGGCTCGTCCCGCCCCTCCGTGATGGCGAGGGTAAGCCACGTGCTCGCTCCCTTCTCCGCGCGCCGCTCCTCGGACGGGTCGCCGCACGACGACGAGCTAGGCAGGCGCATCCTGCTCACGCCCTCGCAGCCAACCTCGCACGACCCCTCCCCGGACGGGAGCAGAGCAGCCGCCGCCGCAGGGCCTCCGGACCACAGACTGCCGTGACGTCGCAGCGCCGCCTCGCCGCCGCCGCCACCGCCAGCCACATCATTGTTCTTCGGCGCTCGTGAACCACTTATTTCAGTTTTGAATATAATTTTGTGTGGGAGGGCTGGGCCGTGGGCCGAGGCGGCGAGGCGCGCGGCGTACGCGGTACGCGGTACGGCTTTAACGTACCTCTTTATGTGGTATGTGTGCGGTGTGGCGTGTGTGGGTGCGCGACCGCGCCGTGCCGGCGCGCGGGGCCCGAGCGCTCCGACTCTCACTCTGCACAGGTTGGGGACCGTCTGAGCTCCCACAGTCAGCTGCTCACTGCTCAGCTCACGCGCGCGGGTAACACCTAACACGCGAGACCGGACCACTCGCTCACTCGCGCCGCGCTCGGCTCTGACTCGCCACACCGCCCCAGCGCTCAAAGCCAAAATACATAGACAGCGGAGCGCACGTATGTTTGGGTCACTTGTGACGGCTCTCGCACACCGCGCCGCGAGGTCGCATCGGGCTGGACTCCGCCGAAGAGCAAAACGAGTCGTCGGCCGCGGCGCGTATGCCCTCCGACTCGCACGCCGTGCCGCGGTTTCCTGATAGCGGTCCGCGCCGCCTTCTCCGCCACCAATCCACGCCCTTGCGGGCGGCGACGCACAGCGAGAGAGCGAGCGACGCCGCGCCGAGCCAGACGCCGCAGAGGGCCGCCCTGCGCCCGAGCCAGCCGCAGCTGCTCGTCGCGCCGATGTGGCGGGGGAGCGGCGGGCCGGGGCGAGCGAGCGGCGAGGCGGCCGGCTCCGGGAGGGTGCTGTTGGCGGTTGTTCCGACGGGCGGGGCGGGGAAGGTGAGCAGCTGCAAGGCGGCGACTCCGAAGGCGAGTGCGGCGGCGGCGAGCATCGGCAGGTCGAGGAGGGCCATCTCGCCGTCGAGGAGGCCTCGCCGCTTCTGCAGCGCGAGGAGAGAGGCGCCGAGGAGGAGGCCGAGCCCGAGCTTGAGGTGGCGCGCCGCGTCGTCGTCGTCGAGCTGCGGGGGGAGGGCCGCGGGTGAGAGCGATCGCCGGTGACGAGGAGGCTGGGGTGAGGCTTCGAGGGCGACCTGCGGGTGGCCGAGGAACAGGAGTCCCACCCAGCCGACGCAGAGGCCCCACAAAAGGTGCGGCCAGAGCAGCGCGTCGGCGCGTCGGCGCGGGAGCGTGAGCAGCGCCTGCGCGAAGCGGACCTCGGCGGCGCCGGCCGCGGCCAGGAGCAGGCCCATCGCGAGGTGCTGCAGCTGGGCGAGGTCACGCAGCGCAAAGTCGCACTTTTCGGCGAACGTGACCGACGGCTTGATCAGCCATCCAACCCACCCAATGAGCCACAGCCCGCAGGCGCCGGTCGCGCCTCCGGCGAGCAGGAAGGCGCGCCGCAGCGACAGCGCCTCCAGGAAGAGGCAAGCCCACACGAGCAGCACCGCTATGGCCAACACGCCAAAAATGCGGTGCGCAAGCCACACGCCGTGCGACCATTCGCCCTGATCTAGCCAGGGCACGGCGAATCTGTCGCCGCTGCATTCCATTAGTGATGAGGGCGTGGGAGTGTCGCTCAGCGCGGCACACACCGAAAAGAAGAAAAGTAGAGCTTGTTGTCCGTTTTTCTTTCTTTTTTTCTGGCCGTCCGGCCGAAGGCGAGGCAAAAAGAGACGGCTACATGGTAAGAACCACGTCCGCGAATGCACGACCACGAGAAGACGACCTGCGACTCCTCCCGCTCGCGCGAATAAAGCTTAAAGGATAACGGACACTGATCACAAGAGCGAGATTTCTTGTTGGGGTTCAAAAAAATCTCTCTGATCACTGGCATTGGATTGAAGATCCGTCACCGGCCGGGTTTGCCGAGCGGCAGCGGCGGCGGCTCGTCGAGCGGGAGCGGCCCCGACTCGTCCGCGGGCAGCCCGAGCTCTTTGAGCGAGATCTGGCCGCTGCCGCGCGAGAGGGGTCGCTGCTGCGACTCGTGCGGCGCCCACCCGATCAGGTACACCACCTGAAAGGCGGCGGGCACGTTTCCCTCCTCGTCGCCGTAAATCTCGCCGTAGGCCGAGGCGGCGGCGAGGAGCGGGTCGAGGCCGACCGCGGAGCGCTGCAGGTTGGCGGCGGACTCGCCCATCGAGCGGAGGTGGTGCCACAGCGTCCACGCGTCCGGGTAGTGGATCACGATCGTCTCGGTGTCCACCGTCGGCAGAGCGAGGCCCGACGCCTGCAGCAGCGCTCCAGCGTCCGCCATCGAGACGAGCGGGGACATGTGCTGCGAGACGCCGCCGCGCCGCTCGAGATCGGCGAGGACAAAGGCGGACCGCATCTCCGCCAGCGTCTCGCCGCCGAGGAAGGCGCACAGGAAGAGCCCGTTCGGCTTGAGGGCGCGCCGCACCATCTTGAGCGTGCCCGGCAGGTCGTTGATCCAGTGGAGAGCCATCGAGCAGACGACGAGGTCGACCGACTCGCGCTCGAGGACCACCTCCTCCTCGTCCAGGCACGCCTGCTCCACCTCGAACGGCGTGCCCTCCGCCCCGTGCACCGGCGGCGACGGCCCGGCGGCGTCGTCCGCAGAGCGGCGCAGCATCCGCGCGGAACAGTCGATCTCACGGAGGCGCCGGATGCCGCGGTCGTTGCCGAGGGCGCCGAGCGCGCGCCGCACGTGGCCGGACCCGCAGCCCAGGTCGACCACCTCTGCAAACGAGTAGGACTCGTGGATGTCGTCGAGCCGCTCGACCAGCCGGTTCGCGACCTCGTCGCGCAGGTAGGCGTAGCGGTCGTAGTCCGATGCGGCGGCGGCGGCGTCGCGCTGCCACGCCTTCAGCCGCCGATCGAACACCTGCACGCTGGAGAGGCGGCGGACAGGCGGCCGGAGGCCGCGGAGCAGCCTGGTCGCCCACATATTTTTTCTACTCTCGTGAGCTGTGAACAGACGCACTTGCCTTCGGGGGCAAGTACCCAAATCCGCTAGGTTGGGCGTGCTTTCACAGCCTCACGAGAGTACTATTTTTCTGACGAAGTGTTTCTCTTTGTGAGCCTTTGAGCTTCTCCACCTTCGACAGAGAGATTTTCCAGTCATGTAGCTCTTAATACCCGAGGGTGAACTGCTGACAGGGTTTGCGATGAGGAGCGATCCGAACGTGGTGTTCGGGTGATCAGATCACTACCGCCGAAGCGCTTGGAGCAAGGCCAACGCCAAGGGAACTGCCACCGTATGAGTTGTTTGCCACGTATGCGGTATGGGTCCCAGACTAGCACCCCACCTCGCGAGCCGACGTTCTGGCTCAGCGAGGTTGCTATTTTTGAAAACCAACATTTCTTCACCTTCGATGCCTGCATTCAGTTGTGCGCCAAAATTCTCCTTCTTTCTAATCCCTAATCGAACCCTGGTAGCTTCTGGCCAGCCCGCAGGAAAGAGCCAACCATTTGGCGCTCGTTTAGCAGTCCGGGCGGCCCGTGCTGTGCGACCAGTTCAGCCGGTACAGAGTTTGCGAAGCGGTTGATGCAGAACCACCTGCGCGAGAGGGATTTGGGGGGGGGGGGGGGGTGCTCACTGAGTGCGCATGGCAAGCGGGTGCAAACGGAGCGCATCACTTGTTCGAACAAAGCCACGCGTTGCCCACCGTTTTGGGCTGCAGCCGACTGAACTTCTTGATGTTGGACGCATTCACAAAGGCAATCACAGAGTAGCGTGCCGCGAGGTCGAGTGTGGGCGAATCGAGCAGGTTGTGGAGGTGTTCGTTTGGGAAGTTGATGACATTGCGGCAGTCGAATCTCATGCCGCACTGCTCCTGGACCACGTAGGATGTATACGAAAGCGATTGCACCAGCCGGAGCAGCGTCTCGGCGGCGGGGTGATGCGCAGCCAGCTCCATACTGAACACAGGACGGTCACGGGCAAGGGTCGATCGCATTCCTGACACGGCCAGGGCTTCCATGCCCTCGAGGTCCAGGTGAGCGAAACCGAGCGGGCTGTTCCACTCCTCCACCAGTGAATCGATGGTGCGCACCGCAACATCGTGCGCCGGGTTGCTGTTGTCGGTCCGTGCCGCTGATCTCTGCTGGATGTCACCAATTTGTATTGACATGTCGAATCCAACACCGCCTTCCGTCTTGCCATGCAGCACGCCGGACGCGTTGGAGACAGCCGCCACATACGTGCGGAGGTTTCTGTGAGCTTTCATGCAGCTGCCCAGCGTTCGTACGAGCTTCCGGGACGGATCGACGGCGCGGACCGTGCGCTCCGGCTGCTGGCAGGCATACATGCATGACCACGAACCGTCACGCGCTCCCACATCGAGCACGTCGCCCGAGCGAATGGCTCCGGGCTCGTTGAACAGGCCGTGCACGATTGCGTTGAAGCTCAGCTCCGACATTGGTTTGTTGCACAGGCCGTTTCGCAGAGTGGAGCCGATCTCGCTGAGCAGAGCCGCCACAACGACAGGCAGCATATCGCGTACTTGAAAAGGCGCTGAGAAGGCGTCGCAAACAACTGCTGGGTGTGAAGATTTCGTACAAGAGAGAGAGAAAAGAGAGAGGAGTTTGTGTTCTCTAGGCCCCTAAGGGCCCTACGCGCGGCGTGAGAGCTCGGAAGCGAGCTTTGCACGGCGATCGAGGATGGCACGGTTCACCCCCTTCACCGAAGCGATGGAGATGCGTTCCGCGTGGTGTGACACAAATGAGAGGCGGGAGTGGGGAGGGTACGCAGTGCCCCCTCTCTCTTTTCTCCCAGTAAGCTAAAAGTACGTACACGAGCAGCAGGGAGCTCCGCAACAAGGATTTGAAGCGTCGCTGGAAAAGAAAAGGACGGGCAAAGAAACCGACCAGTGTTGTGTCGAGACTCTCCATCGAGCAAATGTTTTGTTTCTTTCTTTCGAGCGGCGAGCGCGCGCCGCGCGATTGAGCGCCATCCACCCATCCTGGCAACCATCCTCCGCCCGTCGTCCACGTCCACCTCGTCCCCGCTCGGCCGCGCGCTGCGGATGCGCGGCTCGCGCCCGCCGAAGAAGCCTCGGGCCATCGCTGCGGAGGGCTCGACGCTCGCTCGCGCTCCTCCGCTGCTCCGTGTTTGCTCCTACAACGTGCTCGCGCAGACGCACCTCGAGACGCACAGCCACCTCTACCGCGGCGCGCCGCCCGACGCGCTCGACGGGCCGACGCGGCTCGCGCGGCTCATCTCTCAGCTCGCCGGCCTGGGAGCGGATGTGCTCGCGCTGCAGGAGGTGGAGCCTCCTGTCTTTGCCGCGCTCAGCCAGGCGCTCGGCGCGTACGGCGTGCGCGGCGTGTACAAGCAGCGCACCGGCGCCGGCCAGCCCGACGGCGTGGCGGTCTTCCTCCGCACGCCGCGGCTGCAGCTGCTGTGCGTCGAGGAGGTCGAGTTTGCGGCGCTGGCGAAGCGGGAGCCCGACCTCGTTGTGCCCCCGCCGAGCGCCGAGCTCGCGCTGCGGCTGCGCAGGCAGGCGGACAAGGGCCAGGTCGCCCTCCTCGTGACCGTCCTCGACACACAGAGCGGTGGGGAGAGATAGAGCCTCCAGAGCAGAGAGCGACGCCGGAGCGGGGAGAGAGAGTCGAAAGAGCAGGGCCTAGTCTCTGCGCCCCTCGGCTGCTCCCTCCCCGCCCGACACGCCCCGCCCCCGGGCCGCAGGCGCCCGCCTCGTCGTCGGCTGCACCCACATCTTGTTCAACCCGAGCCGTGGCGCGGTCAAGCTCGGCCAGGTGCGAGAGCATATTTTGCTATATTATATCAAGCTCGGCCAGGTGCGAGAGCTCATCTTGTATCAAGCTCGGCCAGGTGCGAGAGCTCGTCACGAGGGCGCAGAGGGGCGCTGCGGCGGCGGGCGCGGGCGTCGTGATCTGCGGCGACTTCAACTGCTCGCCGACGTCGCTGCTCCGCTCCTACCTGGGCGGCTCGCCGGTCGACGCGCCGCTGAGCGAGGAGGAGCTCTGGGACGGGTCGGCAAGCCTCAAGTGGGGAGGAGGGGCCCGGCGGGGGCGAGGCGGGCGTGCGGCGGGGCGGGGCGGAGGAGGGCGCCACCGCGGCGGCGCTCCCGCCGACGCGCCGCGCGTGGTCGCCGCGCCGCACCCGCTGGCCGATCGGCTGAGGAGCGCCTACCTGGCGGCGGGAGGGAAGGAGCCGGATGCGACGACCTGCCACGCCGACGCGTGCGGCACCGTCGACTACATCATGTACGACGCGCGCGCCCTCTCGCCGCGCACGCTGCTGCCGACGCCGTCGCTGCGCGAGGTGCTCGCCGAGGGCGCGCGGTGGCCGTCGCGACAGCGGCCGTCGGACCACGTGCCGATCGCCTGCGACTTGGAGGTGCTAGTGGCGGGGCCGGGGGGAAGAGGGGGGGAATGACTTACGTAAACAGATCAAGATGATGTTGTCGATGATTGCGTGCGTTCGTTGTTCGACGACGGGGGTCTCACACAAAGGCCTCTCCCTCCTCCTCCTCCTCTTCCTCTCCTTCCTCCTAGATAGAGCGTCGCGTCCTACCACAAGCTCAAGGGAGGTGCACTGTGAACGTGGAGCGACATAATAGGCTCGGGAGCTCAGGCCCATCTTGTGCGATGCGCAGCGCCCTGCTTCTCGCTCTCGCCGCGCCTGCCGCGGCGCTCGCGCCGGGCAGCATGCTCAGCAGCAGCCGCGTGGTGTGCCGCGGGGGCGCGCCCGACATGATCGAGCGCGGCTCAAAAGTGCGCGTGCTGCGGCCCGAGTCTTACTGGTGCGGCGCCACCACGACCCTCATTGCACCATCCTCAGACCAACGCGATGGCGAGCCACGTAGCCTGCGGCGGGCGTCGCTGGTCGCCCGCTGGGCGCACCGCCCCGTCGCCGCGCTCGCACGTCACTTACTGTGGGCCCCACTTCTGGTCAACGCCGCCGCCGCCGCTGCCCGAGCTGCCTCGCCTTCACCTCTGTAGGTTCCAGGAGTGCGGCTCGGTCGCTACCATCGCCAAGGGTGGCGACCGGTATCCGGTGGTGGTGCGCTTCGAGAAGGCGCGCCGCACCCCCGTCCTCGCCAGCGAGTGCGTGTTTGACTGCGTGCCGGCCGCTGGCGGCTGCCGCCCCCTCCCCCGCCCTCCCCCGCCTCCCCCGCCGCCGGGGCCGGTGATTTTCGCGCGCCCCCCCCCCCAGGTGAATTACCCCGGGGTCGCGCCCAACAACTTTGCCCTGGATGAGCTTGGGGAGGCGGGTCTTTTTGCAGGGCTGCCAGCCCGCCTCCCGCCTCCCCCCCCCCCCCCCCCCCGCCAGCGCCCCTATGCATTTAGAGCCGCGCCCCCTCTGCTTCTCTCGCTGAGGCGGACCCGCCCGCCTTGCACAGGTGGAGGCCCCCGCCAAGAAGAAGGCGGCGAAGGCGGCTCCGGCGGCGAAGGAGGGTGCTCCCGCCGCCAAGGCTGCTCCTGCGGCGAAGGAGGTTTGCTGACCCACTGGAAGGGGGGGGAGGGGTCCCCCCTGGGGGAGAGAGTTTGCCCTGGGTGTGCCATATCGTTGCCCTCCTCCCCTGCTGGCCGACGTCCCCTCTCCCGCCCTCCTGCAGGTTGCGGCCAAGAAGTAGACGCTGCTCTGTGCTTGGGAGGGTGAGCACCGCCCCCCCCCCCCTCACCTCCCCCCCTTCTCCTCGTGCTCTCCGTCTCCGACCCCCTCTCCCCTCCCTTCCGCAGGGCATTGCGGTGCACCGTCTGTTCGCTCGTCTTGTGTACCCCTCCCCCAACTCTGCCCTTGCCAGTTTGCTTCCCTGCCACAGCCTTTGCCGGGCCTGTCAGCGTATCTGTTTTTCTAGATTGGTCGTTTTCCCTTCTCGTGTCTTCTGTGAAAATCGCGCACGATATGAACATAAAAAGGCGCAAGGCCTGCGCTCCCCCCTTCCGTCGGCCTGAGGCTGGGCGCACCTAGGCACACCGACAGCGACACGGCGGCGGCGCGCGCCCCTCGTGTCTCGCGGCGCCTCTCGTATACAACTCCAGGCGTCGGCCGCCCTGCCCCTGGCCTCCCGGCGGCCGCCCTTTCCCTCGCCGCACGCTTTTTACGATGCGATGGGCACGAGCACCTCTCTGCCCGCGGGCGGCGCAGTCGCCGCGGCCGGCTCCTCCCCCCCGGCGACCAGGAGGGACTCGCCGTCGGCGGCGGGGGCGGGCGGCGAGGGGGAGGCGTCGGAGAGGGAGAGCGTGGCACCGGGCAGTAAGCTCGGGTCGAGGCCTGGAGAGCGGGGCGGGCGTGCGGCGGTGGGGGGGGGGGGGGGGGGTGGACCACCGTCCTTCGGGGAGGGTGTGGAGAGCACCGGCGGAGGCGAGGGCGGAGGCGTAGTGGCGCGACCGGTCGGCGAGGTACGCGCGGTCGAGGAGAGACGAGTCCGGTGCCACCTGGGGAGGGGAGGGAGCAGCGCGCCTCAGGGGGGTGGGCGGTGCGGAAGCGGGCCGAGGCGGGGCGGGCGGAGGCGTGCTGCGCCGAGATGAAGGTGCGAGACGTGGCTTCGACGAGCTCCTTGAGCCGCTGCCGCTGCGGCCCTCCGCCTGCGTCGGCCGAGGCGGGCGTGGCGCCCGGGTCGTGCGCCGCGTCGACGAGCGCAGCCTCGAGCCCGGGCGGGGGCGTGTTCTTCTCCAGAAAGTCGCCTGCGGGCGGCGGCGGGCGGGTCGCCGGCTGCCGGAGGGAAGAGGGCTGGAGGCGAGCGGAGCCGCCGCGCCGAGAGCGCGGTGAGACGCGTAGAGCGGAGTGCCGAGGCAGAGCTGCAGGAAGTGGTTGAGGCCGAGCACGCGCGCCTAGACCGCGCCTCGCACGCGTGAGGGCGCGCCGCGGGCCCAGTGCGGAGCCGGCGGCGGAAGGGTTCGCCTCGATAACCTCTGGCCGCATGCGCCCAAACAGAGCCTTGGGCGGCATGGGCGGCGCGGATCCGAGCTGCTGCAGGAGCGTCGTGCGGAGGTCCTCCCACTCGCGGTACCGCCGAAACACGACCCACGACGCGGAGCCCTTCTTCACTGTGAGCACGTACACCGTGTATGGACTGCACGCAGGCGGACGGCGGCCTCATGCGTGCACGCGCGGGGTGCGATATGGGACACTGGGTTCGGGACACGCACTTTTGATCTGGGCTCGCCGTGTGGAAGGCGGTGATTACTGCGGAGACGGACATGGAAGGCGAGGTCCGCCAGGCGAGCCAGCTTGGCGTGCCCGACTGAAGGCTGCCAGGAAAAAGAATTTGCACGCCCCATATGCTGCCTTGGGTTGTCTCTTTTCTTTCTTTAATATGCCGCAAGGAGGGCGGAGTTGCGCCGAGAGGCGGGAGAAGCCGCGAGGGCAAGGGATATATATACATAGGCAGGCGGCGGCGGCGTCGCGGATGAGGCAGACGAGAGCGACGCGACAGAGGAAGGAAACAAATGAATGACGTGTGAGTGTTAGAGTTGTTTGGTATTGCTAAAACTCTCTCTCAGAGGAAGAAGCGACAAGAGAGAGAACTACGAGAGTGGGACGACCGCGAGGTGGCATGAAGGTTGCAGCGAGAATCGGCGAGGGACTGCGAAGGGAGATAGAAAGAGGCAGACGCCGGAGGTGGGCGACGGCTAGCACCACACTCCTCTCCGCCTTAAAATCCCTGTCTGAGGGAGGGTGATCGGTCACACCGCCATCGCCGTCGGGGAGAGGGGGGACGACACTGCCTCGGCAGCGTGCACCTCGATCCTGTACCGTGTTTGTTATGACCCCCCCCAATGAACACACCAGTGAGGGAGGGCGAGACGATCGGAGGGGTCCCGTACCATGCGGAATCGACCCTATCAAGTGCTCAAGTGCTCAAGGGTGATGGGTGTAGAGGATGTAGAGTGTAGAGCGCTGTAGAGCTGTAGAGCTCTACATCCGCCGCGTGACGATGTGAGTCCGATGAAGAGCGATGTAGAGCGCGATTTTGCTGTAGAGTTTGTTGTAGAGGCTCTACAGCCAAACCGCCGGGAAGGCAGTGACTCAAAGAGGTCGAGCCGCACTAATGGGGTGTCTCCGAGCTTACTGGAGCTCTGATGGACGGCCCTGACTATCCCTGACACACAGAGAGTCACTCTGACGGCACACAACACCCTATAACTGCGTCATGACCAGCCTGCCATGCGTCGCCGGTGCCGCATTCGTCGCTGTGCTTCTTTAGCAGGCGGTGGACTGTCGGCTGCGAGGACGGTCGCATTTGCGCGAGGCGAGGCGAGCATTCAGACGCGTTGCATGCGCCATGACTCGCGCCAGCGCGTGCGGGAGCTCCTGGCTGAGCGTTGAGTCCAGGCGAGTTGCGCTGGCCACTATTGCTACGCCGAGCCGAGCTGACGCGCCGAGGCGCCGGCCAGTCGCAGCCGTGAGGCATGCCACAGCAGCAGAGGCACCTGCCACCCATTGGGCGGGCAGACAGAAGGCCAGCTAAAAGTACAGTAAGGGCAAAAACGGGATGATTTTGGTCATCCGTCAAAATATCTGAAGATCTGAATGGGGGATTCTCCCCAAACCTTGCTCAGCTGATCCAGCCTGGGTCGTAGGCCAGGCCTGGGCAAAGAAACCAGTACCTCAACCGGCTTCCCTGAGCGTCACAGCTCGGTGATCGCGCCGGCCGGACACCACTGTAACGTCCGTTCCGGGCATTTGAACGCGACCTTCGGGGGCAAAGACATGGGCTCTATGGCTCAGACTGGACTTCTCTTGGTCCCTTCTGATGCCCTAGGCCACACCTGGGCCTTACCTGGGGTTCTAGGGGCCGGCCAGGGTTTGCCCCCCGAAAGTGGCCCGGAGGACCTTAAGAGATAACCTCGTGGAGGCGCGCGATTTTGTGACTCTCCGTTTTACGCACCAATGACCCTCACCGAAGGTGCATGGGAGTGAATCCGAGTGAAAGCTGAAACACTAGTATTGAAATGCCGAGGTGAGCCGAAAATAAATGGTCGTGCGCCTAAGAAAACCCGCTCCGACAACAGTCAACACCTGTGAGCCGGATGATGAAGACAAACATGCTTAAGTTCTAGAAAAATCCGCATGTAAAATCCATTCAGCCAATCAAAGATCCATTCAATAATAATATATTTGAATTGAGTCCAGAGGGAGAGTTTCTTCGTACAGATAGAGAGAGAGTCAACCGCCTTGCGCGCAAGGCTCAACGCTCGGGCGTTGACCGCACCACGTACCCTCCCCACTCCCGCCTCTCATTTGTGTCACACCACGCGGAACGCATCTCCATCGCTTCGGTGAAGGGGGTGAAGCGCGCCATCCTCGATCGCCGTGCAAAGCTCGCTTCCGAGCTCTCACGCCGCGCGTAGGGCCCTTAAAGGCCTAGAGAACACAACCCCCTCTCTCCCTTTTCTCCCAGTAAGCTAAAAGTACAGTACAGATATGTCCCTGCATGAGCTGGAGGTCCGGATTGTTCCGCCCACTCCAGATGGACAGAGAGAGCCCACCTTGATTGATGGTGCGCCCGCGCCTGTGAGGTGTGACTGTGAGGCAGATAACCGCACACTCCAATCTCCAAGAGCTCCAACGTCCAAGTCGGCCGTTCTCCGTTTTCTTTCTCTTCTCCCTCCCTCGGCGATTCTTTCTAGCTTTCTGAGCGGGGGCCGGCGCTGGTTCTACATGCACATGACATGACATGCACATGACATGTGCATGTGCATGTGCATGCACATGCACACCTACACCTACACCTCTCCTCCAACTAACGAAGGAGAACACCGACGGAAATGAACATTCAGGTAGGAAGCGCCTAGGGGTTCGGCGGCTGCGGCTGCGCCGCGCGGCCATGCAACGCGAAGCGTGGAAGGCAGGACTGCCCCCCGCCTGACGACTTTGCGCCGAGAGCCATGGCGAGGAGGCGGAGGGATATGTCGCGGTGCGCGCCGCCGATGCATGCGATGGCGAGTTCTTTATAGAGGCCGCCGGCGACAAGGACCTGCGGCGTGGTCTCAAAAAAGCGGGAGAACTGGCAGCCGCCGCGCTGCGGCCGTGTCTCGTGCGCCATCACGATAGGGAGCTTGTCTGCGCGCGCCGCTTGGACTTGCTCCACCAGCCGATCGTCCTTCCACCTGGAGACGGAGCAGGGGCTCGCGGGCGCCGGCCTGCCTCGGTGTGAGCGCACAGTGTGAGGCCAGGACAGCTGTTGGTGAGATTGGTGCAGGCATCTAGGCCCTCTCACGTCTCCTCCGACAGGTATAGCAGCAAGTGCGTCGCCGGCGGTTGGACCTGCCCACCCTCCTCGGGCCCCTCGCTGGCCTCTGCTCTGAAGTCTGCGCTGGCCTCCGCGCTGGCCTCTGAGCTGCTGCCCCTGCGCGCCTGAGTTTTCCTCTGCCCTCTAGCGCGCGTAAGCCGGCCTCGCGCGGTGACGACGGTGATGCCGCCGATCGTCTCGCAGAGCTCGTCGGCGAGCTCGCGTGCGCCGACGTTTGCGGACGAGACCCACAGCGCGACCTACTCGCGGACCGTCTCGGGGTGAGATCGAGGCCCACAGCGCGACTACGCGTGCCCGACTGGCGTTGAAGGGGTGGTGAGAGGGAGGAGGGGGTCCCCAGCGATTGAGCGCGAAAGTGCCGACGATCCGTGGGGCGCTACTACTAGCGACACGGGGCAGAGGCTCGCCGGGCCCTTGAGCGCCAGCGTCTTTTGCTGCAGCTCGCCCGGGATGTGGAGCGGCAGCCGGGCGATGCCCTGGTAGTTGGGCGAATGCAGCAGCACGGCTCGCGCGATCTCCTTGAGCGAGACCACCCGGAACTCCTCGATGCGCTGCCAGACGACGTGCGGGTGCCCGCCGCCGAAGAGGCCCGCCGCCACCTCCTCGATCTCGCACTCGGCGCGCAGCTCGGGCAGCGAGCCGCCGCCCTTGGCTGGGTCCGCCTCCTGCACGAGCACGATCGCCTTGCCTGGTGTGCGGACGCGAGGCCGTTTCGCTCAGCCGACGGCGCCCCGTGAGTGCCGGCGCGAGGGGAATGGGCGCACGCCTTGGTCGAGGGCCGCGCAAACCTCGCGGAGACAGTTCGCGGACCGGAGGTACCCGCGGCTGAGGAAGCAGAGGATGAGCTGCGACTGGCGGATGTACGTCTCGAGCGCCCCAATATCTTCGAGATCGTCCACCTGTGCGCACGCGGTGCGTCTTGGGCGCGATCTCGCTATGAGCGGCGCAGTGATTCTGTGGGCGCGCGCGTCTAGAAAGACGTTTATGCCGGGCAGCAACAGCTGCAGCTCCTTCTTGATGGCGGCGGCGGCGTCCTGACCGGTCGACCAGATGTGGCTGTTGAACAAGTGCCACAGCACACCCCGGTGGAGCGATAGCTCTGGACGTTGTCCGGTCCGGCTAAGCCTGATAGTGGGGACGCCGGCAATACGCCGCAGCCCAACCACGCCGCCGACAATGAAGAGCAAGAGGAGCACTGCCGTCAGCACCAACAGGAAGATGAGGATCCCGTTTGGACTCCTCATGCCGGTGATTGCCTCCGCGTCCGACTGCCCCTCCTCCCCGCCGCCGGGTCGCTCGTCGATCGCCTGCCGGGCGCGCCAAAACGAGTCAGGAGGGGACGTGTTAGGGACGGCGACAGGGGGCTCCCGGTCGGGCTGCCATCCAGACGGTCGAGAGCTGCGAGCCTATTCGAAGACGCGCGCATGTGGGGCCGTGAGACGGCATCGTGGCGGCCCCCTCGAGCGAGTCTAAGAGTCTCGCGCAACACCGTGCCCAGTGTTGTGCGTCTTAGAGATCTCAGCATCTAGGCGCTGCGAAACCGGCAAAGACGAGTGCTACCACCATAGCGGCGGCGGAGGCGAGCATGGCGTCCTACATGACATGCCGGGGTGGCGGAGTCAACCAAAACATGTTGACAGTCGGAGGCTGCCCGCGCCCGGCCGCCGCCACTACCTCGAAGCGCTTGAAGGGCTGCACGAGTGCCACGAGGACGGCGTATACCATGGACAGGACGGTGGCAAAGATGAGCCGGACAAAGGAGCTCGCCTCGTCTCGTGGGCCGATCAGCGCGAAAAAGCCAGTCAGCATGATTTTGCGTGCCAACTCCACCTCCTCCCACCAGTACCACTGCAACTTGTACCTATTCGCAGCGGCGCCCGGGTAAGAGACGCGCGCGGTGCTCAGGCCCCGATCCATCTCTCCGTTGGTCTCACTCTCGGTGCAGAAAGGACGTTGCGCGGCTGAGCGAGTTCGGCCTTTGCTGCAGTAGCGGGCGGCGGACCGGCACCAAGAGTGCAGCGAACAAGACGAGCGAGCCGAGCGGCCACAAGATCGCTGAGCCAACGGCGATGCGAATCGCCTCTCTGTGCTCCTCCGAATCACACTCGAGTCTCAGATCTTGGAGCAAGTTCTTAGAGTAGGTGACGCTGCCGTCGGGCGGCTCGATGAGAGACGTGTAGTACCACTCGCAAGACCAAGCCTGCGACCAGTTGCGGGGAGAAGGGAGGGTGGCGACGGGAGAAAGGCAAAGGGGGGGGGGGGGAGTTGGGAAGTGTCGGCGAGCCGGTGGGATGGTGGAGTGTCAACGACACAATGCGGGCGCCTGAAATGTGTATGCGCTCGTGAGGGGCACGACCATGAAGACGATCACTAGTGCGGCCGGGGTCCAGTCGAGGAGCCCATCCTTGACAGCTTCGGCGAGGGAGCGGCGCGGCGGCGCCGAGGCGCACCACTCTTTGAGGCGGAGGAGGAGACCGACGGCAAGGACGCACGCGATGAGTGTGAACGGTCCCCACTCGTAGAGTAGGAGACGGACGCGGTAAGGGAAGCAGTCCGACGGCAGGAAGAGCTGGATTGGATCGATATTGAATCGGGAGATCGAATCGCCAAAAGCTTGGTATGCGGGCGGCCAGCGGACGCGGTAGTTGGACGATAGCGAGAGTACGACTTGGATGAAGCCAACAAGGATCTTCGCCTGGAAGGGGGGGGGGGGGGGGGTTGAGGGTTGGCTCGCCCAAGCTCAGGGCTCAAGCGAGGACTCGCCTTCGCCGCCAGCCCGATCGCATGGCTGCGTGCGATGCAGCGATCCGAAAACTTCAGGCAAGGCCCGACCACTCGCCGATCCCGCCAAGCCTGCTGCCGATGGACCAAGACCAGCGCGCCAACGAGCAGGGCGACTGCGAGGCAGGCGCCGATGAGCTTCCCTATGGCGGCGGCGGTTCTAGCGGTGGGTGTGCTGGACTCGGAGAAGCACGGCTCGCAACGGCTAGTGCCAACGCGATGCATTCGTTTCCCATCGACGTCCGCACAGAGTTCGCACTCTGGCCCCGCGAATCCGGCTTGGCAATACCCGTCGCCCTCCTCCCCTGCGCTTATCCCACCCATGCAGCGCGACCAGCCGCTGTAGCGACGGCACTGGACGATGCTGTCCGTGCTGCGGCTCGCACGCCAAAAGCCGTCCAGCAGCTCCATGGTTTCGACGGATGTGTTGGCTATACATTTGGTGTGGTCGGGACAACGGCGGCACTGCGGCTCGCCATTGTCATTCGTGTCGACTGGGTAATAGCCCTCTACGCAAAATGGACACGATGCGCTGCCGTCAGTGCTGGAAAGAGGATGCTTGCACAACCTGCAACTCGACTGAGACGTGCTGTAGAAGCCCGGTCGGCACTTGATGCATTCCGTCGCGCCCGTACCATTTGTAGAATAGCCGGCGGGGCAAAGTTCGCATTGGCCGACACCACCTTGGGAAGAATACGTCGCTAAGATACAGGGCTTGCATACGTCGCTGCTGTTGCTACCCGTGGCCGCTCCAAAGGTGCCGGCAGGGCAGTCGTCACAGGCCTCGGCCGAGGCGAGGCCAGACTTGTTCGACCACGTCCCGACTGGACAAAGTCGGCACACGGAGTCGTCCGCGCCGCTGTAGGTGCCCGGGTCGCACTTGGTGCACCTCGAGGCGCCGACCGGCGACGACTCGCCCGGAGGACAGGTGTCACACTGCCCGGAGCCGGCCGCCGAGTAGGTCCCAGCGCGGCAGGGCTCACAGGCGTCCGAGCTGTCCGCGCCCGTCGACGACCCGAAGCTGCCGGCAGCGCAGGGCGTGCAGTCGCCGGCCGAGGCGAGGCCAGACTTGTTCGACCACGTCCCGACCGGGCAGCGCTTGCAGATGCCAAAGTCGTCGACGCCGCTGTAGGTGCCCGGGGAGCACTCGTGGCACTCGGACGCGCCGGACTCGGAGGACGAGCCCTCGCCACACGCCAAGCAGAAGCCCTGGCCGCTGGCGTCCGAGTACGTTCCGGCTCTGCACGGTCGGCAAGTCGCCGCGCTGATTTGCGCAGTCTCGCCCGAGAAGGTGCCGGCGGCGCAGGGTGTGCAGTCGCCGGCCGAGGCGAGGCCAGACTTGTTCGACCACGTCCCGACCGGGCATCTCTTGCAAAGGCCGAAGTCGTCCGCGCCGCTGTAGGTGCCCGGGTCGCACTTGGTGCACCTCGAGGCGCCGACCGGCGACGACTCGCCCGGAGGACAGGTGTCACACTGCCCGGAGCCGGCCGCCGAGTAGGTCCCAGCGCGGCAGGGCTCACAGGCGTCCGAGCTGTCGGCGCCCGTCGACGACCCGAAGCTGCCGGCAGCGCAGGGCGTGCAATCGCCGGCCGAGGCGAGGCCAGACTTGTTCGACCACGTCCCGACCGGGCATCTCTTGCAGATGCCAAAGTCGTCGACGCCGCTGTAGGTGCCCGGGGAGCACTCGTGGCACTCGGACGCGCCGGACTCGGAAGACGAGCCCTCGCCACACGCCAAGCAGAAGCCCTGGCCGCTGGCGTCCGAGTACGTCCCGGCTCTGCACGGTCGGCAAGTCGCCGCGTTGATTTGCGCAGTCTCGCCCGAGAAGGTGCCGGCGGCGCAGGGTGTGCAGTCGCCGGCCGAGGCGAGGCCAGACTTGTTCGACCACGTCCCGACCGGGCATCTCTTGCAAAGGCCGAAGTCGTCCGCGCCGCTGTAGGTGCCCGGGTCGCACTTGGTGCACCTCGAGGCGCCGACCGGCGACGACTCGCCCGGAGGACAGGTGTCACACTGCCCGGAGCCGGCCGCCGAGTAGGTCCCAGCGCGGCAGGGCTCACAGGCGTCCGAGCTGTCCGCGCCCGTCGACGACCCGAAGCTGCCGGCAGCGCAGGGCGTGCAGTCGCCGGCCGAGGCGAGGCCAGACTTGTTCGACCACGTCCCGACCGGGCAGCGCTTGCAGATGCCAAAGTCGTCGTCGCCGCTGTAGGTGCCCGGGGAGCACTCGTGGCACTCGGACGCGCCGGACTCGGAGGACGAGCCCTCGCCACACGCCAAGCAGAAGCCCTGGCCGCTGGCGTCCGAGTACGTCCCGGCTCTGCACGGTCGGCAAGTCGCCGCGCTGATTTGCGCAGTCTCGCCCGAGAAGGTGCCGGCGGCGCAGGGTGTGCAGTCGCCGGCCGAGGCGAGGCCAGACTTGTTCGACCACGTCCCGACCGGGCATCTCTTGCAAAGGCCGAAGTCGTCCGCGCCGCTGTAGGTGCCCGGGTCGCACTTGGTGCACCTCGAGGCGCCGACCGGCGACGACTCGCCCGGAGGACAGGTGTCACACTGCCCGGAGCCGGCCGCCGAGTAGGTCCCAGCGCGGCAGGGCTCACAGGCGTCCGAGCTGTCCGCGCCCGTCGACGACCCGAAGCTGCCGGCAGCGCAGGGTGTGCAGTCGCCGGCCGAGGCGAGGCCAGACTTGTTCGACCACGTCCCGACCGGGCAGCGCTTGCAGATGCCAAAGTCATCGGCGCCGCTGTAGGTGCCCGGGGAGCACTCGTGGCACTCGGACGCGCCGGACTCGGAGGACGAGCCCTCGCCACACGCCAAGCAGAAGCCCTGGCCGCTGGCGTTCGAGTACGTTCCGGCTCTGCACGGTAGGCAAGTTGATTCATCCTGCGCGCCAATCGCCGCGCTGAATGTGCCAGCACGACAAGACGTGCAGTTTCTCGTCGAGCCGAGCCTGCCGCCGGGGCCGTACGTGCCGGGGCCGCACTCAACGCAGTTCAGGACCGCTGTCGTCCACCTCAGAGAGACGACGAACATGGCCAAGCAGCTTCTGAGTCCTCTTCTTCTCGTTTGCATTTCACGTACAGCGCAAGCGGCGCGGGAACCTGCTGCAGCAGCAAAAGTGGAGCGCCGAGACAGGTAGCCAACTGATCGCCATTGACCAGCTGATTTGACGGCGTTCAATCTGGCACTCTGCTGCCATCCTGTCACGCACGCGCCCAAGAAATTTGCGCGAATACACGTAAAAAAACAACAATGCCAAAAAGAAATTCGAGCATCCTGCGCGTTTAGCGGCCTTCTCTCCAGGCAACCAAGCGGCGGACTCGGACGCGACGCTTCACATGCCGTGCTCGCGCGCGCCTAGCGTGCTCTCGAGCGAGGTCTCCCGCGTGCTTTACCGCGCTCTCCTCCGCGCGTGCGACAACGGCAGGAGGCCAGAGTGCCTCCCGATGGGCGCTGCTGTGGGCCCGGTTGACGCAGCCGAGCTGCCTCGGTCGGCTCGAGAGGTCGTGGCCGAGATCCGCCGCTCGTCGGTGGAGTCCTTCGCCGCGCTGCGACACACCTCGGAGTGCGCTCGCGCGCTCCACCCGCCGCCTGGCTCGCTGCCGGCCTCGCTGCCCGCCTTTATCCTTCCCACCTGCACGCTGCTGCCGGGCGAGCGGGCCGACTTCACCCTCTTCGAGCCTCGCTACCTCGCGCTCGCCCGGCACGCGCTCGGCCTGGACGGCGGCGCGGCGCCACCCGACGGGCGGTACGCCCACCTGCCCGACTCTGCGAGCGGCGCCGTCGGCACCGTCACCACGATCCTGTCGCACCAGTCGCTGTCCGACGGGCAGGTGGTCGTGCGGGTGCTCGCCGGCCCGCGCGCGAGGCTGGTCCGGACAAGCCGGCTCGAGGAGGTCCACCGGCCCGGCGGGGAGGGCGGCCCGCCCCTCCCTCCGCTCCAGCACGTCGCGCTCGAGACGCTGGCCGACGAGCCGGGCGAGGATGCGGCTGCGGACGCCGCGCTGGCCCGCGAGTGCCTCGAGCGGCTGGCGAAGCTGGTCCCGCTCGACCAGCTGCCACAGAGCGTCAACGTGCCGCCGCTCCTCTCGCCGGAGCGGCTCTCCCTCTGGCTGTGCGGCGTCATCCTGCGGGCGAACGACACGACGGCGCGCGTGCAGTGGCTCTGCGAGCGGTCCACGCGCAAGAGGCTCGAGTTCGTGGCTAGTACGCTCGCGCGGGAGTCGCCGCGCGGTGCCTCTTAGAGCTAAAAAATAATATACCTCATTGGAGAGGTCGGTCATCAACCTCACATCAGGGCAGGGCGCTACTCGGATGCCAGAGGCGAACGATTTCTTCTCTTTGTACCGCCGCCGCCGCGGCTGCACGATGTTTGCGCCGGCGCAGCTCCCCTACACCGCCACGGCGGCGCTTCTGATGTCGCTCCAGCCGATCCTCGTCTCGCTCTCCAAGAACGAGGCCGGCGGCTTCGACTACTCTGTGCCGGCGTCGACGATGCTGTCGGAGCTGCTCAAGCTGCTCCTCTCGAGCGGCCTGCTGCTGCGGCAGATGGCGACGTGCGCGCCGAGCGAGCTCCTGTCGGAGCAGCCGTGGGCCGAGATGCTCTCCTACTCGCTGCCCGGGCTCATCTACTTCGTCAACAACAATTGCCTCTTCTTCATCCTGCAGGAGGTGGACCCGACGACCTTCCAGCTCCTCTCTCAGATGAAGACCCTCTTCACCGGCCTCCTCTTCCGCCTCTTCCTCCGCCGCCGCCTCAGCGCCGTCCAGTACCTTGCGCTGGCCGCCTCTACTGCGCAGCCCGGTCGGCCTCTCCTCCGTACGGCGCAGGACCGACCACCCTCCCGATGAGAGCAGGTGACTCTCGCGTGCGGCACAGCGGTCTCGCAGCTGCCCACCTACCGCACCGAGGCTGGCGGCACCCTCGTGCATAAGTCCTCCTCGAGCCTCGGCGGGCCAATCCCCACTCACGCTTTCTGCCGACACCGCCTCCGAGCGACACACACTCGCAGACAGCGCGCCTGCAGCTCCCAGTCCCAGACTCCCAGACTCGCAGAGTCGCAGACTCGCAGACTCGCAGACTCGCAGACTCGCAGACTCCCAGGCTCCCAGACTCGCAGACTCGCAGCAAGACTCGCAGACTCGCAGACTCGCAGACTCGCAGCCAGACTCGCAGCAAGGCGGAAGACTCGCTTCACAGCTCGCCCCCAGCCTGTGCCGACCGTCCGCGCTCCTCTTTCACCGCCCTCCGCCCCTCCGGCAGGCTTCCTGCTCACGCTCCTCTCCTCCTCCCTCTCCGCACTCGGCCAGCCTGCCCTCGAGGAGCAGCCCCCTCCAGCGCCGCGCCTCGAGACCTCGCGAGGCATATAGGCGGCGTCTACTCGGAGAAGCTGCTCAAGGGCCGCGCCTCCGCCTCGATCCACTGGCAGAACGTGCAGCTCTACCTCTGGGGCGTCGCCTTCAACGCCATCGGAGTCTACACGAAGGACCGCCAGGCGCTCCTCGGGCCAGGCGACCGGCACAGCCTTCCAGGAGGGAGTACGAAGTGGGCCACTACTCAGCGACTCTATGGGTGTGTACTGACCGCAGGCATCCTGCAAGCCTTCCACGCGCGCGCGTGGGCCGTCGTCCTCTGCAACGCGCTCAACGGCACCCCGCCCTCTCGCCCGCCGTCGAGCAAGCAACCCGCGAGGGGGTCGCCTCTTCACCCGTCAGCCGCGAACAGGCCTCGCCATCTCGGCCGTCCTCAAGTACGCCGACAACATCGCGCGCGTCTACGCGCACGCCATCGCCATGATGGCCGAACAATGCTCGCGTCGCTCCACGTACAGTCTGTTCTTTTCACTGGTGTATATGGATGTCTTAATTAGGTTACGATGCTCGCGTCGCTCCGCCTCTTCGACGCACGCACCGCCAGACCCACAGCCGCCAGGCTCCTCTCTTCACTCTGTGGGTCTGTGAGCAGGTGCCAATCTCGCCGCAGCTCGCCCTCGCCCTCGTCCTCGTCGCCGCCTCGACGCTCCAGTGCAGCGCACGCCCCCAAGACGCACTCACCGCACTCCTCCTCCTCCTCCACACACACACACACACACACACACACACACACACACACACACACACACACACACACACACACACACGCACACACACACACACACACACACACACACACGCGCGCGCGCGCGTTCTGCGGCGCCCGCCCCTTGACGCGTCCCGGACGCGTCCCTCCTCGAGGTACAACCTCCCGCCCGAGTGGCTCCGCCCGCTCCCTACGGAGGAGGAGGAGGAGGAGCTCAGAGGCGCATCCAACGACCCGGAGGCGACCCGCCTGCCCGCCAGGACCCCCCCCCCCCCTCCCCTGAGGCGCCACGAGGAGTGTGGAATAGGCGACCAAGCTCATCTCCTCCGACGAGCCAAACGACGACTCGGCGCGCGGCTCCGGCCTCGATGGCGGGGTCGGGCCGCTGGGCCACGGGCTGGGCAGCAGCGCCGCGTCAACTCAGGCCGCGGCACGCAACCCGCCCAAGCGCTGATTCGTTTCAGAGGATTTTGCCGCTATCTGTGTGTGTCAAATTAACTCATCAACATCATGTCTCCGTACGTGTTACCGTATCATTTCATTAACCCACATCTCGCGCGCGAGCGCGTCTGTGTGACCCCGTACTGGGGAAAAGCCTGCTGTGTATATGGCACAGTTTCGCTTTCGGAGCCGGGCGGTGGAGGGCTAGAGGGAGCTCCGCGCTGCGGATCGCGTGATCAGCTGCCAGACCAGCTCCGCGAGCCGGCCATAGCCCTCGTTGTTCGGATGACAGCCATCTGCGCCATTCGCGCCGACCCAATCGCAGACGACGTCAGTCGCATTCGGTGCGTGACCGGGCGTGCCGGACGCAATCGGGCACTCTCCCTGAAAGAGCCCGAAGAGGTCGATGGGCGGGGCGAGGCCGTTGTCCTTCGCTACCTTTGGCACAAGCCGCTGCAAGTCGGAGTTCACGGCGACCTGCAGGAAGTATCTCTGGTTCAGAGACGGTTCAGAGACGGTTCAGAGACGGTTCAGAGACGGTTCAGAGACGGTTCAGAGAAGGTTCAGAGAAGGTTCAGAGGAGGAGCCGGCAGCCGGACCTGCAGCATGCCGTACACGCCGTCGCGGTAGAGGGGCGGCGGGCGCATCAGAAAGATGGCTGGCTTGGAGGGCATGCGCTTGAAGACAGAGATGAGCGCCCCGTAGTCGCCCTCGTACTCGCCGTGCAGCTTTGGCCACTGCCACCGCTTCGCGTCGTTGGTGCCGAGCATGAGCACGACGACGTCCGCGTTGGAGGCCGAGGCGCTGGCAAACGCGCTCGTGTTCCAGTAGGGGTGGTCCCCCTTTCTCAAGAGGGTGGTGCCCCCGACGCCGAAGTTGGTCACCCTGTACGCCGGGCCGAGCATCCGCTGCAGCTGGTGCGGGTAGCTCTGTCCGCAGCTCGAGAGGTAGCCCGCGGTGATGCTGTCGCCGACGGCGGCCACGGTTGTCGCGCCGGGGAGCGGCGGCGGCAAGGGCGGGCGAGGCGGGCACGGCGCGCTCGACAGGCCCGCCCCGCCCGCCCCCTCGCCGCCAGCGCTCTCCGCCTTGACCTCGCGCCTCCACCGCTCCAGCAGTGTGGCCGCCTGTGCGCGCGCGGCAAGCACGTCCGGCGTGTCGCCCGGCGAGGGGCAGGGCCGCGAGTGGCCGAGCTCGGAGTGGTGCGCCCCGTTCTCCATGTTGAGGACGAGCAAATCCCTCTCCACCGACAGGTTGGTGAGGAAGCCGCCCGCGCTCCACCCGTCGTTGAGCCCGTTCGTGAAGAGGATGCGTGACGCACCTTGCGCAAGCAGCCCTTCCCTGTCGAAGCCCCACGCGGATACCAGCTCGCGCGGAGACGGCGTGACGCCAAAGCGCGCACGGCAGTGCGTGGCGAGCCAGCGGTCCGTCCACTCGCGAGGAGGGAACATATCCGTCACGCCGTTTGTGCCGATGGGCTCCACGAGCAAGCTGCACGTCTCGAAGTCCCACGAGCGCCCGTCTGCGCCCGTCCCGCACCCCGACCAGTCGCCGCACGAGACGGTGCCGTTCGGACCCGCGGGCAGCTGCCCACTCAGCGAAAAGCACTTTGATTCGGCGGCAGCAAGCTGCTGCTGCGTGTCGTGGCCGTCTCGCCGCCAGCCGTTGCGCGCCGCGTCGCCGCCCGCCAGGAGCGCACGAAGCGCCGCCCACAGCTCGGCCGCCGTCGCCGCCGCCGCGAAGCGCCCGCACGCTACCGCCAGCCCCGTGGTCGGGGAGGGAGGATAGTTGGCCATGTTCAAGTTGGCAAAGGCGATGCGGAAGACCATGAGCAGCTCCTCGCGCAGCGTGCCGCCGCCGCGCGACATGTACCCGGGCAGCGGCGTGCAAAGCCGGAGCTCCTTGAGCAGCGTGTCGCTGTCTGCGGCCGCCACCAGCTTCAGCGCCTTTGCGACGCCGGCGGAGCACCCTGAGACGGCGCGCTCTGCGGACCTGGTGACGACCTGGTAGTAGGCGTACTGCTGCACCTGCTGCGCGTAGATTCGCACCGGCGCGGAGGCGGCATAGGCGCCGTCGATGACGGCCGGGTACCTCAGGCGCAGCATCGCCGAGAGGAAGCCAGGGTAGGAGCCGCCAAACGAGAACACAGGGCAGTAGTTTTGGCTCGTGCGAGAGAGGCTGCAGTTCCTCGCGGCCTGCTCCGCCCGGACGAGCCGGACGCAGTCGGCGAGGGCCTGCTGCGGCGTCAGGAGCGACAGCGCGGTGGCGTCAACCGAGCGCCGGCCGAGCGGAAGCGACTCGCCGTAGAAGCGGTGCTCGGGCTGGATGACGAGCGCCCGCATCGAGGGAGCGAGCACGTCCACGACGAAGGGGTAGAAGAGGCCAACGCTCGGCGGGATGGCGCCTTCGCCACCGACGATCAGAAAAATGGGCGAGCCAGGCCCTCCGAAGGAGGCGCTGTCGCGGTAGAAGCGCTGCGTGTACGTGGCGCCAGAGACTGAGAAATGGTCGACTAGCTGGTCCGCGAAGAAGAGCGGCGCACTCGCGATGCCGACGGAGAGGGATGGGACCAGCGAGAGCATTGGGGCAGCTGACCTTGGGGTGAGCGGATGAATAATAAGAAAAGCGAAGGCCTCACAGGTGAGCGGGCTCGACCGCACTGCTCAACGCTAGCGCCTCTTCTTCTTGGCCTTTCGGTCGATCTCCTCCTCCGACAGCCCCTGGCCTAGCTTTAGCACGGAGCGGCGCATCAGCTCGATGGGCTCGGAGCGGTCGACGCCCGGCTTGAAGACCGACGAGCCCGCGACGATGAGGTTGGCTCCCGCGGCCGCCGCCGCGTCGATGGTCGAAGGGCCGAGGCCGCCGTCCACCTGGATGTCGAGGTCCGGGTACTCGCTGCGCAGCGCGAGGACCTTGGGCATGCAGTTGGGCATAAACTTCTGCCCGCCGAAGCCCGGCTCCACCGTCATCACCAGCACCATGTCGACGAGCGCGACGACGGCGGAGAGCGCCTCGACCGCGGTGCCGGGCTTGATGGCGACGCCGACCTGCATGCCGTGGTCGCGGATGAGCTTGACGACGGCCGCCACGTCGAGCTCGTCCTCCTCCATCGCCTCCAGGTGGAACGTGTAGCGTGCTCCCGCGCCCTTGGTCGAGCCGGCCACAGCCTCGACCCACTGCGACGGTCGCGAGACCATCATGTGGCAGTCGAGGTACGCGTCGGGCACGTGCTTGCGCAGGCTGGCCACCACCGGGTGCGCAAACGACATGTTGGGCACAAAGTGCCCGTCCATCACGTCGAGGTGCAGCTCGTCTGCTCCCGCCGCCAGCACGCTCTTCGCCTCTGAGGCGAGGTCGGCGAGATCGCAGGCGAGCATGCTCGGCTGGATCTTGCAACACCGCTTGTGCGGCGGGCACTGGCACTGCCACTGGCCGTTTAAGGGGACTGCCATTTTGGACCGTTGAGAGGTCTTGCGGTGCAGCGTGACAACCGGCAGCGCCAGCGGCGAGCGGGACACGAGCTCGCAACACCGAACCAGGGCTCGGAAGAAGAAAACCGTTAGCGGCAAGCGCCGACGATGCATATCATCTCCAAACCCAGATTCCATAACCTAAAGATCTCCGTTATCTACTCGGCCAGCCAGGTCTCGCAGCGGGGGGAGGGAGGGTCTTGATAAAAAACTGCACACAAAACAAAACGCCTCAGTGGTCTGTGAGATCTATATAAACGACTGCCGCTTTGGAAAAAAAGGTACGGTGCTACAAAACGACACCACACACAATATACCTAAAACACACACGTTGTGCTCCCCCAGGTGGCCTGCGGGTGGGGGAGGGGTACCCACGACGAAAGAGCTGGGCCGACGAGAGAGCGCCGGAGCTTTCCTAGATCATGCCGGGGCCTCGCAGACGAGGTCGCCGAAGCTGCGCCCTGATCGCGCTCGCCGCGCCGTCGGCGAGCGCCTGGACGGGCTGCTGGCCGGCGCGCGGACGCGTCGAGCCGCGCGTCGCGTCGGATGCTCGGATGGTGCTCGCGATGCGGCCGTCGGCGCCTGCGGCGCTCGGGTCGTCCGGGGCGGACGTGGCGGAGGGCGAGAAGGTGGGCGTGCTGCTGCTGAACCTGGGCGGGCCGGACACGCTCGACCAGGTCGAGCCGTTCCTATACAACCTCTTCTCCGACCCGGAGATCATCACCCTGCCGGGCGCGGTGCGGTGGCTCAACGGGCCGCTCGCGTGGATCATCGCAAAGACGCGGGCGCCGATGTCGCGCGAGGGGTACAAGCAGGTGCTCGACGGCGGGTCGCCGCAGCTGCGCACCACCCTCGCGCAGGGAGCTGCGATCGAGGCCGCCCTCTCCACGCGCGGCGTGTCTGCCAAGTCGTACATCGGCATGCGGTACTGGCACGCGCCGCCGTGCAGAGGCGAGGAGGGGAGGAGGGGTCGGGTGGGGTGATGGGAGGCGGTGGCTGGCCGTAGGCACCCGTACACGGACGAGGCGCTCGCCGCCATCAAGGCGGACGGCGTGCAGCGCCTCGTCGTCCTCCCGCTCTACCCGCAGTTTTCGATCTCGACGTCTGGATCGTCGCTCCGCCTGCTCGAGCGGGAGTACTACCAGGACCAGCAGCTGCGGCTGCTCAAGAACGTGGTCATCCCGGCGTGGTACAACCGGCAGGGCTACGTCCACTCGATGGCGCGCCTCATCGCCAGCAGGACCGTCGCCGCCTCCTGCCGAGAGGAGAGGAGAGGAGAGGAGAGGAGGGGAGAGGAGAGGAGAGGAGAGGAGAGGAGAGGAGGGAAGAGGCGAGGAGAGGAGAGGAGAGGCGAGGAGGCGGAGGAGGAGCGAGAGGGGCGCGATTTGTGACGCGGCCCTTGTCTCCCGCAGGATCGACATGCTCCCCGAGGGGGAGCGGGCCGGGGCTCACGTCTTCTTCTCGGCGCACGGGCTGCCGCAAAAGTACGTGCAGGAGCTCGGCGACCCGTACCAGCAGCAGATCGAGGCAGCACTCCCGTAGACGCCCCCGAGACACCTCGTAGACGCCCCCGAGACACCTCGTGGACGCCTCCGAGGCTCTTCCTGGACCCGTGCCCGAGGAGACCCGTGCCCTCTCCCCCCCCCCGACGGCTCCTCAGGCGACCGTCTCGTTTGTGATGGCGAGGCTGCGCGTGCTCGGCTACTCGAACCCAGACACGCTCGCGTACCAGTCGAAGGTTGGCCCCGTCCCGTGGCTGCAGCCGTACACGGACGAGAAGATCAAGGAGCTCGCCGGGGGCGGCGTCTCCTCGCTGGTGGTGGTGCGAACCTCTCGCGCGCCGGAGCCTCCGGTCGCCCCTTTCTTCCTCGCGACTGACTGCGACTGCGGCCCCTCCCTCTCAGGTGCCCATCTCCTTTGTGTCTGAGCACATCGAGACGCTCGAGGAGATCGACATCGAGTACCGCGAGCTGGCCGAGGAGGCGGGCATCACGCACTGGGAGCGCGTGCCCGCCCTCGGCGTCGAGGAGGACTTCATCGAAGACCTCGCATCGGCCGTCGTCGAGGCGCTGCCGCGGATGGAGCAGCGGCCGCTGCAGGAGATCGACGAGGGGAGGCCCGTCTCGCTGCGCGTCGTCAACGACCTCGTCTCGCTCCGCTCCAAGGAGGAGATCGGCGCCGAGTACGGGCCGGTGCGAGTGAGGAACTACCGGCGGGTCGGCTTCACGCCAAAGGCGGAGGTCATCAACGGCCGGATCGCCATGGCGGCCATCACCGTCGCCTCCCTCTCCTCGTACCTGCAGGGCGACCTCTGGGACGTGATCTACAACGGACGGATCCCCTTCGAGTGGTTCTGAGCGCCGCCGACGGGCGGATAGCGAAACGGCGCAAGGCGTGCGCCAGAGCCGCGCGCATGAGGCCTGCAGAAGCGTCTGCGGGTGGCACGCCGGCGCGTCGCGGTGATATAAGTGGCGCTTGATGTGATGTGTGTCTGACTCGCTCTCGAGTACCCGACCGTAAATTGAAGGCTTCTCGAGCGCCTCTCTACTTTATAGGGGACGGATTGAAGATCTCCCTCGCAAACACACACCAGTCACCACAAGATTGTGCAGGGCGGGGGGACACATATGTCGGTGTCCAATGTCCCCAAAATTAGAATTTCTACTACAAATCGCCCATCTGCCATTTTATTTCTCTAGAGAGAGTAGAAGGCTGGCGTCGTCTGTGGGGCGGGGGGGCATCCAAAAAGGGAGAGAGAGTCGCATCTCAACCGTCATACGTCAGTATCTCTCGACTCCGCGGCGCGGGTATCGAAGAGCTAGCTCAAGTACAACCGTACGCGAGCTACGGCTACGGGGCAATCTCTGCACAACCTAGTCTCACAGAGAGTTCACAGACCTTGCACCGTGTTATTCACACGGTCGCACACGCAGCCTCGATAGAGCTGCTCGAAACCGCGTGCTCGACGTGGTGTAGTCGATCCGGTTCCGGTGGGGCTCGCAACCCGCCCCTCGCGCCTGGCCTTGAATGTCTTTTGGGTCTGGCGGCAGCAGGTCTTGTTGTAGTGGGGCGAGGCTTGCGTCGGAGCTGGAGCTGCTTGACGTTGAGCGGGCGTGTCCGGCACGGATCGGCGCCCATGCCGCGCAGAACGTGACGCAAGCTCACCTTGCGGTGCTCAGGCGACGGGTAGAGCGGCACAGCCATCGTGTCGAACAGCCTGTACGGCGGCTGCTGCAACACCAACGGCGTCTGCTGAAAAAACAACCGGAATGGGCAGCCGCCGCGGCTGGGGGCCTGCTCGGCGACGAGCGCAATAGCGATGCGTCGGTCCATCGCCCGTTGGACGAGTCGAGCTACGCACCCACCCTCGTCGAGGAAGATGCGTTTGGTGAGGTAGAGCAACAGCACCGTGTGGCCTTGTGGTGTGTCTGGCGGGTCGGCGGTGGCGGCGTCGAGCGTGTCGTCCGCCTTGCGGATAGCGACCATATCGTCCGTTCCGGCCCACGGCTTTGACACAACGCCGCCATAAGCTTCGTCTGCTTCCCCCTTGACCTCCTCTGCCAGAGGAAAGGCCCCGTCATTACCACGACACACCAAAATCGTGACGGGGCCTCGAAAGGCATACGGCCCGACCTCGCCTGGCACCATCACTCCGGCTGCGAGCTCAGCCTGATGCACCGACAGCGAGCGCCGCGAGTGAAGCTGCGCAGGGAAGTGGCCCAGCATGCGGAGGGCTATAGCCTTGAGCGACTCGAGCTGGAATGCGTGCACGCGAACCCACACGACCGGGTCTTGCTCCTCAAACACCGCTGCCACCACCTCGGCCGGGCCAGAGTAGGAGGGGTGCCCTGACGGGGCCTCCTCGGTGCAGTTCTCGCGGCACTCGGCCTGCAGCGCCGCGAGCGAGGCGCCGCCCTTGGCGGTGTCCGCCTCGTGCACGGTGATGACTGGCCGAGTCGAGGCAAGAGCCGCGTAGAGCTCGCGGCGACAGTTGAAGCTCTCAAAGTAGCCCGCCGAGAGGAAGATGATGAAGGTTGCTGCGTCCGCCACCGACTCCTCTAGCCTTCCCACGTCGTCCAGGTTGTCAACGTCCAGCCAAATTTGGATGCCAGGAAGCAGCAACTGAAGTTGACGCACGATCACGTGTGCTTGGTCCTGCCCTGTCGCCCACGCGTGCGAGATGAAGCCGTGGTAGTGGCACTCGGCAGGCAGCTCGAGGGACGGGGGGCGGCCGTTGCAGGCGAGGCGAATAGTGGGTGCGCGTACGGCGCTCAGGGTCTTGAGACCGACGACAAGCACGGAGAGGATGAACATGGCGGCGGTGAGCGCAATGACAAGCTCGCTGGCGGCGCGTGCATTACGTAAGCCGACGAGGGTGTAGCATTCGTCCTCGTACGCTTCACCGCCGCATAGCTGGACCGCTACTCCCGCGACGAAGCAGCAGTTGAGCATCAGATTGGCGATGCACGCGAGGTAGAGGTCGTCATCGCGCTTGTACGGGCGGGCGAGGGCGAGGGCGGCCAGAAAGAGGGACGTTATGAAAGAGGCGACAAGAAGGCGCAGCAGCTTGCTCGAGCCGTACTCAGCGTCGATGAAAAGCACCAGCGAGGTCAATAAGAGCTTGCGCGCGATATCAAAGACCTCCCAAAAGAGGAAGCCCGCGTCGTAGTCGCGCCAGAGAAAACGGCACGCTCGGGCGAGGAGCGTGAAGTGGTGCGCTCGCACCGAGGACCGGATCCAGAGCAGCAGCGCGAGGAAGGTGAGCGGGACGAGCACCGGCCAGAGCACAAAGAAGGCCCAAAAGTAGGCATGGAGGCCGCGGAACTCGCTGTCGTCGCCACTGCAGCGCACGTCGAGGTCGGCCACGAGGTAGCTACTCCGCTCACCCGTGAAGACGTTCGTACCAAACGACTCACAATGCCGCGCCTCGAAGATGGAGCGAGAGACGGAGGGCAGCACGAGGTAGGCGACGAGGATGGCCCAGTAGAGGAGGTCGTTCAGTGCCTGGTGGCCAACGACACGCCAGTCCTTCTCCCCTCGCACAAACATCGCCACAAGAGCGCGGGACGCGAGGACGGCTGCACCAAGAAGAATAACCGCAAACGGCCACAAGCCACTGAGCAGGAGCCGCCACCGCATCGACCCGAGGCAGGCGGGCGGGTAGGTGAGGCCGAGCATGTCGAGGTCGAGCTTGTCGAACGCGTCGTTCCAGGTCGTAAAGTCCTCGTGGAGATGGACGCCGTAGACGGAGCTGAGCGTCGTGCAGACCTGGTAGAAGCTGACCAGGATCTTGAGCTTGGGCTGGACGCCGACATACGAAACGACGAGTGCGAGCCGGTGGGCAAAGCAGACCCCACAACGGCCGCACGCCGCTGTGCGGGTGAAAGTGAGGTATAGAAGAAGCCCAATCCCCGCTGCAGCAGTGAAGGTCCCCGCTAGGATGCCGAACCTCTCAGCCAACGCTGGGCAGTCGGTGCAGCCACGCTTGTCCTCGTCGAAGTATTGCGCCTCGCTCACGCACCACTCGCAGAGCGGGCCGGTGTGACCCGCGTCGCAGCCCCAGCCCGCACCTTCCGCACCTTCTTCGAGGTAGGGGTGGTGGCTAGACGTATCGCCCGAGCCGATGCAGTAGTCTGAGTGTGTGCACGCGTAAACGTCGTCGGTGAGGTGCGAGTCGCGCCAGAAGCCGCGAGGCACGCCGAGGGTCTCGAGGGTGGTGCTTGGCAAGCTGCAGTCTGCGTGCGGCGGACAGTCCTTGCAGTGATGGGTGGGCGCAGCAAAGACGTCGGATGGCGAGACGCTCGAGTTCTGCAAGTAGTAGCCCGCCTTGCACACGCCGCAGTAGCTGCTACCCAGGCCGCTGGAGTCGGTCAGGTGCGGGCAGGGGTTGCAGTCGTCCTCGCCGGCGTTGGAGGCGTACGTGCCCTCAGGACACGCGAAGCACGACTCGCTCCCTAGCACCGAGCTGTGGCCTTTGGGGCAGTCCTCGCACGCGTCAGACCCCGACGTATCTGCAAACGTGCCGGGCCGGCACGGCTTGCAAGTGGCGTCGTTTACAGCCCCTCGTACGGCGCTCGAGGTCCCCACGGGGCAGACTTGACAGGCGCTGCTTGTGTTGGAGCCGTTGTGGGGGTTGAAGGTGCCGGCGGGGCACGCCTACGACAGGAGAGCGACGCCTGACGACTCCGAAATGCGCATGTGGAGCGGGCGAGGTGCTCCAACCTCCCTCACCATCGACGTGGCCGCACCGCTTTTATCGCAGTACCCGCCCGCGGAGCATTCGATGCATTCCGTCGCCCCACTCGTCGCGGTGTACGAGCCTGGTCGGCAGGGCAGGCACTGACTGGAGCCACTGGACGGCTGGTACTCGCCAGGGGCGCACTTCATGCAGTCCGACATGTCCACGGCTTGCCTGTTGGGCATGCGGGTGCCTTCCGGGCATGGCACGGGAAGGACGGTCCCCTCCGGGCAGTAATGGCCCTTAGGGCATGGGCCGCTGCAAGTGGACGAGGCGAGATTCGGCGCGTTCCCATAGTGACCGGCGGCGCATTTGTGGTCGCAGCCGGTCAAGTCGCCGTGCTGTTGCCCGAGGTTTGGCATCCAGTAACCGAGCTTGCAGTCTGCCCTCGTCAGCGGCGAGGCGGCGAGGATGGTCATGTCGCCGGGGGCGGCGTTGCCGACGAAGCTCGTGTTGAGGAGCTGCGCTTCACACGTGCAACCCCTGCTCGAGCTATAGAAGAGGGCGGAGGGAGGCGCATCCGCCCAATTGTCGAAGAAGCGCGAGTCGAAGAGGTCGAGGTCCTCCACCGAAAGCAAGTACAGTGCGCCCCCCTCGGTCGATTTGGAGCGTTCGAAGGTGGTGCCACTGACCAAGACCTGATCGGCGAGCATAGCCATTGCGGCACCGCCATAATCTCCGGCAGAGCAGTCCGTGTAGGTGACGTTGATCATCGACATGTTGCCGTCCCGCACGTACAAGCCACCGCCATGGAAAACCGCAGAACAGCGGGTGACGGTGACGTTTGTCATAGAGATGTCGTCGCATCCTTTGAGAAACATGCCACCGCCCCTGGCGCCCGTGCAATCGGCAAATGAACCAGCCGCAACCACGACGCTCCCAACATTCTCGACGTATACTGCCCCTCCGGCGGCGCTGTATACGGAGGAAGCGTCCTCGCCCACTGCGGTGGCCGAGCAACCCGTATACCCGACGTTGTTCATCGAGATCTTTCCGCTGTCCTTTACAAACACAGCGCCGCCTAGCGCGCCAGAGACCGAACAATTGCTGAAGGTGACGTCACTCAGCTCAATGTCGCCTGCGGCAACCGCTTTGATGGCACCACCATCCTCCCACTGTTCGGCCCTCCCGTTTGCGAGGCGCAGCCCCTGCAGTGAGAGGCTGCAGCCGTCAGAGAGGACAAAGATCCGCGAGGATCCCCCGCCGTCGAGGATCGCAGCCAATTCGCTGCCGCTGCGGACCGAGAGGTGGATGCTGTCGTTGCAACTGGCTGGGCTGCTGAAGCGGAGGCGGGCGCCTGGCTCGAGGCAGACGCTAGCATTGCGGCCCTCGGCAATGGCGGCGTCGATCTCAGACTGAACGCCTTGTGCACTGCCCACCCGGCAGTCGGGCGGCGGCGGCGGCGGCGGCGTGAATGTCGCCGCCGCCGCCACCAGCGCCGCCATCACCATCACACGCGGCTTGGTAGGCTTGGAAGCGGCCGTCGTGCGTCCAGTTGGTCGAGTCTTCGGATGCGGATCCCTCAGGATGACGGAAGGGTCGCGTTTCTTGTTTGTGCCTATGTTGTTGAATCCAAATTCCAGTAGAAACCCGAACAGAGACGGCGACAGGTGAATCAAGGAGGGAGAAGAAGACAGATGTGGTGTGTCGGAGCTTTTGTGTTTCTTTGTGCCGTGTCGTGTGAAATACACATGAATCGTGCGTGTGCGAAAGTGTACTTAAATTCTTTGTGCCTGCGAGCCTGGCGAGGTACTTCCAGCCTGCTGTGAAAACAGCTGACGCAGTCTCGCCGGGCTCGCCCCAGCATCTCGGGTTCCCTCGGCCCCCCGGGCAAGGGGGGACCCCGAGGCGTGGGAGTGCCTCGCCCAGCTGCGAGCCGCGAGCCTGATATGTGTGTGTGTGTACATGTCCAAGCGTGCTCTCCACGACGCTGCTCGAGCGCGCACACTCCTCGCCGACTACACCTGCGAGGTGCGCGGCCCAAAGCAAGCTCAGGAGCACCGCTGCACGCTGTCGCTGCTGTCCAAGGGCGGTCGTCCCGAGCACACCGCGACGGGTGAGTGGTGTCCGCGACGGGCGAAGGCCGAAGAGTCGGCGGCCGCGGCATGCCTCCTCACCCTGGACAGCAGCAGCACAGGCCCGACCAGGCCGCCCAAGCCCTCTCGCACCGCGGCGGCAGCGCCGTATGAGGAGGGGCGCAAGCCCAACCCGCGCCGCCTCCTCTACCTGCTCAACAATGCCGACCGGGACGAGGTTTGCCGCCTCCATCGCCAGTGGCGCGACCGCTTCTCTCCCACCCACCTCTCTTGTGCTTGGACCGTGCTCGGCCGTTCGCTCGCGAGCGAGCCAGCCGCGGCCCGGACCCGGTGGATCGAGCAGAGGCGAGAGGCGCTCGACGCGCTCGGGGCTGCGACGCTCGCCAGCTTTGGCGCGTCATACGGCCACCGTGAGCTCGCAAACACGCTCGCCGGCCTCGCAAAGGTCTACGGCGGCGGCCACGGCGCGCCCTCGCACCGGCAGGAGGCTCGGCGGCTCCTCTCGGCGGCAGCTCCGGTGGCGGCGCGCCTCGCGGGCAGCATGAGCCCGCAGGAGGTTGCCAGTCTGGTGTGGGCCTTCTCGCGGCTCCTGTTTCGGGCGGCCGCCGTGTTTGACGCGGCAGCCGAGCGCAGCCTGGAGCTGCTCGCTGCCGGCAGCAAGGGAGGTGAGGGCGTGCGGCCCTTCGAGCCGCTCGAGGTGAGCTCGCTCGCGCTGTCCTTCGCGCAGCAGCCGCACGACGCACCCGCCCTCTTCGACGCGATCGCCGGCTGGGCCTTGCGGGCGGAGGCCACGCCGCGGCTCCCGCTCTTCGACGCGCAGGGCGTGTGCAACCTCCTCTGGTCGTTTGCTGCCACGGACCACGCGGGCGGCGCGCCGGGAGGCGGCGAGGGAGGCGGCGAGGGAGGCGGCGAGGGAGGCGGCGAGGGAGGCGGCGAGGGAGGCGGAAGGGAGAGGGAAGGGGCGGGGAGGGAGGGCGTGCTCCGCCTGATGGCGGCGTGTGAGCGGCGGGTCGCTGAGCTGAGCGACGCGCTGACGCCGTCGAACCTCACCCAGCTGCAGCAGTGGCTGCTCTGGTGGGAGGAGGAGCAGGGCGCCTCCTCGGCGCTGGCGCAGCCCCTCCGCGCGCGCTGCGCCGCCGCGATGCAAGGCGCAGACGTGCGGGAGGGGCACCATCTCTCCCGGCTGCAGGCGAGGTCAAGCCGAGATGAAGCCGAGATCTGGCCGAGATCGAGTCGACGTGAGGGATGGCAGCCACACTCTCCCATTGCAGGCGAGCGTCGGTCGCGCTCTCGAGGGCCTCGGCGTGCCTCACGCCTCGGAGAGTACCCTCGCCTCGGGCTACAGCCTCGACTTTGTCCTCGGCGCGGGCGGGCCCGCCGCAGTGAGCAGCGCCGCAGAGAGCAGCGCCGCCTCTCGTCTCGCCCTCGAGGAGGGCGGGCCGCGCCGCGTTGGAGCGGGTGTGGGCAGCGTCTCTCCACGCCTTGCATGTTGTGCACAGGTGGACGGGCCGCACCACTTCACGTCGGAGGGCGCCCCCTCGGGCGCGACGCGTCTCAAGCGGAGGCAGCTGCGCGCCCTCGGCTGGACAGTGCTCAGCGTGCCTCACTCCGAGTGGGCTCGCCGCCCCGAGCCGGCGCGCGCCGAGTGGCTGCGTCAGCTGCTCGCCTCTGCCGCGCCAGGACCGCCCGCGCCGCCGCCCGCCCCTCCGGCTGCTTGCGGCGCCGCTTCGGAGGCGAGCGCGCTGCGGGCGGTCGCTGCGGCGTTTGCGCAGGTGGACGGGTACGGGGTGGCTCGGGATGCGAAGCGGCGGCAGCGGGAGAGCGGCGTGTACCTCGAGGGGATTCAGTACGGCGAGGTGGATCCGTCCGCCTTCGCGAAGGCCTTGGGGTGGGTGAGCCCTGCGGACGGGGAGAGGTTCGTCGACCTCGGCAGCGGCACCGGCAAGGCGGTGCTCACCGCGGCGGCCCTCCACCGCTTCAGCTGCGCGACCGGCGTGGAGCTGCTCGAGCCGCTCCACGCCGCCGCGCAACGGGCGCGCGCTGCGCTGCCGCCCGAAGCGCTGCGCGCCGCCGAGGTGCGGCTGCTGTGCGGAGACGCGTTCAAGCACCCGTGGGCGGAGGAGGGCGGCGTCGTCTTTTGCACTCTGACTTGCCTCACCGACGAGGCGATTGCGGCGCTCGAGCGGGGGTGCGAGCGCTTGCCCCGCGGCGCACGCCTGATTGTGACGACGCGCGAGCTGAAGTGCCACTGCCTGAGGCTCCTCCGTCGGGAGAAGCTGCCGTACGGCAAGGGTTCCCTGCTCTTCCTCGCGTACGAACGGGTGTGACTGTGAGCCTTTTGCCTTGTGTGGGTTGGTTTTGACTTTTGTCTCTCTCTTCTTGAGAACGAGTTCTCCCTGCACGGAACGCGGCCGGCACAACTCGGGTCTCTCTCACGAATACTGTATCCTCCAAGTGAAACCCCGCACAGTGCGAACACACAAAACTCCATGCAAAACACGCGTACCGACGGGCTGGCCTGTGCACCTGTACGCGCCCTACCGAAAACAGAGAGTAAACACCGCCCCAAGCAGGCCTTTCTGTTCGAGCCCACCGTGCGCCGGTTTCGGCTACGGCTCGGAATCAAAGAGCGTCTTCAGAGCGGCGTAGAAGGTGCGCTCGTCAAGGCGTCCGGCCGCGTCGGCGTGCGCCGCCATCGCCCTCCGCGCAGCCGAGCGGCCGATCGCCTCGCGCTTCAGCGCCCTCGCCTATTCACAGCCAGCGACAGGCGTGAAGAGACGCTGTTCACAGCTCGTTGTTCCGCGCCTTGGGCGCATGCTCGCCGCCGCGTGCGCGAAGCGGTCAAGGCCCTCCTCGATGCCCGCGCTGCGCGCCGCCTTTGCCTTTGGTGCGAGGGTGCGGCCGAGAGCTTCGATCGCCGCCGCCCAGTCTTCCTTCGTCAGCCAGCCCTCCCGGGACGCGAACCGCTCCATCACGCGCCGCGCAGCCGCGTCGTCGACCGCCGCGCTGAGCCGCTTGCGCGCACCCCTCGCGAAGGCCGGAAGGGCCTTCTCGATCATCGCCGCTCGCGCCTCGCCGGGCCAGCGGTGCCCGGCGGCGCACGCGACGTCGCCGATCTGGAACCAGACAACGAGCGAGTAGCGCGCGCATCCGCCCGCCTCTTCGCAGCTCGCGTTGACCCCGTGCAGCAGCTCGAAGTTGTGGACGGCCGCGGCGCCGACGGCGAGGCTCGCGGGGCGGGGCGTTGAGTGGAGGGTCTCGAGGACGTAAAGCCCCGGGCCTGAGAGAGGTTAGTCAAGGCTAGTCGAGGGTGATAAGGTCGGTTAAGGTTGAATGAGGTAGTTGAGGGCCTGAGTCGGCGGACTGCAGCTCGACGACGGCTGTCACCGCGGCCTGCACGTCGCGGTGCGGCGGCAGACGCGATCGCTCCGCGCCCGGGCGGTACCTGAACGATTGAAGGATAAAGCGGGACACCTCATGGCGGAGAGCTGCGCTGATGCGGATCTTGGGGGCGGTACAAGCAGGGTCGGGTACCTTCGCACGAGGGATGTGCACGGCACGCATCTTCGGCAGAAGTGCTTTCGCACGAAGGGCGTCACGCAATCCTCGACGCGACGACGGACACTCTCCCACACGGCGGTGTCCGCGTTGCCCTCCGGCTCGTACACGCCTTCGATGACGAGCGCGTCGCGGCCGTCGCGCAGGAGGTAGAGCTCGAACGAGGGCTCGCCGTCGGCCGTGTCGGCCTGCGTGTCGAACGCGCTCCCTGCCTCGGCGAGCTGCACAAGCTCGGCCGCCTCCTCCTGCGAGAAGAGCGACTCGAGCCGGTGCAGCGCCACCGGCCGCCCCGGCTCGAAGACGTTGTATAGCTGCTCGGAGGTCCACCTCGTCGAGCGCGGGCACCCCCCGAGGCCCGCCTCGACCCGCTCGGCGTCTGTCGCGAGCTGCTGCTGCTGCTGCTGCTGCTGCTGCTGCTGCTGCTGCTGCTGCGGCTGCGGCTGCGGCTGCGGCTGCGGCTGCTGCTGCTGCTGCTGCTGCTGCTGCTTTGGCGAGAGCTCGTTGCCGAGCGCGTCCTGCTCGGCCTCGCTGGCCGTGGCTCGGTCCGTCCCCTCTCTCCGCATTGATTGTGCTTCGAGGTGCTCGACGAAATCGGAGTACCGCTTGATCTGCCGCGCCTTGTCGGAGCCCGCTTTGCCAAAGGCGCCGTCCTGTTGCAGCCGCTTCAGCTGCAGCTTAGCGTTCTCGAGGGGCGACTTGCGCCATCGGTCGACGCTGCCCGTCCGGCATCCGGCAGCGACGAGCAGCTCTGCGATTTGCGTGTGAGCCCCGAGGGCGGCGAGGTGCAGAGGCGTCGAGCCGTGAGCGTCCGTGGCGTCGGCGTCGGCACCGCGCTCCAGCAGCACGGCGGCGGCAGCAGCTTGGCCTCGCAAGCAGGCAACGTGCAAGGGAGTGAGGTGCCGCTCGTCGAGCTCGTCCACCACGGCGCTGGAGTGCATCAGCCGGCTTCGCAGCAAGCTGGCGTCGCCCCTCGCCGCGGCGTCGTGGAGGGACGAAATGTCAATCGGGCCTCGGGCTGCGTCCGCCGGCCAGCGGACGTGGAACTCACCTTTTCTCGGCAGCTCGTGTGGCGGCGGAAAACTGTGCTCCATCATCACAGTTCTGCTCGGGTGCAGAGCGACGCTCGTCGCCGCCCGCGTTAGCGCCAGCCGCATTGGCAGAGGAGGCAGTTCAGCGGGCCCGCGGATTCTATGCGCAGTGGGCACGCTTCGGACTGGATGGCCGTCCGTCCGGTACAAGCCGCGTCTCCGCCAATCGGCATCGCTCAACGGCACGCACGGTAGACTTCCTTCGGAGGCGGGCTTTGAACCGCTCCACCAGTTCACGGCGAGCACAAAGCGCCGCGCTTCGTCGTCCGTGGTCTGAGGCGCCAGCTCATGCGGGACGCCATGTAGCAAATTGCCGCGAAACACGAGGTGGGAGGTTGGCTCCCCGTACACGAGCAAGCCCTCTTTTGCTAGGGGAGGATCCATCGAAGAAGGACAGACCGCGCCGGGAACCTTGAGGCACGCGTCGTCGCCAAACCGCTGATCGAGAACGAGCGTCGGCGTGCCGCCAGACGACAAATATGTCACGGTGCCCACTTCGGGAAACCGGATTCGGCTCTCCTTCTCGAGGAGAGCCTGGTCCTTGTCCCAGTGCGCATCCTGGCCAGCCGAGGCCGTGGTATTCCGAAACCACCACTCTGCCCCGATGACTGCCGTCGACTGGCCTCCAAAGTCGGCCTCGTAAATGTGATACAAAACCTCCTCGACGGCGCTGCGAGGCGTGCGGCGTTTGCCTGCATCATCAACGAGCGGCATCCACCAGGCGCTGTCCGATAGAAGCGATGGCATCGCCGCCAGCAGCTGTTGGACCATGTCGGGAGTGAGAATGTGATGATGCACCACTGCAAAGCGATCGGCCAGACCGGCAGCAGCCCATGCGTCCGACGTCGCGCTGCAGCGGTCGTCTGTGGTGCTGTCCTGCGTCGAACAACAGCCATGCGTTTGCAGCGTGAGAGCCACGGCGGCGGCAGTGGTGAGTCGCATATATGCGCTGCGGGCCCGAGACCAACGCCAGCACTCGCAGCGCCCGATGGTAGCGATGGGGTGCCCCGCAGAAAAAAGAATTTTCGCTGTTCGCCAGCTGTCCCTCGCACAAGAAACCATCCCTCCCTTGGGTTGTCTGTTTTCTTTCTTTCACTCCAAGTTGTAGGTTGATAACTGCACTCCAAGGTGCTCCAAAACGGTCACCGAGATCTATCGTTCCGATCCCACCGCGTTCCGCTTCGCTTCGCCGCCGACGCGGAGGACAAAGACGGCGTCGTCGAGCGAGTAGTGCGTGCGCCCGACGTCGGACGACGACAGGTACGGCAGCCGCGTCCATGCCAGCAGAGACGCGTCCCTCCGCCCGCCCTCCGCCCCTCCTCCGCCCTGGCGCAGCGCCTCGAGCGCCGCGTCGACAAAGGCAGCGGCCGCCCGCCCGAAGCCGCGCGTGTGGCCAGAGGCGCGCCTCAGCTGCAGAGGGCGCCTCGGCGGGCGGCGCCGGTCTCCCGGCAGCTGGACGGACCCTCGGAAGGGGAGCACCACCGCGCAGACGACGAGCCCTCCCGCGGGGTCGAGGCGAGAGGCCGCGGACCGGAGCAGGCCCGCTGGGTCGTCCACCCGATCGAGCACGTTGAGCAGGGAGACGGCCTGGAAGCGCTCCCTCGGGTCGAGCTCCGACAGGCTTGCGGCGGCGCGGAAGCCCCAGCGCCGGCCTAGCTCCCGCCGCAGCGGCGCGCTCGACTCGAGGGCGGTGACTCGGGAGCCGTCGGAGAGACCGAGGGCCGAGGCGAGCGCGTGCGTGACGGTGCCGGTCCCGGAGCCGATGTCGAGTAGGAGGGATGACGGAGGCTGCGGCGCGGCCCGCTCGAGGAGAGGGCGCAGCTGGGCGGAGCTCGCGACAAACATCCGCACCCTGCCCAAGGCTGCGGAGGCGTCGACCCGGGTCCATCCGATCCGGAGGAGCACGGCGTACGCCTTGTGCTTGAGCAGGAGTGCCCAGCGGCCGCGCAGCGAGGCCGCCTCGCTGCGGCTGGCCGCCAGGAAGGCGCTCGTCTCGGCGTCAGGCGCGGATGCGATGAGCGTGGAGCGGAGCGATTCCGGGAGCGAGCCGGCGTCGACCGAGTACGCCTCAGCGCCAGGATCGCTTCGCAGCGCCGGCGTGGGGAGCTGCAAGCCCAGGCAGACCAGGGTCAACGTGCAGAGGAGCGCGGCGATCCGCAGGCAGTCGGAGGAGAGGCGCATGGCAACGTTCAAGCACTGAGTGGGCTGGCAGCTGCTGCAATCGCGTGGGCACCGTTGCCGCGAGTCGCTGCTGCTGCTGCGGCGGCGGCGGCGGCGGCGGCTGCGGAGGCGAGGGCAGCGGGGGCGGCAGCGGGGACGGTGGCCAGCGCGGCGGCCGCGGACTTTTTTTCTTTTTACTACCGCACTCCTGGCATTACGAGAGAGCGTGTGGTCATCCACTCCTACAAAAGAAAATGAGGTGCGGCCTGGCGAGACGGAACGTAGCCGCCACGGCCTCACCCGGCTCCACCCCGCCCCCACGATGAGGTTCCTCGTCGTCGACTCCGGTCCAATCATCCGTGGCGCGCGGATCGAGCAGATGGGCGCCGAGCGGCTGGTCACCATCCCCGAGGTGCTCTCCGAGATTCGCGACGAGCAGGCGCGTGCGCGGCTGGCGGCGCTGCCGTGCGAGCTCGAGGTGCGTGAGCCGAGCGAGGAGGCCCTCCTCGCGATCAAGCGCTTCGCCAAGCTGACGGGCGACCTCCCGGTCCTCTCTTCCGTCGATCTGCGCGTCCTGGCGCTCGCGTGGATGCTCGAGAAGCAGGAGTGCGACGGCACAGAGCACCTCCGCACAGAGCCGCTCCCACGAGGCGCCGCCGCGCAGAAGCTGCGGCTCCAGCAGCGCGCCGCGGCGGCGGCGGTGTCGAGCGAGCCGGCTCCGGCCCAGCGCGAGCTCCCGACCTTCATCGAGTCGTCCTTTGGCAGCCGCGCCGAGTACGAGGCGTGGGCGGCAGAGCAACGGGCGGCTCAAGCGCCGGCGGCCGCGGCGCCGGCAGCGGGAGAGGCGGCGGCGGGGCTTGAGGCCGAGATGCGAGCCCTCGCGCTCCGCGCCGATACCGCCGCGGCGGCGGCAGCCCCTGCTCCTGGCGTGCGGAGGAGCGGCGCGGCTCCGTGGGGCGGCGGGAAGCAGGCGCAACAAAAGCAGGGCGCGCAGCTGGCGGCGCCGAGGCCGGGCGCGGCTGAGGCTGCGCCGGTGGCGTGGGCCGAGGAGGGCGCGGCGTTGCCCGGCGGCGGTGCGGAGGAGGAGGTCCGGTTCGGGGGCTCGGACTTTCCATCGCTCGCCGAGGCCTCCTCGGGCGGCGGCGGGGCGGCGGCTAGCGAGTCGCTGCTACCTGGCTGGCCGGCGGACGCAGACGAGCGGTTTGCGGACGCGGGCGAGGAGGGGGAGGGGGTGGACGAGGAGGGGGGGGAGGACGGCGAGGAGGAGGCGGCGGCGGAGGAGGAGGAGCAGGAGGAGGAGGAGGAGGAGGAGGAGGAGGAGGAGGAGGAGGTGGTGGAGGAGGTGCTTGATGACCGGCCTTGCCTCGTGCTGCCCGGGCTGTACGTCGGCTCGGTCGACGCGGCGCGCAACGCGTCCGCCCTGCTGTCGTGCGGCATCTCCCACGTGCTCACCGTCGCGAAGGAGGAGCTCGCGCTGCCGGACGCGGGGTGGGCGGCGGGCCTCGCGCACGAGTTGGTCCCCGTCGAAGACTCTGAGGACGAGAACCTGCTGCCGCACTTCGACCGCTGCGCCGACTTCATCGACTCGGCGCGCGCATCGCTCGCGCCCGGCGCCGGCGGCGGCGGCGGGGTGCTGGTGCACTGCCTTGCGGGCCGGTCTCGCTCCGTCGCGGTCGTGTGCGCGTACCTCATGCGCACCGCCGACGAGCCGCTCAGCGTCGCCGCCGCGCTGCGCCGCGTGCAGCAGCTGCGGCCGTGGGCGCAGCCGAACCCGTCTTTCCTGGTGCAGCTGCGCGAGTACGAGCAGCGGCTACGGGCGCCGCCGCCGGCCGCCGCCGCGGCCGCCGCCGCCGGCTTGGAGGCGAGCGGCGGTCGCGAGGAGTTCGAAGAGTCGACTCCGCTTGAGGGCGACGAGCACCCGGACTCAACAGGTGATGTCCCGGACATGTCCGTCACGTGTCCTTGGCATGTCCGATAGGCGACGAGGACCCGGACCTGCCTTGGATCACGCCCGCCAACCTGCGCAAGACGCAGGCGAGCGACGCGCGGCACGCGGGCGCGCCGAAGGAGACGACGCGTGTGGGCTGCATCACGACCGACTACGCGATGCAGTCCGTCCTCCTCCAGATGGGGCTCAAGCTCCTCTCGGTCGACGGCATGCTCCTCCGCTCCATCAAGCAGTGGGTCCTCCGCTGCTCGGGCTGCTACAAGGCGCCACGCCTAGACGTCGGCTGCGCCTCGGGTACCTCGGCTGTACTCTGGCTATATCTGGGGCTGTGCCGCAAGTCGCCCCGCCGCGAGCGCAGCCCCGGCCGCCGCAGCCGCGACGCGCCCGTGACGCGTCCACGACGCGCCCGCAGGAGCACCGGCAGCTGGAGCTCCAGTTCTGCTCCAAGTGCGGCAACGCGTCCCTCGTCCGCCTCGCCGCCATCGTCGACAACCGCGGCAACCAGCGGCTGCTCCCGGAAAAGGGGGCGCCGGCGCGCGTGCGCTCGACAAACATCCGCGGCACCAAGTACGCGATGCCGATGCCCAAGGCGGGCCGCCACGCCAACAACCTTGTTCTCGCCGAGGACCAGCTCCTCGAGGCGCAGGAGAAGTCGCGCAAGCAGGGCCGCAAGAAGGGGCACGACGTCTTCGACCCCGACTACGACGTGGACGCCCACTTTGGCCGCGCCGGCAAGAAGGGCGCCGCCTCGCGCGTCAACGTCAAGGTGGGGTACGGCAAGAAGAACCCGAACGACGTGCGCTCGCGACCCAAGCGCACGTAACCCCCTGTGTATACGCTCCTCGCTCTTTCTTGTGTGCGCGTGTGTGAGAGAGTCGAGATGCGAGGCTTCAGCACCGGCTCGTGTGTCCGAAGCGATCCTCGAGCTATACTCCCAGTCCGCCTCGAGGTACGGTATGGAAAGCGTCTCCACACACCAGCCTCACGCGCCGCCTATTATACTTGGAGCAGTGGCCACGTGGCAAGGGACTTGAGCATGAGCGCGTCGATCCCGCAAAGTCTGCACGTGGCGGGTGGCGCGTGCGTCCCTTCCGGCCCCTACCACTCCCCCGGCCGCGTGCCACCGCCATGGATTTCGACCTGGGCAGTTTCGCAGAGGGCCTTACCACTACGGCCCCTGCCACGCCACTCTGCTGGCGAGACGATCCCGAGAGCTCGCTCTCCGACTGGATTCTCCGAGTCGAGGCTCCAGGCGCAAACGCGACGTACCACGTGCACAGGGCCACGCTCGCGACTGGCGTCCGGCGGAGCGAATACTTCGCCCGCCTCTTCACGGGCGCTGGCACTTCTGGCCTCGTCGAGAACGTTCAGGGCAGCAGCACGTTCCAGCTGGAGCCCTCCGCAGCGAACGCCTTCCCAGCTTTCCTCGACTTTGTCTACAAGGGTGAGCTGGCAATCAGCGATGCCTCGGCCATGGCCCTGCTGCACCTCGCCGAGTACTTCCTCAACCGGCCGCTCCACGACCAGGTCACAAAGTACGTGCAGACCGCTCTCAAAGGCGCGCCGGGCTCCGAGGCGGGCAATCGCACAGCCAGTTCGGCGCCCCTCTTTCTTGCGGAGGCCAACCTCTACGCGTTGGACAAGGCTGCAGGCGTGTGCGCAAGGGTCTGCGCGACGCACCTTCTCACTCGTGACCTCGGGTACTGCGGTGGGCTCGCGCCTCCGCTCTTTTTGCGCGTGGTCGAGGCAGTCGAGTGCACGAGCCCAGAGCAGTCTATCGCGCTCTCCGATCACGTTGCGGCATATGTCAACGCGCAGTCTCCGCCCCTGGAGCACCTCGGCCCGTTGCCTCTCATCGACGTGACGATGCTGGAAGGCCTCACCGCGAAGCTGACCGCCGTCTCCGCCGATTCGGCTCTCGATCTGCTCGGCCACGCGCTCGCGCGCCAGGGTGCCGAGCGACTCCAGTCCGAGTGCGCCAAGACGATTGGCGCGAAGTGGGAGGGCGGGCTGCTGCCGACGATCGTATCCTCGCTGGCGTCGAAAGACGAGGGCACCGCATCCGGCGACCAAGGCTCTGCATGGACGCCGCTTGGGGCGGGCACGTACCCTGCTGGGCTGCAGTTTAGCCTGCTCTCGCACGCGCTGGTGCACGCGAGCACTGAGCTGGAGGACCTGCGCAGTCGGCTCGCTGCCGCCAATGCGCGCATCAAGGAGTATGAGACCCCGAAGTTCATGCATGTGTGCAACGGTATGGCTGTGGATGGGTCTAAGTACAAGGTGACGAGCTCTTGCAATGACCATCGCTATGCCATCATGACGCCAGGCGTGGCCGCGGGCGTGTTCCGGTGGTCTGTCAAGGTGCACTTTGGACAGCAGCACGGATACCACAACGGCTGGGTCTTCGTCGGAGTGATCAGTAATCTGGCTACGAACACCTACGGGACCTACCAGGACAGCACGTCCTTTGGCTGGGCGGGCGGGAGCTCGAACGGCTCGTACTATAAGGCTGGGCGCGGCGAGTGCAACTCTCGAGATGGGTGGAACGGCTGGCAAACAGGCGACACCGCAGAGCTCACCCTCGACTGCGGCAAGAAGACGCTCTCGCTGAAACACGACCGCACCAACAAGACATACACGCTGACCGACCTCCCCACCGGAAAAACCTGGTACGGCCATGTGAACCTACGGAGCTCAGGCGATTCCGTGGAGATGCGGGCGCTTCGAGATGGGGAGGTGCAGGTGCTTCGAGATGAGGTCGAGGAGGTTGAGGAGGTTGAGGAGGTTGAGGAGGTTGAGGAGGTTAAGGAAGCGAGAGATTCAAGAGATTTTTATTATCTTGAGGAGGTTGATTGAGGAGTTTGGAATTCCAAAAGGCTAAAGTCCGTAGAAAGAAAGAAAAACATACCGCCCAAAGGAGGGCTAACATTTGTTACTGTGCTGCATGAATGCTTGCCCAGGTGTGAACAACACATCGTGACCACAACTCCGCAGGCGCCTGTTGATGGGTCCAGGTGATAGCCCTGGATGGGCAATGCATACGCCTAGTTGGACCTCAGATCGCCCGACCGCGTCCCGGTGCTTTGTGGTCGGATTTGTGACGCCGCCGCACCGCGCCGCGGCCGGGGGCCCTCCGGAGGCCAAGGATGGCCGTGGCGGACCGGGACGAGCTCTGGGAGGTGGAGTGTCAGTGAGTATATTGTAGAGACTGACCATGTGCACAATATCTCTCACTCTAGCTAAGCCAGGGGAGGCGATGCCGGGGCCGTACAGCAGCTTGATGGTGCTTCGCCGGCGTGCGTCCCGGAGCGGTGCCGGACGGGGGCCCAGGGGAGGAAAATGGAGGACAACGCCGACGCCGCTCTGATTCGACTTTTTACTTCAAACAAAGACAGTCGCACGCGCCGCAGCGCGGCGCGTGCGACTGTCAGGAGCGGATCCGTCAGTTAGTCGTGTTCACGCCGGGATCGTGTCCTCCACAACCTGGGCAACCATTCAGGGCAACGAGTACCCTAACCCCGCTAGCATTTCGCGATTTGGCCACGTGCTGCTGTCTCATGGGCGGCCGCCGTCCTTCCGCGCACGGCTTGGCGCGCGGAAAGGCGACCAAGCAACACCACGGCGGCGGCGGCAAGGCGGCGCGGCCCTCCAAACGCCGGGCTGAGCCCGACTCGGACCCAGACTCCGACTCAGAAACCGAGCCGCAGCGCAAGAAGAAGAAGAAGAAGAAGAACAAGGCGGAGCCTGAGCCGCCGGGCAAGCTGCGGCTCCTTCCGCCACGGCAGTGGACTCCCGCGCAGCTGCCGCCATTCGTGCGCATCGTTCGTCAACCGGACGCCGGAGGCGCGGCGGCGGCGGCAGAGGCAGAGGCGGCCCGGCAGCGGCTGCACCTTCGTGTCCCGACGCAGCGGCGCAAAGTGTGCAGCTTCTGGGCCAAGGGCGAGTGCAAGCGCGGAGCCGCCTGTGCCTTCCTGCACGCCTCCGCAGACGCCGCCGCGGCGTCCGCTCCTCCAGCCTGCCCGCCGCCCGTGTCGTCGCTCGGAGACCCGTCGCTGCCAAAGCTGGTCGGGAGGGGCATGGTCTCGCTCGGCCACCGGGAGGCGTCGCCGGTCCAGGCGCAGGTGTGGCCCGTCGCCCTCGCCGGCCTCGACCTGCTCTGCCGCGCGCCGACCGGCTCAGGAGAGACCAGCTGTGTGTGGCGAGGCGGCGGTGGCGAGAGGAAGAGTCCGCGACACGTCCACACACCCGCGCGCGTAGGCAAGACGCTGGCGTACCTGCTGCCTGCCTTTGCGCACGCCGCCGCGCAGAGCCGCCCCACCCGGCCGGGCGAGGGGCCGCGCGCACTCGTCCTCGTCCCGACGCGCGAGCTCGCCGTGCAGACACTGTCGGTCGCTCGCTCGCTGCAGCGGGTGAGCGGAGGGCTGCGGGCGGCGGCCGTGTACGGCGGAGGGCCGCGGGAGGAGCAGGTGTCGGAGCTGGAGGGCTCCTCCCTCGCGCTGCTCGTCGCCACCTGCGGCCGTCTGCTCGACATGCTCGAGGCCCAGGTGGCGCGATCATGAGTGGCGATCGATGTGGGGTTGGGGGATCGAGTCTGGTTAGAGTCCTCGAGAGTGAAGACTGGAGGCCGACCTGCTCGATGCTCCTCAGGTGGCGGTGGTGCGGAGCACGACTCTGCTCGTCCTCGACGAGGCGACGCCTCTCCTCTCCCCTCGCCTCTCGCCTCTCCTCTTCCTTCGCCTCTCGCCTCTACTCCTCTCCTCTCCTCTCCCCTCTCCGCCCCCTCGCCTCTCCCCTCGCCTCCCCCCTCGCCCCTCCTGTGACCGCCCCTCCCCCCTCCCGCAGGCGGACGTCCTCCTCTCGCTTGGCTTCGCGCCCCAGCTCTCCTCCATCCTCGGCCAGCTGCGCCCCGACAGGCGGACTCCCTCCCCTTCCCCTCTCCTCTCGGCGACTGCCGCGACCCCCCTCGGAGCTGCCCCCGCACCCTCTTCCCGCAGGCAGACCCTCCTCTTCTCGGCCACGCTGCCGCCCGCCCTCGAGGAGGCTGCGGCCGGCTGGGCGACCTTTGCCAGCCAGACCCAAGGAGCCTCTCCCCGGCCCCCCTCTCCGTGAACCTTCTCGGAACCGTCCCCGCAAGGTGAGCAGCCCGGTCCGCGTCTACTGCGAGACCGACGCGCGCGCGGCGGAGGGGGCGGGGGCGGCGGGGGCGCGGGCGGAGGCGGCGGGCGGCGGCGGCGGCGGCGGCGGCGAGGCGTTTGGTCTGTCGGCAGTGCCTCCGACGGTGAGGGAGAGGTTTGTGCTCTGCCCGGGCGGGCAGCGGCGGTCGGCCCTGCTGGCGGCGCTCTCGGAGATGGGAGTCTCGAGGCGCAAGGGCGGCGGAGGAATCGTGCAGGGCGGCGGAGGGGAGGGCGAGGAGGGTGGCGGCCGCAAGGGCGGCGGCAGCGGGCGGCGCGGGGAGCAGCCTCGCGTGATGGTCTTTGTGGCGGAGATCAAGAGCATCCGCGCGCTCGCGTCGTGCCTCAAGCGGCACGGCATGCGGGCGGGCTCGCTGCACGGCTCCCTCGAGCAGGCTCGCGCACTCTGCAGGCGCAGGCTTCCAGGGGCGGCTGCCCGTGACGCGTGGGGCGGCCTCTCTTCTGTAGGGCGAGCGCGAGCAGGTGCTGCGCGACTTCCGCGCGGGCACCGCACCAGCGCTGCTCAGCGCGGACTCGCTCCATTCAAGGAGGACCAGCACCGGGTTAATATTGAGTAGGCACCAGCGCAGTGCTGCTCTGCACGGACGTGGCGTCGCGCGGCGTCGACATCGCGCGTCTCACCGGCGTGGTCAACTTTGACCCGCCCGCCTCCACCGCCCAGTACGTCCACCGCGCGGGCCGCACCGGCCGGCAAGGCGCGCACGGCTGCGTCGTCTCTCTGCTGCGGCCGGGCGCCGAGTGCGGTGCCTTTGCGCTCGGCGCCGCCCGCCTCTTTGAGCAGGCGAAGCGCGCGATCCCCGAGGAGCTGGAGGCCTACCTCGCGACAGCCGGCTCTGCAGCCGACGCGCGGCTACCTGCACGAGGCCCGGAATGTCAGGCTGCTCCTGCCGCTGCTGCGCCTATTGTTCCTTCGGCGGCTGCACCTGCAGCGAAGCCTGCAACGCAGAGCCTTGCCGACTTTGCAGCCGCGTTTGCCATCGGAGATCTCTGATTGTTGTGGTCAAATATTCCTCCGCACCGCGCACAACCACAAGGGAAAAAAACAAAATTCTCTTCTTCCGGCTAGTCGCCGACCACACGCACACCCACAAAGAACCCTGCACAAAGATCGCAAGGGCGGGGACCTGTTCCTTTTTACCCTCCTCCTAGTAGAGGTGTCCGTTTTATTTATTTATTGGGCGGCGGCGCTAGTCCAGAGCGGCACGTTCGGGCGATGCGTCGAACCGTCTCACTCCGCAGCGGGCTCTTCCTCTGCAGCCGCCGCCGCCGCCGCCTCAGCCTCCTCCTTGGCCTTGGCCCGCGCCTCCGCCTCCACAGCGGCCTTGGCGGCCGCCTCCCGCTTCAGCCTCGCCGCCTCGCGTCCCTTTGTCCGTGGGGACGGGCCGCGGAGGCGCTCGGCGTATGGGGCCTTCATGGTGATCTGGGCGGTGCGGGAGAGCGCTGGCGCGAGGGATAGAGCGCTGGCGCCGAGGGATAGGAAGGCTAGGAGCAGTAGCGTGACGATCGATGTCATCTCTGGGCTCGAGCTGGCTCCGTGCGAGAACGACTGTCGCGCGTTTTCTTTCGCTCTCTGTTTTCTTTCTTTCTTTTACGCTGGCTGGCACATCCTTGAGACGCGCGAGGGCAGCCTCCTTAAAGGCAATGGGGTCTAGATTTGGAGCGCTCGCCGAAGAGATGTACGACAAAATAGCGCCCGTGATTGCCTGCACGCTGCCAGCACTGACAGACTACTCCCTGCCCGAAAGGAAGAAAGAGAGAGGAGCTCGCCGGAGAGGTGACGAGTGAACTACAGGTAGTGGGGAAGGCAGCTTCGATTGCCATACAGACATGGGTGCGAAACAACGACAAGACCAAGGCACGGGCAGAGGAGCGAGAGAAGAACATAGGATGGATAGGGCGCCTGTTCACGGCATGGAGGGTGGGCCACGCTGAACGTAGAGCCGAACGAGAGGAAGCCGGGGAAGACGACTCCGAGGAGGACGAAACACCAGTGCGCAGTGGTAATCCCGCCGTCAGCTGTCACGATATACCCGAAGGGAACCCCAGTGCCAACACCTAGGCCAACACCGACCGTTGAGGATGAGGTACAAGTGCTCGAAACGAGAGTAGACCTGAGCAACGACATGACTTGGCGGCAAATGATCGGAGTGGGAGTCAGAAATGTGGTCCTTCTCGCAGAGAGAGCGAGAGAAGCAGCGAGTCAGAGCAAGGGATCGGCAGCGGCGTTTCAGAACGAGGCCGAGGAGAGCGATGAGTCAGAGGATGAAACAGCAGGAGAGAGAACGAGGACGAGAGTGGGAAGAACGCGAGGTGGCATGAAGGTCGCTGCGAGAATTGGTGAGAAACTGTGCGAAGAGAGATAGGAAGTGGTAGACGCCCGAGGGTGGGCGACGGCTAGCACCACACTTCTCCCCTTGAAATCCCTGTGTGGTGGCGGCGTGCCGTCCTCCCATCCCTCCCTTGGGTTGTCTGTTTTCTTTCTTTCTTTCAGCACGCTGGCACGACAAGGGCGCGGACTGGCGCGGACTGGCACACACACACACACACACTGGCTCACGTGCGAAGAAGAATTTTCGCTTCTGCGAGGACCATTTTGCCATCCCTCCCTTGGGGGGCCTTTTCTTTCTTTCGGCCCTTTTGCTCGTAGCCCGTCCCCGAGCATCCGGCCCACTGGGTGCGCTTCATAGCTCCCCGGCCCTGGATGTGAGGAGTATCTAGATACTCGTGTGCTCCAAGTGGTGGGAGGATACCAGATAGAGAGATAATATTAGAGGGAGGGCGAGACGATCGAGGGGTTCCGTGCCATGCGGAATCGACCCTATCAAGTGCTCAAGTGCTCAAGATATTAGAACCAAGAGAAGCTTTTGGTTACATGTACATGTACAGCGATGCGCACTACCTCTCCGCGTACGCTTGGCCCCAGACAAGGTTATGGGAGCGGCCATAACAGGTGTTATGGCTGTTATGGCTGGCTACTCATAACACCCCATAACACCTCATAACACCTCATAACACCTCCATCGCTGTTATGGCTGTCATGCCCACCCTACCATAACACCTCATAACACCTCATAACACCTCATAGCACTCATAACACCTCCCACTGGTTTTTATGACAGCCAGCATAACAACCTCATAACAGCTGTTATGACTCGGCCAAAACCGAATATTTGACCCCTGTGGCCCACGGATTTTTTCTTTTGGAGCCCCGCCGCGCAAAAGCAAGACAGAAAACATACAGGTGTATCATATACACCCCAAAGGAGGGGCGCCGCGCGTATCCCGGTGTTTCTTCAAGAAAAATCTTCTTTTTGGAGCGCCCGCCCCGCGTAGCTACTACCAGCCAACCATGGCCTACCGGATGAAGATGTTCAAGAGCCAGAAGCCCTCGCATTGACCTGCGCGTCTCCGACTTCAAGGCAGATTCCCGGCTTCAACTGTGTGCTGTCTGTGTACTGTGACGGAGGAGACGAGCACACGAGACGTACATCGCTGTGCTCTGAGATCCGAGATGCGTGGGCCATCGACGCGTTCTTCACCTTCCTACCTACTTACCTTTTAACGCTACTGCGTACTTTTAGTAGTTAAACTCACTTTTTAGTAGTTACTGACGTAAATCTCACACTTTTGTAGTAGTTAAACTCGCGGGTGGAATCGTCCTTTTTAATCTCACTACTCAAAAGTGTCAGCTACGTAGGATATGGATATGGATCGCAACGACCAACGTCAAGTGATTTATACCCCGTTTGACTACTAATCTTCACAAACAAAACACAAACGAATGCAAGGCAGGTTGAGTGTTATTGAATTTAACTTCAGGGCAAAAGATAAGTAAAAATATTTGCGCCGATCGATGCCGAACCTCGCGCGCGGCAGCGCGCGAAGCCGAAGGCCGAAGCGAAAATTCCAGAGCGGCGAGCAGTTTTCGGCGTGGCCTCTCGGGCCATAAGCATAGCACCGAGGACCCGCAGCGGCTCTCGCGAAGCAGCACCCATAACATGTTATGGGCTGCTATGCGCCCTATGCCCAGAGAGCCATAACACCATAACAATAACTGTGTCAGGGGGCAAGTACGCGCGTCGCTCGGAGAGCTCACATGCTACATTCTAGACGCCCGGCACGCGTACCTCTAGGGAGGTGTGCGTGTGGGAAGTGACGACACGAGTGGCGGCGCAGCCGCAGGAGCCACACCGCACAAATGGTTGGCATGCGGCGGCGCGGCGGGGAGTGCATGGGCGGGTCACCGAGCCGCAACGCCGCCCTCACGAGAAGAAGGGCAGCCAGGAGAGGGCGGACCGGGGCCGGGGCCGGTCGTCGGCCGCCTCGGCGCTCGCGGTCGAGACGCGCAGCACGGTCGCGGTGGCGGCGGGCGGGTCGGCGCTGTCGATGCGCGCGCGCCTCGGGGGTGCGGCCGGCGGCGGCGAGACGTCCGGCGTCGCGGCGCCGCTCGAGAAGGCCGAGTCCTGTGGCGTCGCGTCGGTCGTCCTGTCCCATCGCGACTTGCCGTGGAGCGCGCTCGGCTTGAGCGGCGCGCGGGAGCGGCCGGCGGCGTGCGACGCGCCGACGCGCAGCACCGCGCACGCGGACAGCCGGCGGGGCTGTAGGCGGCCCGACTGGTCGCCCTGCAGGTAGGAGCGGCGCTGGACGGCGACGGCCTACGGAGGGGGAGGGGGGGCGGGGGGCGAGTTGTGATTAGGACGGCGCCTTTGGGGGGGGGTCTGCAGTGCGTGTCTGGGTGTGTGCGTGTGCAGCTCGCACGCCTCGATGAGTAGCTGCGCCGCCGACTGGGCGCAGGGGGCGCGCCGGATGAGCGCAAAAGCGGCGGAGACGTCGATCTCGTCGAGGACGGAGGCCGATGCGAGGAGGAGGTCGCACTGGCCGGCCGGCAGGGGGACGGTGGAGCAGGAGGGGGTGGGCAGCAGCAGCCCGCTCTGCGCGCGAGGGGGGGGGCGAGGGGAGGGGGGCGGTGGAGCCGCGAGTCGGTCGGGCGGAGGGAGGGGCAGAGGCGGAGGCGGGAAGGAAGGGGCGAGGGGGGGAGGGGGGCGGGTGCGCCACGCGCCCTCCCAGTGCCGAGCGAGCCGATGCACCTCGCCGTCTCGTGCCCGCCCGGCCAGATGAGCAGCGGCCCTCGCGGCTGGCCGTCCTGGCTGGCGGTGTGGGCGAGGCAGCCGCCCGACGCCTCGACTCGAGCCCTCTCGGCCGCGCAGTCTTGCACGCGGTGGTTGCGGGAGAGGAGGGTCGGCGGGGAGGTCCGCGAGGCGAGCACGGCGACGCACGTGCCGAGGTGGCAGGTCGTCACCTCTCCCCGCGAGTGGTTCACGGCGCACAGGACGAGCGTGCACGCGGCGGCGCACTTGGCGAGCTTCGGGTGGTCCCGCAGGGCGGTGGCCTGCGCCTCTTTGAAGAAGGAACGGCCGGCGCGGCGCAGCGACTTGCCGCTCCCGTCCTCCTCCGCCCCCGCAACCACCAGCCGCGCGACGTGTTTCGAGCACCAGACGAGGATCGCGTGCGCCAGCCGGCGCTCCGTCTCCTTTGCAGCGGCGCTGGAAGCGGTATTGCTGGCCGGCACCGCCACAAACGCCAGGGTCACGCCCTCGCCGCCGATGATCACGTGTTCGACCTTTGCGCAGGCGCGTCTGCCATAGGCGTCGGTGATCTGGGCGCGGCCTCCGCTCACCGAGCGAGGCGCCGGCACCGGGAAGGCCTGCTCGATGGCGGTGGAGAGCAGGGTGGCCTGCTTGGCCTGCCGCTCGGCGGCGGCGGCTTTCCTCGCCACGGAGCTGCTGAGCGCGAGAGCCTCCATCTCGTCCTCGATCTGATCCATCGCGCCGCCCGCCGACAGTCCGCGGCGGCCCGCCTCGTCCTCGACGTCATGCCTCTCGGACGAATCGCCCATCGCCCACGTGAGCAGCTCGCCGTCCCGGCTGCCAGCTCGAGGCAATTGACTAGTGCACGCCATTGGGGGCGGGAGCACCAACCCAAACTGTCGCCGAGATCCGAGCTTGACGGGAGAACACCGACGTGAGACGGTTAGAGGATCATGCTACTTCTGTTTCTCATCTTTTGCTCACATTAGCACAGATTGGGGGAGTCTCCCCTCGCTCTGACGCTCCGGGACGTGCGCGGAGGAGACCCCGCGACATCGGTTGACGTTGAGGGAAGCTAGTGCTTTTGGCTCGCGCCGGGCGGGGCAATTTGAGAGAGATTTTTGAAAACCAACAAGAAATCACGGCTCCCACAGTGATTTGGGCTCGGCAGCTTGTCAGCCTTTCTTGCAATTTGTAGAAGACCCCACAGCCCATACACCATGATAAAATTGGGTCGCTCCTCAATCTTCCTCATCGCAGACCCTGTCAGCAGAGTCCTCCTCCGGGAATGTACGTAAGAGCCACATACGCTGAAAGCGCGCTCCCTGTCCCTTTTCTCCCAGTAAGCTAAAGTAAGCACTGAGAAAGAGAAATAAAACCTCGGCAAGACTTGAGCGACGGTTACGCCATCCCATGTAAAATCTGAGGCAAAATTGAGGAATCGACAAAATACCCAGGCGGTCGCAGGGTAATTTCCAGGTCTACACGTTCTCCGCAATTTCCCGGCATTTTGACGATTGAGAGCCCAAAAATTTGACGATTTCCACGCACCACGGAGTTTTCCCGGGAAAATAGAGAGGAAAAGAGAGGGTGCTGTAGAGAAAAAAGGAAAGGAAAACAGACGGGGTGCGAGAGGAAAACCTCGTACAGCCTAACCGGAAACCCTTGTCAGGCCAAGCCTTAATAGAGAGAGAGAGAGGAGAGAGAAGAGAGTTTTGTTTTGTAGCCTTAGTATGAGCGGCCCGATACTTGGAGCACTTGAACGTCGTGTTTTGTTTTAGGTTTTTAGGTTCGTTGTGGTGCTCTTGCGATCGGCGGTTAGTGGTGCACTAACCGTTACTCTAACCCCGATAAATCCTTCGGAGTCGCTCCTTATCGCAAGCCCTGTCAGCAGTCCTCCTTTCCGAGTTTCCGTGATTTAGAGTCAGTGGCCGCCAGAAAACACGCCTGCGTGGATCGCGTCACACCAATCCTCGCTACCCAACGCGGCCAAAGGATATCCACCTCGAGTCAGTAATACGAGCGTCACTTTGTACCCACCCCCCCTACTTCGTGGGGACCCCCCCGCCGGTCGGTGGTCTGCCCCCGAGGTGGACCGGACCCCCCCTCCGGTCGGTCGCTCTCTCGGCGGCGGGAGGTGTGACGACCGACCCCCCCCTCGGTCGGTGTCCTTGCCGTGAGCCCCCTGAAACGCTCTCCCTCCTTCTCGCGAACCGCCACGTGGGCGCTTCGAAATCGCCGGTTTTCACTATGAAAACTAGTCACGCAGCCAAGCGCCAAGGAGACTTCTTCGCCGAGGCCCGAGCGAGCCCGACCCCACACATGCATGTGGAGCATCTACGCAGTCGCAGGCCTGGTCCTGCTTGCCGTCACTTTGTACTCCAGACTTCTCCGCAGTACGCGCGCATCGTCCCTTCCGATGACTACGATGACTTGCCAGACTTGATCGACACATCGCCGCCGCCGTCACCGGGCTCATCGGCTTCCGAGAGTCGCCCAAGCGACAGCGAATGGCAATCGATGGACGCCGCTTCTGGAGCAACTCAGTTAATCGCGACATGCTGCGCGTTGCGCGCGGGCAGAGCTATGCCGGCAACATGATCTGCCTCGCACCCGGTCTTCGCGTCTCCAAATTTCCCCTGGACCATGATGCCACCGTGTGCGGTGTGACCCTCGAGCCAACCCGACCGACCCCCCCCTCGGTCTGCGCTCCGACCGACCGGACCCCCCCTTCGGTCTGCGGTATTCCGCGGCCGCCGACCGGACCCCCCCTGCGGTCGGTCGGTCTGCGCTGGGCGCTCAAACCGCGAAGTCGGCCTGTTCACTACAAGATGACGCTCGTATAAGAAAAAGAATTCCGTGGTGCGGCACGTGAGCAGGCACTGGCTTCTCCCTCGCAGCGCAGCGCTGCTCGCGCCCTCACCGCGCGCTCGCCCGTCGCCACAGGCTTTCCTCGGCTCCCCGACGCGCACAGAGGCTCTTGAGGCATCTGCCTAGGACGGACCCTCGCTCTCCACGTCGCAGCAGCCATGCAGGCGAGCGCGCACCCGAGCGCCGGCGGTGGGCGGTCAGACACGTGGGGTTGGAGCCGAAGCGGGCGGGGGGGCTCGCTTTGGGCGGGGGGCTGCAGGAAGGGCGACCGCGGCCCGTGCCCGAATCGCGCCGCCTCCCCGCTGCTCAGATTTTCGTCAAGACGCTCACGGGCAAGACCATCACCCTCGAGGTGGAGCCCTCTGACTCGATCGACAACGTCAAGGCCAAGATCCAGGACAAGGAGGGCATCCCGCCCGACCAGCAGCGCCTCATCTTCGCGGGCAAGCAGCTCGAGGACGGCCGCACCCTCTCCGACTACAACATCCAGAAGGAGTCGACGCTGCACCTGGTGCTGCGGCTGCGCGGCGGCGGCAAGAAGCGGAAGAAGAAGGTGTCCCCCAAGCCGAAGAAGTTCAAGCCCAAGCCCAAGAAGGGGCCGTGGCTTTTGTCACCCCCTTTTCCCTCCCGCCTTCCCGGCGGCGGCCGCGGAGCTCACGGTTTCTTGGGGGCCGCGGCCCTTGCCGCCCAGCCCCCGCCTTTGCCCCCCGCCCTGGCCCCCCGCCTTGGCCCCCGGCCCCCGCCTCTTTTTCCACGGCGGCCTTCCCCCCCCCCCCCCCCCCGCCGCGCCCCAGGTCAAGCTCCATGTCCTCAAGTACTACAAGGTCGACGGCGCCGGCAAGATCACGCGCCTCCGCAAGCAGTGCCCCTCGTGCGGGCCTGGCATCTTCATGGCATCGCACTTTGACCGGCAGTACTGCGGCCACTGCGGCCTGACGTACATGTTCGAGAACCCGGGCGCCGGCGCGGACGCGGGCAAGGCCGACACGAAGGGTAAGAAGAAGAAGTGAGCCCGTGCGAGCACGCGTCTTGTGTGGGCGTCATAACGTAGATTCATGAGTCAGTCAGTCTCACCGCCGTCTTATATGATTATGAAGAGAGGGATTTTCCGTTGTCTATGCACATGTGACCCATAAGAGTAGATACATCCCCGCCCCTCGGACACCACCCGACAATGCGCATGCGCGAATTCCCACGACCCACGTGTGCCCCGCCGGGGACTAAAGTCCGGGGCCCGGCGCCAACACGAGCCCGCCTCCCGGAGACAAGCACGTGGCGGCTGACATCGCGCGCGCCCCCAAGAATCCGAGCGCCCCCCGTCCGCCCTCCCTCGACAATCACACACCGGACGAACGCGACGCGCGCTGCGACAACGTCATGCTCTCGCCTACGCCACAGAAAGCGGCCACAGACGCACCTCACGTGCCAAGCTGCCAACGTCTCAACTGCATCTCCGCCGCGGGGCACGGGAGCCAACCCTAGCTTCGTTACTGCTGCGGCGGCCCGGAGCGGAGCCGGCCTCCGCAGCCCAGGGCACGGCTCCCGCGCCTCGGCCCCGGCCGCGCCTCCGCAGACCCCACCAGCCACGGCCTGGCGTCGGCCGGGCTCCTCGGGCGCGGCGAGGTCAGCATATCTCGACCGGCGAGGTCTCGCCGCATGACATGCGGCTCGAGTCGAGCGGGGAGAGGGGCGAAGAGGGCGGGGAGAGGCGCGGCGACTTGGCGCGCGCGTCCGCGACGGAGGAATCCTTCTGCTCCCCCTCGATCAGCCGCTTCGAGGCGCGCGCGAGCCCGCACGCGCCGATGAGCTCTGCAAACGCGACGATGTCGGACGCGTTTTCTCGATCGAGCAGCAGCAGCAGCGCCTGCTCGCAGAGCTGCTCGAGGCGGGTGAGCTGGTACGCGTTGGCCAGCATCATCAGCTCGAGCGCGTGCGCGGCCGACATCCCGCGAGGCAAGTCGTCCGTGAAGAGGTAGTTGACGAGCGAGCGGAAGGCGGCGTACGCGACGCCAGGCACCTTGACGACGTCGTCGGAGCACTCGCGCATCCCGGAGGTGAACATGGCGCGGAAGTGGGCGGAGCGCACGCACATCACCGCCTTGGAGGCGCGCAGCGTCCGCCCCTCCACCTCGAAGACCGCCTCGCCCTCGATGACCGACTCGCTGTCGCCGTCGAGCAGCCTGCGCAGGTCTTGCCGCAGCGTGGACGGAGCGACGCGGCGCGGCGGCAAGGCGTCGACGGAGAGGTAGCGGACGCACGAGTTGCTGCGGTCGGTGATGAGGAGGGCGGGCCCAATGCCAGGGAGCAGCGACACGCACAGCCCGCACGGCGAGTTGAACTGCGACTCACTCATCGCCGCCTGCCCCGTCCCGGCCAGCGTCGTCACCTCGCCGGCCAGAGTGACGCGGCGCACGCAGTGGTTGCCCGAGTCGGCGACATACAGCGTCCCCTCCGAGTCGATCGCGAGGCCGTTGGGCGCGTGGAAGGCGGCGTCCTTGCCGCTCCCGTCCCGGTGCTTCGCCGCGCCGCACCCCGCTAGCACCGACACCTGCCCGTCGGGCGAGATGGCGGCGAGCGAGTTCGAGTGGTACGACGAGACGAAGATGGACACCTGTGGCGGAGGGGGGAGGCGGAGGAGGAAGGGGTCAGGTGAGCGATCCTGGGATCGCACACCCCGGCGGGCGAAAGTGCGGTCTCTCTCCTTCTCTGCCCTTCTCTGCCCTTCTCGGCTCGCCTCTCCGCAGCCGCTCGACCCCTCGGCGAGGTGGGACGTATCCTCGTGCACCGCGATGCCGTACGGAGCGTCGAGCGCGGCCTCGTCCTCGTGGCACGAGAGCGTCGCCACCACGCCGCCCCGTGAGACCACCCGCACGCAGTTGTTTGAGTAGTCGGCGACGTAGAGGACGTCGTTCGAGTCAATCGCGATCCCACACGGGTTGTAGAAGCTCGCCACCCTCCCCTGCCCGTCGCGGTGCGCCGCGGCGCCGTTGCCGGCAATAGTGGTGACGACGCCGTCCATCGTCACGCGCCGAATGCGGTGGTTGCCGCAGTCGGCCACGTAGAGAGTCCCCTCTGAGTCAATCGCAAGCCCGCATGGGTGCGCAAACGCCGCATCCTGCCCCGCCCCGTCCGCGAAGCCTCTGGCGCCAGAGCCAGCCAGCACGCGCATGCCGCCCTGCTTCAGCACGCAAATCCGATGGTGGCCGGTGTCGGCCACGTAGACCTCACCGTTGGCAGAGGCGGTCAGGCCACACGGGTTGAAGAGCGCAGCTCCGCAGTCGCCCGAGACGATGGCCTCCGGCGAGGGCGGCTGCGTCCCTGCGTCGCACGAGGCAGTGGTGGTGGTGGGCGACTGGCACGGGGAGCGGTGGCGACTGGCGGGGCCGCTGCGGCCGCCTGGCAGCACCATCACGGCCGAGCCTTCGGTCGAAGCCATGGACTTTTGTCGAATCTTCAGAACATCCGGCTGGCGGTTCCACTCTGGTGCTCACGTCTTCTTTTTTTGCTTGCCGGCACTTAAAATTGGGAACACCTGACCCCTACCTACCTACCTACCTACCTACCCTATGGGTACTACTCGTACACCAACTAAAGTGTGTAGGTGCGTTGTTGGCAAATCAAGCAAAACAAAAAAAAGGCGGAGGAAAGCGGCGAGTCGCAATTCCAGGGGTCCTTGTGGCGGGCCACCCTGTCCAGAGAGGCATGGATGCCAATCTAAGGGTCTTTCGACCGAGTCTATGTACTATGATGTGTATGTACAGAGTCCTGGACCTGGTCGTCATGGACTTTTGTTTGACTTTTGTCGAATCTTATCCTTTCGAGAACACGAACATCAAAACAAAACTCGAACATCCGGCTGGCGGTTCCACTGTGGGGAGGGTTGACATGGCGGAAAATTTCTTTTTCTGCTGCGAAAATTCCGTGAAGAGAGGGGAAACCCCGACGGGAGGGCCCAGACCTACCCTACCTACCCCGGCATGAGTGCCGGCCAAGCAAAAAAAGAAGACACCGGAACGCTTCGCTTTTTTTCCACGTGTCTAATTCTCTTGTGCGCATCATCTCGCCTCATCTCGCCTCATCTCGCCTCATCTCACCTCATCCTCCTCACCCAGGCTACTCGACGGGGGCGGGGGGGGCGGGGCAGATCGGCAGATGAACAGGGGAGGCTGGGGAGGGGGGGGGGTCCACTCTGAAGACTGCCGACCGGGGGGGGGGGGTTCTCCCACAGGGGTTTTACCCTCCGCTGAGGGTCGGCGCGGCGAGGGGGACTTGAATTCGCCGCGCAACATTCGCCCCCAGGACCCCCGCCCCCCCCCCCCCGCCATTGGTCCCACCGCCTACCCCTTTCTCTTCGCACCCCCTCCTTGCGCAGTGTCCCCCGCTGTGTGTCGTCGTTATCGGGGCACGCTATCTCCTGTCTGGGCAGGGCAAGCCACACGGGTTGAAGAGCGCAGCTCCGCAGTCGCCCGAGACGATGGCCTCCGGCGAGGGCGGCTGCGTCCCTGCGTCGCACGAGGCAGTGGTGGTGGTGGGCGACTGGCACGGGGAGCGGTGGCGACTGGCGGGGCCGCTGCGGCCGCCTGGCAGCACCATCACGGCCGAGCCTTCGGTCGAAGCCATGGACTTTTGTCGAATCTTCAGAACATCCGGCTGGCGGTTCCACTCTGGTGCTCACGTCTTCTTTTTTTGCTTGCCGGCACTTAAAATTGGGAACACCTGACCCCTACCTACCTACCTACCTACCTACCCTATGGGTACTACTCGTACACCAACTAAAGTGTGTAGGTGCGTTGTTGGCAAATCAAGCAAAACAAAAAAAAGGCGGAGGAAAGCGGCGAGTCGCAATTCCAGGGGTCCTTGTGGCGGGCCACCCTGTCCAGAGAGGCATGGATGCCAATCTAAGGGTCTTTCGACCGAGTCTATGTACTATGATGTGTATGTACAGAGTCCTGGACCTGGTCGTCATGGACTTTTGTTTGTGACTTTTGTCGAATCTTATCCTTTCGAGAACACGAACATCCGGCTGGCGGTTCCACTGTGGGGAGGGTTGACATGGCGGAAAATTTCTTTTTCTGCTGCGAAAATTCCGTGAAGAGAGGGGAAACCCCGACGGGAGGGCCCAGACCTACCCTACCTACCCCGGCATGAGTGCCGGCCAAGCAAAAAAAGAAGACACCGGAACGCTTCGCTTTTTTTCCACGTATAGACCCCGTTATGATGGGTCCCGATCGTCCACCGCTCCCAGCCGTGCTCGCCAAGCATCAGCCGCCGCCGCCACCGAGCGACGCGCCGACAACTCCTGAGAAGGCAGGCATCAAATGTTAGAAATCGTCCCCAGCTCTGTCGGGCGGGAGCTCGGACAGGGGTGGTAAAGAGATGTAGGGCCTTCCTTAGGTTCGCCTCTCACACCCTCACTGTCTGACTGTCTGCGACGTGTGCTTCGTGTTTCTTCTTATCAACCCACCTCGAGATCTTGTATGTCAAAACCTATACTCGAGTGCCTATGAACGGCGCTCATGGAAGGAACGCGGTCGTCGTCACACCTGTGTCATGACATCCACACTCTGGCCGCTCGCGGGCAACGCGCACGGTGCGTGTCTGGGAGCGGCCCTAAACACGCCGAGCAACGACCTGCTTCCCGGCTTGAGCGAGCTCAGTTGCCAGGACGCGTGCGTGACCGACAGCCTCTGCCACGCCACCGGATTCAGCTATCTCGGTGCGCAGACGCAGTGCAGGCTCTTCAAGTCGCCCGTCGTCCGGACCCTCCCTATGAGCGGAGTGTCTTGCCGCCTAAAGCCGGGTCTTTCTTCCAGCTACATCGGCCCATCGTCAATGAGCCTGTTCTTCGGCCCAGGCTTGGCGCAAGCTCCCGGCCGCCCGCCACCTCCACAGCTGCCGTGGGCTCTCCCGCCTCCGCCGCCACCCAGCGCCCTCTCTGCAACGCCGTGGTGGCTCCGGTCCTTCCTGCAGGGACCCCGCACGACGGGACCCACCGGACAGGCGAGAATTCCGAGGCTCTTGCCGCCGCCGCCGCCGCCGCCGCCGCCGCCGCCGCCGCGCTCCCAAACGCAAGCGGGGCGGCTGTGGCCGCTCACCGGAGCGAGGCGAGGCGCCTGCCGCGTGCAAGGCCCGCTTGTGGCCGAGATCGGGCCGAGATCGGGCCGAGATCGGGCCGCGATCGGGACGGCCTCGTGCCTCTCTCGGCCGACTCCCCGTCCGCCCATCGCAGGAGGCAACACCGGCAGCTTCGACGAGGTGTGGCAGGTTGGCGAGTTCGCGTGCCAGCAGCAGTGCGCCTCCTCTTCCATCTGCGTTGCGATCGGCTACTACTTTGCAGGTGCCGCGGGGGGAAGGGTGCGACGGGGGTGGCGTCCGCAGGTAGCATGCCACCCCCGGCCAGCGTGCCGCCACACACATCCTCCCCCTCTCTCCGCAGGCCGCATGACGCGGTGCGAGCTGCACAAGGACCCCATCTTCTCCATCCTGCCGATGGGGGAGGCGTCGTGCCGCATCAAGCCCGGCCGCGCCCCCGCCGGCTTCCAAGCCTCGCCCCGCGGACAGATCCAGCCTGCCACCCGCGGCGCCCCCGCCCCTCCTCTCCCGCTGCCGCCGCCGTCGCCGAGCCCGCCGCCACGCCCGCCGTGGCCGCCCGCATCCCCTCCGTATTCGTCCCCCTCCCCCCCGCCCCCGCCCTACGCGCCACCGCTGCCGCCGGTCGCCCCTTCGCCTCCAGTCGCCCCCTCCCCGTCGCCGCCGCCGCCCTCGCCGCCCCCGCCCACGTCGCCCCCGCCGCCACCACCCGCCTCGCCGCCGCCAGGCGCGCAGCCAGACTCAAGTCGAGCCCCCGCCCACATCCCCTCGGGCTCCCCTCTCGCAACCCCGCGCTCTCCGCCCCCCGCACAGGAGAGCCGCCGCCGGCACAGCCACCACCGCCACCAAGCACTCCGCCCCACCCTCCGCCGCCGCCGCCTCCCGACCCGCCGGCGGCTCCTCCTCCTACCTCGCCACCGCCGACGCCGCCGCCAGCGCCACCGCCTCCATCCCCGCCCCCACCTGTCACACCGCCGCCGGCGTCTCCTCCTCCTACCCAGCCACCGCCGACGCCGCCGCCAGCGCCACCGCCCTCGCCGCCGCCGAACGACTGCCTCGCCTACGCGCAAGGAGAGGGCTCCAGCTTTGTGCTCTGCACAGGCACGACGGCGGCGGGGGTAGCGCGGCACATGCGCCGCGTCGACCTGCGCAACCACAACCTAATGTCCTCCGCCTTCGACGGCGTCGACATGCGCGGGGCCAACCTGGACAACGCCGACCTGCGCGGCAGCACCTTGTACGACACCAACTTGGCCGGGGCGAGCCTGCGCGGCGCGCGGCTGGCGAAGGTCAAATTGGCGCGCGCGAACCTGCGAGGCGCCAGACGGCCTCTCGGGCGCTGTGAGGGCGGCAGCGAGCGCGACAACGGTGAGCGTGTCGCGGTTGTGGCACGCGGTAGGCGCTGACTTCACCGGCGCGGAGCTCCTCGAGGCTGACTTCACAGCGGCCGTCTTCACCGACGCCGTTTTCCGCCGCGCGCTCATGCGCCGCGTCAGCATCAAGCACATTCATGAGGGGGCGCGGGCCATTTTCGACGGCGCCGACTTGCGCGACGCGCAGGTCACCGACAACGAGATGCCCAACAGCTCGTGGGTCGGCACCGAGTTGCACGCAGTGGCGATGGAGGACACCGGGCTGCAGGGCGCGCGCATCGAGCAGGCCGACCTCTCCGGCGCGCGCTTCGTCGACGTGCGCATGCAGGGGGCGCTGCTCCTGTCCACCTCCCTCAAAGGGATCAACATGCGCGCCGCCACCGGATGCTGCGCTCTAGGGCCGAGCCGCCGACACGAGCTGACGCGGGGGGGTGCCTTGCCGACCGCTGTAGGAATGGCCCCGCCGACCTCACTCACATCACCATCTTCAACTCGTCCTTCCAAGACGCCTTTCTGCCCGGAGCTCTGTTCGTGGAAGCTAATGCTCGTGGCGTCGACTTCTCGGGTGCCGTTCCTGAGCTGTCCGTGCCCGTCCCAGAGGTGCACGCACGTAGCCACGCCCCCATATCCCGAATAGGCTCCATCCTTCAGAACTCTGACTTCCGACGCGCAAATGTCGAGCGGAGCTCATTCGCCGGTGCCACGATCACGGACGCGACCTTCGATTTCGCCAACGTAAGCCTTACCGATTTTACGAATGCCATTGGGGCGAGCAAGGGCTCCTGGTTTAACATTCAGGGAACTCCGGTGGGCTTGGTACTGTGAGCAGTCTGGGCAGCAGTGAGGGGTGAGAGAGTTGGGACAGATATGATAGGTATTTGCTCGGTATACTGTTTCCTATTCGACTCTTGCTCATATGTGTTTCCGCAGTTTCCGCACACCCCGCAGGCGAGAGGCGTTCGCCGTTCCGTGTTCGTTTCCGATTCGGTTCTCACTTCTCTGTCAGTGTCAGTGGTTACTGGTTTCCCCACACATCCCCCAGCAGCTCTCCCCCCTGTCGTGCCCCCTCCCCCCTGAGAGACGAAATCTTTGACCTCTCCTTTCTACATACACTACATAGACACATAGGCAAGCGTAGAAAACTTGAGGATGAGTTCATCAGAGAATTGAGAGGTGTGCGAGAGAAACTCGTCTCTCTCTCCCCGAGGGAAACTCGGCTCTCGCGTCACAGCACTCAAGGTCTCATGTCGATGCAAAAGTAACGGCCGCCGAGTTGCAGGGCCGTCCAGCTGCTGCCGCACCACGACGTCTCAAGATAGGCGCTCCTGAAGAGGTGTGAGTCGTCGCCACTTCCCTCCCCCATCCTGCTCAGCGACAGCGTGCAGCTCAGGTCGTGGTCGGAACTCGGATCCACAGCCGCCGCCGTCAACGCTATATTTCGGGCATGGTGCTGCTGCTGCTGCCGCTGCTGCTATAGCGCATATACCACTCCTGGAGCGCGTCAGTGCTCGTCGTCGCAAGGGCAGGCACCTGTGTGTACCGCCGGCGCAGCTTGTGCCGCGTCTGCGCGAGCAGGTCGTCGTATTTCAGTTTGTAGTTGTTGTCCTCCAACGCGCCCATGAGCGCCCACGAGAACGCGCCGCGTGGGACCCCACCGATCACCGCGTCCGCGCTCGTCTGATTGTCCTGGCAGCCCGACAGTGTCCACACCTGCTTGGTGCTGCCGCCGAGCCCACGACTTCGCGGCGCCGCCCGCGGGCGCTTTGCAGCGCGTGAGTCAATCTCCTCCTGTGCTTCGGGAGGCGGCTCCATGTACCTTGGCACGATGTCCTCCTCGAGCCCCAACTCGCGATTGACGCACAAGTCACCTATCAATGACATGCGTTCTTTGTCTGAAAAGTGGCCGCCCTCCTCGGTCCTCATGGTGGGAGTGGGTGCTCGTACCCATGGTCGCTGAGTGACAGCAGTCGAAGAGACAGGTAATCTTTGCTCCCTCCGGGATCTGGCTAAAGAAATTTTGCATCTGGTCGTCGGTGATGACGTATTCCGGAAACCCCTTGGTGCAGTCGGTTGGGCAGAGGCACTCGTTCTTCCCATCGGGCTCCCGCCCTGACCGATCAGGGCACTGGCTGCCGTGCCCCGAGTAGTGAAAAAATAGCTCGTCGCCGGGCTTGACGCCCTCCACAAGCCACTTCAAAGCCGCCATCATGTTCTTCTTGTTGGGCACCTTGCTCGAGTCGTTTGTGTCGTCTGTCATCAGCCTGATTTCAGAGGACGAGTAACCGAATTTGGTGGTCAGCACGTTGTACTGGGACTTGACGTCGTTGATGCAGCCACGCAGAGGCATTCGAGACCCGGTGTAGTTGATGCCGATCAGAAGCGCCTTCTTCCTCCTACCCGCAGCCGGCTCGGGCGGCTCTGCGGACGCGGTGGCCTCCTGATACTGCGGTGGCTTGCTCGCGTCGCCCGCGTGGATATCGCCCGATATCTTGATAATCTTTTGCTCGATCTCAAGCTGAGGGCACTGCTTTGCCAATTTCCGGAGCAAGCGCTGCAGCTGGGCGTTGGACTTGATGACACCACTGGAATTGACAACGCCAAAGATGGTGAAGAGGGGAATGTGCAGGTATTGCAAGAATCGAAGGAGTTCATCAGGCTCGATTGCGCCAGATTTGTCCTTGTCCAAGAAGGTCGAGACGGCCTCAATCCTCTCGTCAGAGAAGGCGTCAACGGGCTTCATCTTCTCCTTATTCTCGCGCACGTACTTGACCAGGTTCCCCGTGATATTGAGAAATGGCTGGCGCCTCCCCATGTCTTCGACGGCTTCAATGAACTCATTGAGTGAATATGAGGACTTGGCGCCGTGCACCTTGACCGGGCGTCCACACATTGCAGCAAACATCTTGGTCACCTCGCTTCCCGCTAGGCGACCGGAGCCATCCTTGTCCAGCAGCTCAAAGACCTGCGTCACGTCCCGAGGATCCAAGGCGGGAGCATGCACGTCGAAGAGAGAAGGCTGCGCGCCCATCGCCGACGAACCGCGCCGTCCGGCAGTATGTCGGAAAAACTCTATTATTGGACGGCCGCCCCAATCCGACCCGAGCGCGTCGGAGAGGTGTTAGGAGTGCGATTCGCTCTAGGGGCTTTCTTGGACCTTCATATCGAAGTATCTCTCTGGCGCTGCGCGCTTGTCTGAGAGGTTGAGGTGCGAGCCCTGGAGGCCCTGGGCATTCACAGGTTGAGGAGAATACCTCGCGATTCAGTGTATGATCCCCAGCGCACCGCGATAAATAGTCACTTGTTTCGCCGACTTATCGGCGACAAGATGAAGGACCCCCTCATGGGGCGCCCCTCCGGGAGCAGCGCATGGGCTGAGGCGCAGGAGCTGATGGCGCTCTCGTGGCCGGTCGCATTTGCCACGCTCGCTCGGCTATTGATGTACACCACCGACACGGCCTTTATCGGCCATGTCGGAACAAAGCAGCTGAGTGGCGTCACGATGGGTCAGACCTACACCATGATCATGTCCGTGTTCGTGGAGAGCAACGCTTACGTCCTGAACTCGATCTGCTCGCAGGCAATCGGCGCAGGAAACCCCAAGCTGGCTGGCAACTGGCTTCAGCTCTCACTCGCCGCGATTGTCGTCTCGTCCATTCCAGTCAGCATCGCCCACTTTTTTTCAGAGCCTGTCGTGCGCTTCATCTCTCCGGGCGATCCGGACGTGGCAAAGTACGCGCAGGATTTCAACGTCCTTGCCGTCACCTTCTTCGCGCCCACCATCATCTACATGGCCATCCGTCAGTTTTTTCAAGCCATCCAAATTGTGATGCCCGCGACGATTGTGTCTGCCGCGACCTTGGGACTGAACGTCTGGCTCAATGCAGCCCTCGTTATGGGCTGGGGCATCCCCGGCTGGGAAGGGCTGGGGCTCAAGGGCTCTCCCATCGCCACGTTTCTGTCGATGGTGTTCCAGATCGTGGGGTTCCTAGGATTCACCGTCTGGTGGAAGGGCTACCACACGCCATACTGGGGAGGCTGGTCGATGCAGTCGTTCCGCCGCGATCGCGTGCAGCAGTACCTCGCCTTGGTGGTGCCAATGACCATCGGGAACGCACTTCAGAACTGGGGATTTCAGGTCATCACCATCGCCTCCGGCCAGCTCGCCACGATCGACATCGCAGCGATGTCCATCTGCTATTCGATTTACGGCATCCTTTGGGCCTTTTACTGGGGCTGGGGTTTGGCGCTCCAGGTGCGCGTCGGGCAGGCGCTGGGCAACGGAGACGTGTCCGGCGCAAAGCTCGTGGTGCGTGTAAGCTTCATGATCGTCCTCGTTGTCGTCGCCATCGTCGCGGCGCTCACGCTGGTCTTTCGCCGGCAAATCACGGCTCCCACAGCCCCTCCCACAGCCCCTCCAGCCGCGCTCGGCAACACCCACTCTCACCTTCACCTCTGGGTTGACCTCTGCCCCGATGCCCCCCCGTCTGCCCCGCTGCAGACCGCTTTTTCAGCCGACGAGGAGGTGCTCGCGCTTGCGTCGGGCGCGTTGCTCGTCATGAGCGCAGACTACTTTTTCTGCTGCCTTGGCCTGTGCGCCTCCAGCGTGATGGAGGCCATGTGCAGGAACACAGAGATGGCGGTGGTGCAGACGTGCGGCATGTGGTTCGTCACCATCCCCCTCTCGCTCTACTTTGCCTTTTCCTGCCCCTTCTTCGCGGACGGCTATCAGATGTATGGCCTCTGGGCGGGCGGCGCCACGGGCGAGGCGGTCAAGGCGGCGGTCATGCTGATGATGGTGGCGCGCACCGACTGGGAGGAGATGAGCCGGCTGGCTCGGATGCGCAACGAGGCGGAGGCGGCCAGCAAGGTGAGCAGTGCTAGCCTCAAGTCGATCCGCAGCCCGCGGCACACACCACGGACGAGCCGGCCGAACCTCGCCTGAAGCCGCCCCCGCGTTTTTGGACTACTCGCCGTAGCTCGCGCGTGTCGAGGAACATGAGGGGGTGGCGTGAGATTCTAAGGCGAGTCTTCTAGTACCGTGGGTATTTTCTGAATCTGGCCGACGTATGGCGCCCCGCCGCCAGCTGTGGGGGCGCCAGCCGCCACGCGCACGGCCACACGCGGCCCACGCCCCCAAGGAGCAAGATGCCGCCACGGGGCACGCCCCACTCGCCAAACTGCTAAAACTGGTAACTGCTAGAACTCGCACTGCGCACACTCGGGGCCGCTGACCTGAGTCTCGTGTGACTTTCTGAGACTGGTGTGGTCTCCCAGCAAACCGCTCACCCGCTCTGGCTGGAGGCCTGGACCTGGAGAGGCTAGTTCCAATTCACTCTGACACGCTAATCTTGAAAACGCGTCCAACGGAGCTCCGTGTTGCTCCCAGCGGAATCCCCCGCGCTTCCTGCGGCCATGGCCGATGATACTAGTATGAGAGGTCATCTGGCTACCGCGAGCGCGACTCAACTCGCCGACGTCGTCCGATGATTGTGCCTCAAAGTCAGCCTCCGGAGGCTATCGTGGGGTCGAGCCGGCGGTAGCCGTGACATGTGGTTCCACCACCCCTCGCAGGCTTTGCCTCTGACCGCCACCGTTCCCAGGCTGCCTAATGGGATGAAAAGGAAGGCTGGGCGAGCGTATAGAAGCGTGCTCGACCTCGTCGTGGCAACCTGCACGGCAGCGCTGGTAGGCGGATGAGCGTCGTGCCACCTGACCCAAGACGGGTCGCAGGCGTCGTACCGAGCGTGTCGGGACCGTGTCCTGATGTGATCTGCACGGGTGAGTCACGTCGGCGTCAAAGGAGCGACGTGCGACCTGTCAGAGCTTGATCTCCGATCGCAGCTGCCTCTGCGCGTCCTGGGTATGTACCTTTGTCGCGCGCCGGAGACGACTCGACGCCGCTGAGATCGGAGATCAAGCTCTGACAGGTCGCACGTCGCTCCTTTGACGCCGACGTGACTCACCCGTGCAGATCACATCAGGACACGGTCTCGACACGCTCGGTACGACGCCTGCGACCCGTCTTGGGTCAGGTGGCACGACGCTCATCCGCCTACCAGCGCTGCCGTGCAGGTTGCCACGACGAGGTCGAGCACAGCCTCTCGCGCTGTGGCGAGGAGTCGCTGCGCGAGACCTTCTCCATCGGAGATTCCGAGAGCGTTCGCCTCGAGGGAATGCGTCTCCACACCGCCTCGCAACGAGTCAGTGAGGGAGGAGAGCTGCCGGCTGAGGGCACTGGCGATTGGCAGCACCTCGCCACCGCGCGAAGCTGCAGCCGCCTCCACCTCAGCCTCTGCCTCCGCGTCCGCCGCCGCAGCCTCCGCAACCGCCTCATCGCTGCCGCTTGAGCAAAGCGCCATGCGAGGAGAGCTGGCCGAAGCGCCGCTCTCGCTACCGCAAGGCGCGCCGCCGTCCTCGCCGTGTCTGCGCCACGCCAACGACACGTCGCTGTCGTCCGCATCCGCCTCGCTCGCGGGCTGCGGCCCGCCCGGCTGCGCCGCCTCGCGCCGCACGCGCCGCACGCGCCGCTCGAGCTCGTGCACTCTCTCCTCGAAGGCGGCTAGCGAGGGCGAAGCGGGGGCCGTGCTGCAGACAGCGACCCCCGCACCGCCCGGCCCTCTCGGTTGCACCGCCAGCCAACACCCTCCTCGCGCGCCGCTGCAATCCAAGCTGGAGAGGCGGCGCACCCCGTCCGGCGCGGGGGCTACTCGGGCCGACTGCGCGGAGAGGGAGCCTGCCCGGAGGTGGGAGGCCCGGGTGGGGAGATGAGCCGAGCGCGGCGCCAGCGCGGTGCAGCCGGGCTGCGCCCCGCCGCTGCCACCGCCGGTCATGCTGTCCGCACGGCCTGCGCGCGAGACGTAGCGGGCCCCGCCCCGCGGCTCAAGCGACGAAGCGGCCAGCCGCGCGCCCTGCTGCTGCTGCCGCGCGCGCAGCCTCTCCAGCTCGGCTGCCGTGTCTGCGAGCCTCGCCTCGGCGCCCGCGAGGGACGCCTCCGCCTTGCGCGTCGCCGCGCGAGCCGCCGCCGCCGACGCCTCCGCCGCCTGCCGCTTCGCGTCGATCGCCGCCCTCCTCTGCTCGCCGTCCCTCTCCCTCTGCCTCAGCCGGTCCGCCTCTCGCGCCGCCTCGGCGAGCCTCGTCCGCAGCTCGCTCGCCTCGTCGCGCAGCCGATCGATGACGGCGCGCAGCCGCTCCTCCTCCACGCTCCCCTGCACCGACTCGGAGACCCGCACTACCTCCTCCGCACGCGCACGCGAAGAGCCCCGCACGCCTCCCTCGCCGCCGACGACTGCAGCCCTCCCCGCCGCCGCGCCGCCGCCGCCGCAGGTCGCCCGCCGAGCCGCCCGCGTCTGCCCGCCGCCGCCGAGAGCGGCCCACGCCTCAACCGCCTCGGAGGCAACCCCTTCGAGCGGCCCGCGCTTGCGAGGCCAAGCCCGCTCGCCTCCGCCTCCTCCTCCTCCTCCTCCTCCTCCTCTTCCGCCTCCTCCTCCGCCTCCTCCTCCTCCTCCTCCTCCTCCTCCGCCTCCTCCGCCGCCTCCGCCTCCGCCTCCCCCGCGTATGCGCAGCGCGGGAGGCGTCTCCCAGCTCGGGTCCGGCGAGCCCGGGTCGGGGGTCGACCCTCCGCTCTCCTCCTCGTCCGACTCGCACGCCACCGCCTCGCGCCGCCGCCCACCGCCGCCTCCTCCCGCCGCGCCCCCCGCCGCCTGCGGACGGCCGTTCGCCGCGTCGCCGCCCGGAGTGCCGAGCAGGTCGAGCTGGCGGCGCATCGCACGCACGCGGCCTCGCTCGCGCTCGAGCGCCTCGCTGGCCTCCGCCTGGCTGCTGCTCGCCCTGGCCACCGCCGTCTCGAGCTCGCTCAGCCGGTCCGCCATCGGCAGCAGCTGCGCCTGCCTCCCGCGAGCCAGGCGGGTGAGGCAGGCGGGTGAGGGAGGCGGGTGAGGGAGGCGGGTGAGGGGAGGGGTGGGGGCGCGCCTCGGCTTTGGCTGCCGCCGCCTCCGCGCTCCTCACCCGGTCGCGCCAGTCCCGCGATGCCGCGCCCCCCGCGGAACCGTCGGAGGAGCCCGCCGCTTGCCGTAGGAGAGGAGGGCCGCGGACGGCCGCTGCCGCCGCCGCCGCCGCCATCTCTGCCGCCTCCGCCGCCGCTGACGCCGCCGCCGCCTCCGCCGCCGCCTCCGCCTCGTGCGCCGTCTGCAGCTGCCGCAGGAGCGCAGACTCTCGCGCCGCCGCCTCCTTGCGGACCTCCGCCAACGCCCCCTCCGCCAACGCCCCCTCCGCCCTCGCCGCCGCCTCCGCGCGCCGCGCCGCCACCAGCTCCGCCTCCGCCTCCGCCTCCGCCTCCTTGCGGCTCGCCTCCCGCTGCTCCGCCGCCGCCGCCTTGGCCGCAGCCTCGTCCGCCCGCGAGGCGAGGCGCGTGAGCTGCTGCTGCTGCTCGCTGCGGAGCGCATCGAGCTGGCGCGAGTACTGCGCCGTCGCCGCCCGCAGCTCGGCCTTGGTCTCGCTGTCGAGCGCCTCGGCGGCGATGGCGCGCGCCTCGGCGCTGCACCGCGCGGCCCTCTCCGACTCTAGCTGGCGTGCGAGCGCACCCACCGCCTCGGACAGCTGCTGCTGCTGCGGCGGCGGCGGCTGCTGCGGCGGCGGCGGCGGCGGCGGCTGAGACTGCTGCGGCAGCGGCGGCAGAGACGGCAGAGACGGCTGCGGCGGCGGCCGGTGCTGCAGGTGCTGCTGCTGCTGCAGGTGCTGGTGCTCTGCGAGGTGTGCGGACTCGTCCTCTTCCGCGCCAGCGCCGCCTGCCGTGGGCGCGGCCGAGGAGGCAGCCGGTCCCTCCGCTGCACCCGCCTCGCCGGCACGCAGCGCCTCCAGCGCCTCCTCCAGCTCGAGCCGCAGAGCGGAAGCCGCAGTCTCTCCTGCCTCTGCCGCCTGCGGCTCTGCCGCCGCGCCGCCGCCGGCCGTGTCGGGCGGTGGACCAGCATAGTGAGGCGTCATCGAGGTCAGTGCCCGCGTCGGGGCTGCCAGTACCTCCGGCCGCCCCGGCGGATCCGCTGGGCGGTGGTGCGCCGCGTCGCCAGGGCCGGCCAGCTGCAGCTGAGCGAGCCGCTTGCGGAGGTCGCCAGTCTCGACGCGGTAGGCCTCGACGAGGCTGGTCGCCTTGGCCGCCACCGTCGTCGCTTGCGCCAGGGCCGCGTCCCTGCGAGCCGCCTCACGCTCGGCGATGGCCCTGTGCGCCCGCACCCGCTCGGCGCGCTCATTCTCCATCCGCAGCCGCTCGACATTGGTTGTGCGGAGCTTGGCGAGGCGCACGTTCATGGTCGCGGACATGCGCTGGAGCGAGGACACCGCATCAGTGGTCGAGACTGCTGAGGCACTATCCAACCTTGTCATCAAGGTGTCATGAGCAATGCAGTGCACACTCAAGCTCACCACCCAGCACAACCGCCCCCATGACGGAGCCCGTTTTTCTTTCCTGCTAGCAGAGATCGATCTCGGAGCAGGTCGCCTTCGTGCGCGTGGAGGAGGAGAGTCGGCAGCTCTACTGCTAGTGACGCGCGCGCGCGGCGCCGTGCGGTGAGACGCGCCCACCCACTCCTCTAGCGTTCCCTCGCCGCTTCTTCTGCACGGCAGCCCTCTCCGGCGGCGTGCTGCCGCTACCACAATGTTTTTCTTTCGCTTCCGACCCACGACTGTCGGGGCTTGTCCCGTGACCCAGTGACCTCTGTGGCTCTCTGTGGCCTCTCTTTGCAATATGCCATCCGATGGCCAGCCTCGCGCCTTCGTGCTCGCGGAGCACCCTCAGCACGGATTGCTTCTGCTACGCTCGCCTGGCAAGCCCAAAAAGGGAAAGCCGGCGCACTACCAGCTGCCCGGCGGCCGCGTCGATGTGACGGATGCCTCGCCTGCTGCCGCAGCGGCGAGGGAGCTGCTCGAGGAGACCGGGCTTCGGGTCTTGCCGGCGCGGCTCGTGCGGATACGGGTGGATGGAGTCGGCCAACGCAGCTACTTCCACCTCCAGCTCGCCGACGCCGATGCGGCGTCGGTGCTGGGAGGAGACACCGCCCCGCTGTCCGGCGAGGAGTGGCGTCTTGCACTTTCGCACGAGCACGACGCCTACTACTTTGAGCCGCACCTCGACGAGGCGGCCAACGCGGTCGCGCTCCACAGCGGCGGCAAGAACAGCCTCGCCGTCCAAGTGCTCTGGCAGAGCCGGGGACGGCCGGGAGGGGCCGTGAAGACACCGCCGTTCCCAGACCTGATCAAGAAGTTTTGCTGCCTTCCTGAGTGAGTACCGCCTCGCCGCCTTGTACACTTGCGTCTTAGTTTTCTCTCCTTCGCGGTGCTTCTCTCGCGTGAGAGCTCTCTGTCTCTCTCCGCCCTCTGATATCGTGTTCGCAGTTCGGAAGCGGTGTTGCGTGTTTTCGGCCTCCCACCGTACGGTACCTACGGTCTACGTCGCGAGAGATGGTTGACGGTGTGTTTCTCGCTCCAGTGCGGTCTATTTCACATGCATGAGGTACAACAATATTAAAAGTAAAGTACAAAAAACGCGCACAAAAAACACACTCCTCACTCCCCTCTCCCGCCCCCCAGGCCTAGGCGTACGCGATGCGCGGCGGCGTCGCCGTCGGCGCGCGGCCCCGGCCGACGCGGCCCAGCTCCGGCATACGCCCGCTGACGCGGCGTGTCCATATGCACGGTGTGCCCGTATGCGCGCGCGTCTACACGTACTACGTAGTCGAGATGAAGGGAAGGTGCTCGAGCGCTCACCCTCACGTCATCTCGGTGCCCGACGACGCCCTGCGGGCCGGGGGCGGCCCTCTCGCCGCGCCAGCAGGAGACGCATTGCGCTCGCGCACAAGAGCGACCACCTGATCCAGGCCGGTGAGGCACTGCCTGAGGCGGCCCCCGCCCAGCTGCGCTTGCATCGGCTTCTCGGACGGCGCCACTGCCCCCGCCTTGCCGCTGGGAGCCTCCCCCTCCCCCTCCTCGCGCGAGGGTGCCTGGCTGACCCGCGGGGGAGCCACCGTGGAGGAGCGCACCGTCGAGGAGGCGCTCGACGACGCGGCGGCCGACGAATCCGCCTTACCGCTGACGGCCTCGACGGTGGGGCCGAGGATGGTGTTGCCGCTGACCGACGAGAGGCGGTAGTGCGCCGCAAAATTTCTTTTCGCTGCTGTTCGACATTGCGTTCAGGTAATTCTTTTCCCTTCTTCGCGCACGACGCTCCTCTCCCTCGCCCGTCGAGCAACACCGAGGACGCCGTCGCCTCGGACTGCCGATGTGGGTGCTCCTCGCCGTCGCGCCGCCTCGTGCGCCTCGCGGGCCTGCCACCATGAGCCTCGCACCGGAGCAGAGAGAATGGACTCCGCCTGACGCCGGCGATCGGCCTGAGGCTGCCGAGATGCTCAGCCGCCTAACGCCCGGCACTCTCGCCTATCTGGGCGACGCCGTCTACGAGCAATCTGTGCGCGAGCGGCTGCTCTGGCCTCCGTCGAGGATCGACAGCCTCACTAGCCGCGTGCAGCGCCTCGTGCGGGCAGAGGGGCAGGAGGCGCTCCTGCGCGCGACGGTGGCGGGCTTTGGGCTGAGCGAGGAGGAGCAGGAGTGGGTGCGCCGCGGCCGGAACTCCGCCGGCCGTGGGCCTCGCCGGCTGCACCCGAGCGTGTACCGTGCGGCCACCGGCTTCGAGTGCCTCGTCGGCTACCTGCACATCACGGACCGCGACCGCTGCGCGGCGCTCCTCGAGTTTTGCCACGGGCTCGGCGAGCCGCCCGAGGAGGAGACTCTTGACGAGGAGGGCGGCCCGTGAGTGGTGTGTGTTTCTCCGCGGGTCTGTTTTTTTTCTGTCTTACGATTGTGTGTTTCTCGCCACATTCCGTTGACTACGTGCCTCCCCGCGTTCCTTGTGGCGTCCAATTTTTTCTTTTGCGAGATGGACCGAAAGACGGCGGCCCAGTGTCCTCCCCGATCCCCTGACACCCTCGGCGTTCATGACACGGTCCTCGACGACACCTTCGGCGTTCATGCCACAGGACTCGACGCTGTCGGCCGCACCAGCGCCCGCGCCTACTCCCTCTCGAAAGCGCAAGCCGCCCGAGACGTGCTGGGGCCAGGAGCTTGCCGGCGGCGGGACGCATGCAAAGGCGGAACCGCTGTCTGCCGCCTTTCGGCAGAGATTCTGTGCCGCCTGCCAGAGGGACGGCCTCCTCATCCCCGCCTCGCGCGTGCGCGTCCATAACCCGCTGGAGTCGGCGGCGCCGTCCAACCAACACGGTGGTGGCGTCTGGAACACGGCGGAGGGTGGGGCGCCGTCGCCCCCGTGGCCAGCGCATCGCGTCGTCAATCAGACGGCGGGATGCGTCGGACCAAAGCTGGTGCTGCTGCGCGACCCGACGACCGCGACCATTCCGGGCCTGCTTGCTGTGCCCTGCGCTCCCGGGAGCGTGATCGCCTTCCGGGTGGGTCGCACGCTGCAGCCGACTGCGCTGCCGCCGCTGCTCCTCAAGTCGCTGCCACCGCTGACGTCGGACCCGCCGCGGCCGCCTCTGCCGCCGCAGCCGCTCGAGTCTTCGGGCCTTCCGCCGCAGCCGCCGCCGCTCGCGCCCCCTTCCTTCCAGGCCTCTTCGTCGGCGTCGTCTTCGCCGCCCGCGAGCTGGGAGCTCGACTTTGGGAAGTGGAAGGCAGCCGGTGCCACAAGCGCGCGGCGAGAGAGGGGGGCGGGGTGCCCCGCCGCAGCGGCGGGTTGGGGCACTATCTGGCGCAATCTGGCGCAATCTGGCTATCTCATTCTATCTCATTCTATCTCGTTCTATCTCGTGTCGATCTATCTGACAAAGAAATCGGCCAGACTAGGGCTCTGGTGGTAGTGATGAGAGTGGTCTGACCAGCAAGTGTCCTGGTCGAGGCCCTCTGGAGTCTCGTGAGGCGTCCCTCTCTTCCTCGTTTGTAGAGGGATCGTCATCTGGACCCAAAGGTTGGTGCCCAGCAAGTGTGAGTGGTGAGCCGCGTGCACGGCTCTGCTGTACTGGTGATCGCGGGTGAGGCTGTAAAGCCATCCTCAATCCGGGTGCCGTCTCAGACGGCTGTAGGATTGGTATAAGGCGTCGGGCCGAAGCCCGTCAGGCACTCTCTCCCTAACCCTAGCCTTCTCCCGAACCCCAGTGTGTTTTACTGCCTCCGTGCTTTCACACTCGTCCAGTCGTGTCCGTCCAGTGATTGCGGCCGTCCACGACTACGTCGTCCTAAGAACGTATCTACCCCCTTCTGGTGTCGACCGCGCCCCCCGCCGGGGCACGGCCGGACGTGGCAGCGTCAACTGGTCACGACCAGCACTTTGGGGGAGTCCTTTCACGCTATCCCAGACATGCCTGACGACACGCTGGCGGACGACCTCGGAGAGATCCCCGCCAGAGAAGTCTCAATCATCGCAAAAGCCGCTTCTGAAGAAGCCGCAAAGTGGCTCAAGCGAAACAACATCGAGGCGGGCTCCGGCACGCTCGCCTATGCCGGCGCCCTCCTCAAGATCAGCACCTCCAGCGACCAGAGGACGCGGACCGGCATCTTCATTCTCATCGCATCAGGGGGCACCATCTACATCGATCCCCTCTCGAGCAAGGTCATCGCGAGCGACAAGGACGCGCTCGTCAAGCTGCATCAGCAGGCGGCGGAGCACCGCGCGAGCATATCCGAGTACGTCGAGCTCCTCTTCACCAACAAGATCAAGTTGCCCCAACAGTTTGGAGGCCCCGCTACCAGCATTACTCGCACTCTGGTGGAGGACGCCGAGCTCAGCCGGTTCATCTCCACCTCGCACGTTGACAAGCGCGCCCTCGCTGCGATCAACAACGCCGTCTACCAGGCCCTCCTCGACAAGATCGTCGTCGGAGAGCGGCCCCGCGAGGAGATCATGCGCCTCGTCGACGAGCTTTCTAAAGCTCGACCTGCCACCGCAACCATCCTCCTTGTGGCCCTCTAGGGGCGGCGCTGAGGGAGGGTGTAGAGGATGTAGAGTGTAGAGCGCTGTAGAGCTGTAGAGATGTAGAGCGCTCTGGAGCGCTGTAGAGCTGTAGAGCTCTACATCCGCCGCGTGACGAGGCGGGTGCGTTGTAGAGCGATGTAGAGCGCGATTTTGCTGTAGAGTTTGTTGTAGAGGCTCTACAGCCAACCCGCCGGGAAGGCAGTGACTCAAAGAGGTCGAGTCGCACTAATGGGGTGTCTCCGAGCTTACTGGAGCTCTGGTGGACGGCCCTGACTATCCCTGACACTCACAGAGTCACTCTGACGGCACACAACACCCTATAACTGCGTCATGACCAGCCTGCCATACGTCGCCGGTGCCGCATTCGTCGCAGTGCTTCTTTAGCAGGCGGTGGACTGTCGGCTGCGAGGACGGTCGCATTTGCGCGAGGCGAGGCGAGCATTCAGACGCGTTGCATGCGCCATGACTCGCGCCAGCGCGTGTGGGAGCTCCTGGCTGAGCGTTGAGTCCAGGCGAGTTGCGCTGGCCACTATCGCTACGCCGAGCCGAGCTGACGCGCCGAGGCGCCGGCCAGTCGCAGCCGTGAGGCATGCCACAGCAGCAGAGGCACCTGCAACACATTGGGCGGGCAGACAGAAGGCCAGGGTAGCACTGGCAAGTGCAACGCGCCTCATGTCGGAGAGCGACCGTGCCTCGTTCGCCGCTTATGATGTAGAGTTTGTTGTAGAGATTTCACGTTGTAGAGCGCCTCTACATCGCTCTACAACGCACCCGCCTCGTCACGCGGCGGATGTAGAGCTCTACAGCTCTACAGCGCTCTACATCTCTACAGTAGGGGGCCCACAGCGCCCCAAAATCCACCACTGTGGGATTTCGCGCAATCGCTTGACTCTGAAAGCTCGCCATGTACCTTTCTGAGCGCTGTGGTCGCCGCAGATTGGCTCCGACTTGACGGGCGCATGGAGACGTGATGCCTCCATGCGCCCGTCAAGTCGAAATCGATATGCGGCTCGATGGTTTGCCCGAAAAGGTACATGGCGGCGTTTGGCGACAAAACAGCGCTGCGACCGCGAAGTGGCGGTGGACATGCTCCCATGTTGCCGATGCGGCGCCGGAGTGGCCGGCGCTGCTCGCCCGGACCACGACGGCTACTCCGATGCTCCGGGCCGACCCGTCCTACCCGACGGTGGCACTCTTCCACGTCTCGCTCACGCTGAGAAAAAATCTGAAACGGCGTGCAGCAGAGTCGCCGACGAGTCGGTCCGCGTGCCTCCTCGTGTCGCGCACCGTTCTCACCCATCCATAAACTCACTTTGGCCTCACTAAAGCGAAGTCTGAATCCTTAATCCTCAGATTTTAGATTAGGACGCTGTGGGCCCTCTATCTACAGCTCTACAGCGCTCTACACTCTACATCCTCTACACCCTCCCTCAGGGGCGGCGACCCCCCCATCGACAGATGATACGCGCATCTTGAGATAATATGCCTCTAAGATGCGCCCTACTTGGACTGCACACTGTCTTGCCTATGCTCGAGCATCTCTGGATGGTTTTTTCAACTAAGATGCCGGAGCATCCTGGGATGCTCGAATCATCCGAAGATGCTTCGCATCCCAAGATGCTTGGCATTTAATGATTAAAATGCATTTTAAATTATTCTGCAAAGGGGTGTGAACGGAGAGAGCAAACTCCTGGCAGCTCCCACAGCCGAAATGTGCGGCAGCTGCCCGCTCACCTGTGTCACGCCGCCGCGCACGCACCTTGCTATGTGCTCGCGCGAGCTCCCGCCCGAACCTCCAGCTCGGCGTCCCACTGCTTGGGAGCCGATCGCTTTTCCTCGGCGCTCGCGTCGAGCCGAGCTCTCGGCACTCTACGGCGGGCGTCGCTGTGCGGGGCGCCCGTTTCCTGCTGGCCCGAGCGGAAAGCTCCACGTGCCCGCGCGAGCTCCCGGCCGAGCCTCCAGCTCGGCGTCCCACTGCTGAGGAGCCGATCGTCGTCCGTCGTCCGTCGGTTCTCTCGAGGAGCCGAGCTCTTTGGCCGGCGACGCTGCAGGACGGCGCGCGCGCACCCCCCCCCCTCCCTCACCCGCGCGCTCTTCCGCCGGCGGCGCACACGCACCCCTCGCCCCGGCGCTCTTCCGCGGCGCAGCCCCCCCCCCCCCCCCCTCGATCTCGCGGCGAGAGCACGAGCGCGCCGTCCTCCGGCGACGCGCCGCCACGCTCTTCCTTAGGTCGTCCTCCGAGATATCGGTGCCGGACCGGCGGGGCGGGGGCGGGGCGGCGTCGGAGCAAGTGTCTCGGCCGTCGGTCGACGGAGCGGCGACCCGCGAGCACGCTTCGTCGGCGCCCGACGAGGGTGGTGCCGCTGTCGCTCTGCCGCGTGCGCAGGCGTGCGCAGGCGTGCCGAGGTCTCGCGACGGCACTCAGCCCGAGCCCCTCCGGGCGCTCGATCGTATGCTCGTGGAGGCGTCGCGCGGCCGCAGTCTTCGCAGCGGCGGCCGCCGCTGCGGTGGATGCGGGCCAGAAAGAAGGCCGCGCGCGCGGCCAGGGGCCAGGGCTGGCTCTGGCTCGGGCGAGGGCGATCCCGGTTGTCCCTCCGCGGGCGCCTCTGGTCATGCCCGCTTGCTCGACGGCTGGGTTGTGCGTGCGCGCGACTCTCGAGTCGTCGGCGAGTAGTGTGCGCGGGCGGTGGGTGCCGTGGAGATTAGGGGAGACGTCGCTTTGAGCTGCGGGTAGCGGGACCGGGAGATGTTGGGAGATACAGACACGGCGGTACGGTGTCTGGAGTAACATCTCAGAGGTTGAGCAGCGCAGGGGGTGTGCACCTGCCCCCCCATCTCCGGTCCAACGAGTAGAAACATGTTTCCAAAAAGCAGCTACGCCCCGACACGACGACGAGACTCACTCCCCTGGTCGCACACGCTCCCCGACACTCGCAGCAAGCAGCAAGGATCGGGCGGGAGAGGAATTAGCTCAGAGAGACACGCACTCACACACTCACACACACACACACTCACACACACACACACACACACACACACACACACACACACACACACACACACACACACACACACACACACACACACACAGAGAGAGAGAGAGAGAGAGAGAGCGAGCGAGCGAGCGAGAGAGCGAGCGAGCGAGAGAGAGAGCGAGAGTACAGTACAGTGATCAACAGAGACCCCCACCCACACGCCGCGCAGTGTGGGAAGCGACGACGAGACTCACTCCTCGCACTCGCAGCACGGATCCAACGGGAGGAACGAGGGGCCGCCCAGGCAGCCCCCGGGGCACGCGCAGCCGTTACGGTGCGCGTCCTGCCCGCCGCCCGGCATCGGCGCATCCTCCGCCGCCGCCGGGGCCGGCGGCTCGCCCGGGATTGGCGCGTCCGTCATCGGCGCGCCCGGCATCAGCGCGCCCGGTGGCGCGCCCGGCATCGGCGCATCGTCCGCCGCGGACCGCGGCGGCCCATGCGCCCCACAGTAGGGCACGGCCACGCCGGGCGTCGCCCGCAGGAACGCGGCAAAGGAGTCGTGGTCGAACGTGCCCTCCATGATGGCGAGCCGCGTCGCCGCGTGGGGCGGGCGGTTGATGGCGTCGACGACGACGACGCCCCACGCGTGCTTGACGGCGTCAGCCTGCTCGAGCCCGCGCAGCCACTCCGCCGCGTCCTTCGCGGTGCACTCGTTGTACGACGACGTGCGGGCGGCGAGCATGCGCCGCATCGCCAAGTAGTCGCAATCGCTGCAGCCGGCGCGCTGCACCACGGGCGGCAGCGTGTAGCGCGTCACGGCCGGGAGGTGCTGCGCCGGGAAGCAGAGGGCGTCGCTGCACGCCGGGCAAAGGGCCAGGTGGCGGAGCGCGAGCCCCGCGCGAGTGCGCCGCGAGTGCGCGAGAGCCGCCGCTAGGCGGCGGTAGCTCTCATAGAGAGCGCCTGCGGGCTGCTGCTCGCGCAGCGCCACCTCGAACGCGAACTTTGCGTCCGCGACGAGCTGCGGCGCGTGCGGCGCCTCGCCGTGCGCCTCTGCGTCCGCCTCGCGCAGCGTCAGCGCGACGCCGCGCCGCGCGCCGAGCAGCCGCGCGCGCGTCAGCCAATGCGACGGCCAGCACTGCGGCAGCAGCAGCTCCTGCCCATCTGCGCCGCGCCAGGGCTGCTGCTTGAGCTTTGGGTCGGCGCGCCATTGCGGCGGCTTGGGGAGGCACTGCCGGTACCACAGTAGCAAACGCGCGTCGAGCTGTTGCGTGGACAGCGAGTCCGGGTCGCACGAGAAGGCGTTCGGGTCAGCGTACGGGCCCTCCATCGCAGCGAGCTCGTAGTGCATTTCAGCGCCCATGCTCGGCGGCCTGTGATCGCCGCCGTACGTCTGCAGGAGCCGCCGCACCTCGCGGACGATGGTCCTGTTGAAGGCGATGGTGACGTTGTCCTTCTCGACCGCCTCCGTCGCCTCCCCCTCGCCCAGCGGCTTGTCCGCCGTTTGGTACGCGTCCTTCGTCTCGACGGTGCCTCCGTCGGCCGCGTCGAGAACGCCCAGCAAGGCATCAGTGGCGATGGATAGCGTGCGCGCTGACGCCTCGCGAGCCGCCTCCCCCTCCCCCTCCTCCTCGCCGTCCTCCAGCTGCTCGAACAGCCGTGCAGCAGTCTTTTCTGCCTGGGCTCGCCGTGCCGCGTTCACCTCCTCCTCCGCCGCCGCGCCCTCCGAGGCCTCCGCCGCCGCCGCGGCGGCGGCGGCGGGCGACGGCGTCGCGGTGGCGGCGGCGGCAGCCGCAGCCTTGCTCTCCGCCCGCTTCGCCGCCTCCCGCAGCCTCTTGTGGCGCGTGGCGCGCGCGGTTTTGGCTTGCCCGGGTCGCTTGGGGTCAAACTCGATGGTCTCGATGCGCCAGTGGTCACGCGTGTATGCCTCGCCGAGCGCACGCGAGACCCTTGCCCACAGCTTGCACTCCGCCTCGACGTCGCCCTGGAAGTGTGGCACCCTGTGCCACGGCCGCTCCGGGTTGTCCTTCTCGAGCTCCCGGTCGTAATCCTCGTGGCGCGCGGCAAGGACGGCGCGCCAGCGCTGCTCCGTCTGCGCAGGCCGGGGCCGCTCGACCATGAGCGCGTCCATCTCGACGTCCGCGTTCTCCTTCTCGCCGCCGCCGCCGGCGAGCGGCTTGCGCCGGCGCCGGCGGCCGGACGCCGCCGCCGGCGCAGGTGCGGGCGGAGTCGCGCGCCCCGTCTCGTTGTCGGGCGACTCCTCGCCGCCGGCGGCGTCGGGTGCGGCGACGTCGGCCTGCGAGTCGCGAGGGCGGCCTGCACCGGCGGCGGTCCGCAACGTCTCGCGGCGCGCCGCCAGCCACACCGTGAACTCATGGGCGATGTCGCTGTCGTCGGGCGGCTGGTACAAGCTCGGCTGGATGTGGTCCATGAAGGCCTCCATCTCGGCCGCGGTCACGTCGTCGGGCGCGTCGACGGGCTGCAAGGCCGTGGACCGCACGGCGGGGCGGCTGCGCCAGGACTGGCGCGTCGCTGACGACGAGCCGAAGCAAAAAGGGCTGCACGACGGCAAGCCCGGCTGCATTCTCGCGCCGGGACGGCGATCCTGGTCGAGCACGAGACGCCGCCTGCTTTTGCGGTCGTTTCTTTTCTTGATTCCGTTTGTTGCAAACGGAATCAGTTGCAAAACCCTGAATAAAAAAACAAAACGCGAAAATCCCCTTTGCAGCCAAGCCTACCGGGCACCTAATAAAGACTTGAGCGGCGTGTGAGCCCTTGGATCAAAGTTGGAGTGGAGACTTTGAATCTATGCTAATTTCAGTTGCTCTGCTAAGTGAGATGTGACTAACTACTCTGTCGTCTGTGGAATACTACTGATGGTGATCGAACTGGGAGCCAGTGAGTGATGGTGGGGGGCACTTAGCCCTTGTGCTAATGCTGACTTTACTACATGGACATGGACATGGACATGGACATGGACATGGACATGGACATGGACATGGACATGGACATGGACATGGACATGGACATGGACATGGACAGTTGCGGTTAGCACCCAAGGAGCAAGGTGCCAACCAAGGGCACAAACAACAACACAACAACACAGGCGGGCAGCGGCGCCAACGACTGCGCGGGAGGGCGCCGCTGTGTTAGTGCCAGTGCGCGCCAGTCCCGTGCCCAGTGTCGTGCGAGGGAGTTCGCTTACAAAATTCTTCTTCTGGCGCCGGAGTGGGAGTGGTGTGACTGATCCTGTGGTGCGGGCGACGGCTTCTGAGGAAGCCGTCGCTCGCGCCTCGCCTGTCCCGCGCGCGTCAAATTTCTTCTTCTGCGTCATCAATAGCTTCCGATTCCTGCGATGCTTTTCGTGCTCCTCCCTCCCTCGCCCGGCGCACGCGGCGCACGCCTAACGGCGCCGTTCATGCAAGGGCCGCCTTCGCAATGGCGGGTGCAGCAGCTTACAGAGCAGCAGCAGAGGAGCCACAGATGGCGATGCAGCCGCCACCGATGCAACAGCCCCTGTACTCGCAGCACTCGCCCTGGCGGGCCACTTGCTTTTTTTTGGGAGCTCCGTTTCAGATGAAAGATCTGCCTGCGCCTTTCATGTGCACGACCCGATCTTAGAATCACTCCCAGCCACGTTTCTGTGTAACACATATACTGTACCTTCGCACGCGGTCGCTCTCGAAATTGGGCCGGCCCTTCGACTCGATCCAGTGCCAGAGAGCAGAGTGCGTGTGCCGACGCCGCCAGGCCCCCGCACCGACGCGTGCACAGGTGCGAGGGGCGCTCGTCCATGTCCATGCAATCATTCAACCCAACAGCGCTCACTTGACGATGGTGAGAGCCTCCGCGGGCACCGTCAGCCTGCGCATCGACGGCTGCATCGACGGCTGCATCACCGTCACCACGACGTTGGCGCCCTCGGCGCTCGAGGTGACGACGCCGACGTCGCCGCTCGACGTGCGCACCGTCTGGTTGAGCAGCGGCGTCGGGTGCTGGACGGCCTCAAGCAGCGCGACCACGCGGACGAAGTCGGTGGCGTTCGCGATGTGTAGCTTGGCTGACCAGGCCCCGGTGCCCTCTGCATCGAAGACGACTGTGATGCACTGCGGCACGGTCGAGTGAACCGACACCCAAAGGGAATCCGTGATCATCGGCAGCGTCTTTGCGAGCGGGCTCGCTCGGAACTTGACGACGAAGGGTTCAGCCTGGAACGTCGCCTCCGCATCGATGCCGAACTGTGACTCGCCCCTCGAAGGTGTGATCGTGCATCGCGCAGGGATCGTGGCGGAGGTTCCCTCCTGCAACAGCGCTCCGAGACGGCGGCACAGCTCTTCGCATTCGTCGGCCCGCCAAGGTCGAGGCTGCGTCTGGTCTGGAGCATGCTGCGGGGCCTGCCGCTTCCGCGAAAGAGCCGCGGCGCCTTGGTTGCGGCCAGGCGCAGTCTGCGGGCTACCTTGGTTCTCGGAGGCAGCGAGGGCAGCGGTGGTTGAGCGCGTGGTGCGCCGCATCAGAGACCGCTTTTGGCTCGTCAGCGCTGCCTGTCTCTGTGTCGATGGCGCCGCGGCTGGCTGCGCGCGCGGTGAGGTAAAAAGAAACGCGCTGCGGCAGCGATAGACGGCTGCGCGCCTCCCCACGCCTCCGCTGCCGTCCAGAGCTGCCCCAGGCGTGCCTCCGAGCCACACGGGTCGGCTGCGGCAGCCGGAGGCGGCTCGCGCGACGCGCGGCGAGGGCAGAGCCCTCCCTCGGTCGGCTGCCGACAGCGCGAGCGGCGCCGATGTGAGACGGCCCCCTTCGGGCCTGCTCGAGTCGCCGCCGAGCTCACCGCGCGTGCCGCGAGAGCGGCCTGACTCGCTGCCGCCTCGGCGGCCCGACGCGCGCGCTCTCGCTGCCGCCTGCCACTCCTCTCGCGCCTCCCGCCTCCCGACGCGGCACCGCCGCCTCTAGGTGGCTGACTCGCCGCCCGGGCCGGACTCGCGGAGCCGACCAACACGGACGAGTCCGTCCGTATGCCCTCGCCAAAGCGACGCGCTTCGCTGTGCTGTCGACTGGCCCTCGCCGGTGGCATCATCCCGCGCGCGCCTCTCCGTTGCTCGGCGTGACGCCCGCTTGAGCGGCGCGCGATTATCGGCCTGTGCCCTCTCGTTCCACGCCGTAGCGCGGTGCGGCCCGCGCCCTTGGAGCGCGCGCGCGAGGGTGGCCCACACCGGCACCCCTACTCGTGAGCCAGGGAGACCTCACGCTCAGACCACGGCGCGCTGAGCTGTGCCTGTGGCGAGGGGCACCGTCGTGGGTCTCCAAGCGTACCGCGAGGCATATGAAGGGTACTTCTGGGAATGTGTAAGGCTAGTACTCCACTCGGGCGCACAAAACTCGCTCCGCACGTACACACGTTTCATGCCCCAGGCTCACCACCACATCGCAAGCCCAGTGGGCGCACGGCAGTTTGCTCCGCTGCGGGAGAGAGCGAGAGTGTGCTCTCCACCCCAGCGCGCTCACCTTTCGCGGCTGCAGACCGCCTCGCGGCAGTGGTCGGTAAACGAACAGAAAAAAGAAGTTCGCAAAAAGAAGTTCGCGCGAATTGGCGAAAGTCAACGTCCCTCGCGGAGAGATGTGTTTGTCGGCGGTGGGTAGGAGCCGCTTCCGCACAGCCTGCGACTGCGATAGCGGCGCCTGCCCACAAACCGTAACCTTGCTGCCGTGTGAGCCATGACGCTTTTTTTCCTCGTGGCGCGCTTCCTGGAAATGTCCAGTCTCGGCGCGTGCGGGGTGAGGCGGGTGGGGGTGTGGGGGGTGGGGGGGTCAGTCGGGGAGAGAGAGAGGGCGTAGCGGATGCCGAAGATAGCTCGAGTCAACAGTAAACGAGGCGTGGAAGCCAACGCTCTCCGTCGGCCCAGCCCTTGGTCGCGAGAGTGATGGCCGAGGAGGGGGCTCGAGTCAACGGCAAACGAGGCGTGAAAGCCAACGCTCTCCATCGGCCCAGCCAGACAAGGCCGTCCCATTCCGCTGGCCAAGCACAGTAGATGAAGAAAGGAGGCCGGACATGCGGCTCGAGTCGGCGGCATGAGAGGCAAGAGCCGTCTCAGTCCGCTGGCCCAGCACAATAGACAAAGAAGGAGGGCGGACAACGGCTCGAGTCGGCGGGATGAGAGGCAAGAGCCGTCTCAGTCCGCTGGCCCAGCACATGTAGACGACAGCGTGTGCCTAGAGTTCAGTCGACCCGAGCGCTGCCTGCACAATCAGGGGGTTGGGAGCAGTCGCGGGACGTGGCAAGAGAGAGGAAGCAGCATGCCCAGCGCGATCGGTCGGTATGCGCGAGAGCCGTGAAAGGTAACGGGAGATTGAGAGGCGCTGGGAGGCGAGCACACTGGCACGTTGACGAGGAGGCAGATGCGGGGCGGTCGACACATGCAATGTGGAACCTGGCGTGTGGCCTCTCGCGCCTCGTTGACTGGCCGCTGCACCGTTCGCGGATAAACCTGCGGTGACGAGGTGCACGTTGCCAGTCGACGTCACCGTCAGGTGGGGTGGGCTGTGTGTGGCGAGGCGAGGAGGAATATGGAGGGGGCGGGTGGGCGAAGCTACCGCTCGACCGTTCCGGGGAGGCCGGTGCGGGAAGAAAAACGAAAAATGACGGCAGCGGGCAGCCCAAGCAGCCACACAAGTCAGCTTTGGGAGCTCTCGGCGACGCCCAATGCGTGCGCCGGTAGGGGGGAGTGTGTGCGCGCGTGTGTGAGATGTGGATTGTGGCAGGCTGCTGCTGCTGATGGGAAGTGTGCTCTGTGTGTGGCGCTGCGCTGGCGTGCGACGCGCGCGTGCTGTGCGCGTGTGCGTGTTGAATGCGCGTGCGCGTCTGTGTGTGCTGCGCGCGCGCCGCCGGTGTGTGCTGTCTGCTGTGTTCTGTTGTGCGCCCTGTTTGTGCATGCAGCTGGGAGGCGCAGGCTTGGCTGGCAGGGCTGCGCGGTGGGCTGCGGCGTGCTGTGGGTGGTCGCGCGCCTGCCTGATGGTGTGCGGCGGCCGCTCAGCCCGCCCGACCGGGTCGTCGGCGGCCCAGGGCGCGGGCATGCGGTCTGCGCTGCATGTGAGGCTGTGTGCGCGGTGGCGCGCAAGTTTCCGTGCGGCGAGGGACGCGCGTATGTGTTCACGCTGCGGGCGCGGGCGGGCGCGGAGGGCGGCGCGGTCTCACCGCGGTCCGGCGCCCGTTGGTCTTCTGCGTGACGAGGGTGGGCGCGCAGAGAGGCCTTGCCGCCATCGCGTTGCCGCCAAGGAAAAAAAGTGCTGCGAGCATAGGCAAGACAGTGTGCAGTCCAAGTAGGGCGCATCTTAGAGGCATATTATCTCAAGATGCGCGTATCATCTGTCGATGGGGGGGTCGCCGCCCCTGAGGGAGGGTGTAGAGGATGTAGAGTGTAGAGCGCTGTAGAGCTGTAGATAGAGGGCCAGCTGTAGATAGAGGGCCCACAGCGTCCTAATCTAAAATCTGAGGATTAAGGATTCAGACTTCGCTTTAGTGAGGCCAAAGTGAGTTTATGGATGGGTGAGAACGGTGCGCGACACGAGGAGGCACGCGGACCGACTCGTCGGCGACTCTGCTGCACGCCGTTTCAGATTTTTTCTCAGCGTGAGCGAGACGTGGAAGAGTGCCACCGTCGGGTAGGACGGGTCGGCCCGGAGCATCGGAGTAGCCGTCGTGGTCCGGGCGAGCAGCGCCGGCCACTCCGGCGCCGCATCGGCAACATGGGAGCATGTCCACCGCCACTTCGCGGTCGCAGCGCTGTTTTGTCGCCAAACGCCGCCATGTACCTTTTCGGGCAAACCATCGAGCCGCATATCGATTTCGACTTGACGGGCGCATGGAGGCATCACGTCTCCATGCGCCCGTCAAGTCGGAGCCAATCTGCGGCGACCACAGCGCTCAGAAAGGTACATGGCGAGCTTTCAGAGTCAAGCGATTGCGCGAAATCCCACAGTGGTGGATTTTGGGGCGCTGTGGGCCCCCTACTGTAGAGATGTAGAGCGCTGTAGAGCTGTAGAGCTCTACATCCGCCGCGTGGAAGGCCCCCGCACGGGGGGTCCCGGGGGGCACCATGATCGTCCGCCAAGGGTCCGGGGTCGCCCAGGCAAGTGGCCCAAATCCGATGAGTTTTCCAGGTGTGAACAGCAGCTGAGAGGTGTGAATTCATCCCAGGCGGGGTGCGGGGCGGTAGCCCCGCAGAGAAAATTTTGCGTGCTGGGGCACTGAGATCGCAGTTTTATTAGTCCACGTCGGATGCCAGCTGCAGCTGTTTTGAAGATACGCGGTGCCGCATTTGAGCATGAATCAGCGTCCTTTCTGCTGGCATCACGCATAAGAGAAGCCGAGAGGCACGAGGTCCTCCAATTTGCCGGATCAGCAGCGCGGTCTGGAGCGTGGTTGTGGCGTATGCATTTGCCCCCGCAGTCTGAATGGGCCAACGCCCGAGCTCATACTGCGCTCTGTGCAGCCTTTTCAAGCAGTGAACGGGATCGGCCAAGTTGCGCCACCACTATCGTTCTCCTGCCGTGCATGCCAAGAGCGTTGAATAAATTCCACCGACTTGAGCGGCCGTGGGTTGCACACCGTGGTCGTTCGCAGGGCGCAACAACTAGCATTAGCGCAATATTTGCCAGAATCTTCAGCCGTGGGATCGCTATGGGTCGATCCGGCGTCACTGGGATGGCTTGCCTGCCTTCTCTGATAGCATGCGAGGACGATGTGCTGTCGTTGAGGAGCAGGATTGCTGGTTGCTCGTCGTCACTCAATGCGTGGCTGGACGTGTAGCTGCCCTTTCCCGGCAAGCTGTCGTCGTTGTCAGACTCTTGCCCAGGCAACTCGACAGGAGGACTGATGA